GCTCCTTTGCCACCAGACTTTACCTCTAAAACGGCTCAGTCAACAACCAAGTCGACCGAAGCTGCTGATGCTCCATTGCCGCCGGACTTTGTCAATGTTTCCAAACCTACTGTGGCCTCTGATGCTCCCCTACCACCCGATCCGGTTAACCCATTAAAGCAAAGGTCTGTTTTCGACAAGCCAGAAGGTGCCCCCAAGGTACCATCCAGCCTCTTTCCTGCTGTCACTGGACCTCCCTCTGATGATAGTGACGACGAGGAGGATGAAGAGGACCAAGAAGAGGAAGAGGGAGAAGAGGAAGGAGAAGAGGAAGGCAGCGGGAGAGAGGAGGAAGACGACAACGGCTCAGAAGGCAGTGGCGTAGACGTGGCCAAGGATCTGAGCCCTGCTCTTTCGCCTGGTTATACTCCTGAAAGCTCTTTTGGCCGCCCAAGTAATGCTCTTGGTTCTTCTAGCACAAACCAGGAAGGATCACGAACCTTTTTCGGTGAAATTCGCAATGCCCCCTTTTTCCCGCGCCCCAGCGCTATCAGCCCTCGTTCTCCAAGCCCACTACGAAGCGCAGTGCCAGACAGGGTTCAGAGATCAGATAGCATGAGGTCGGTTAGTGCCCCCGGAATCGCCTCGAATCTTCTTGGATCGAGACAGTCTCGAATGGGAGCTTCAATCACCAGCAAAGACGCCCGTGCACCCGAAGATCCGTTTGTGGCACAGCACCGGAAGTTGAAGGCGAAACAGGAGGCAGCCGAGACTCAACCATTGGTTGATGAGGAAGACGATGAGGTCCATAAGCTGCTGGCATCCGAAGTTGAAGGAAGCTTGACCCTAGACGAGTTTATTGCTCACTCAAACGTTGCCCCACCTGCTAAGGAGAGCATCCCAAGTCAAGTTGAAGCTGTTTACCGGGATATCAATTCTATGATTGACACCCTTGGCTTGAATGCTCGGACTGTCAAGTCATTTATTAAGGGCCACACCGATAACCGAAAGGAAGGTGGACGCGGCAAGGACGATCTCGATGTACCTGAAGATTGGGTTCTTTGTGAGATCGATGAGCTGGGAGAAGTTTTGGACAACGAGCTGCATAGTGATCTCCAGGATGGACGTGTTCGTGATTTGGAAGATAAACTCGATACCTGCCACGAACTCACCAGAGATATGCACCGCCTTCGAGCTAAGCAGGAAGATCTTAAGCAGATCCTGATGATCAGATCCGACCCAGAGCAGGCAGAAGTAACAAAGTCTATGCCCCTTACTGCAGAGCAAGCAACACAACAGAACGAGCTGAGACGGGAGTTTGCCAAGTTTTCGAAGCTCTTGGCTGAAGCTGAAGAAGCCTTGACACTGCTAAAGACCAAAATGGCAGCTGTCTCCAGTGCTTCTGGCAAGGGCAAAGCCAACGTTCCCACGGTTGATGCGGTGCTCCGCACGATTGGCAAAATGACGGCCATGGTAGAAAAGCGCAGCGGAGATATCGATGTTCTCGAGAACCAGATGCGTAAGGCTACTCTTAACCCCGCCAGCCGAGAAGGATCCCCAATGGTCACCCCTCAGGCAAGGCGAAGCGTCATGTTCTCTCCTGAAGGAACCCCTGTCCGCAATCTCCGTCACAGCTTTGCAGCCAGCATGTCTCTGGGCGCATCCGCACGAGCTACTACCCCACGCAAGAAGCTCAGTGGTTACAGCCAAGAGGAGAAGAGTGGTTTGATGCAACAGCGAGCCCGCCGAAAGGCTGTTCTGGGCAAGTTGAAGGCCAGCGTCGAAAAACAAGGTGTTAGTGTTTGGACTATGGAGGACATCGAATAATCAAGAATGACGAGAATGGCACGGACTCAGTTTTGAGTATCATTAGGTTATGAAGCAAACAAGCATTTGTAGTTTAGAAATTAAATAGTGTATCAAAGCCAAACAAGCTACCCAAGTAGCTAATGTATTTTTGCCCATGGTTCATTTTCCCTACTATATCCTCATTACACCAAGTGCGCCTGTTGAACAGACAAATACATGCCAATTGCATCCCATTATCGATATTGTTGCAGCGAACCAGCTAATAAAAACGCCTTGTACTCCACGGGTATCCTTCCGTTGAACTGTTCCAAGGGATTTGCCTCGTAGGACCAATGCCTATGCTCATCGCTTAAGCTTGAGTCGTGGGAGCAGGAGGACCAGTAGATCGTGGAACGGAGGACTTGGGTTCAACGACGGGTGTTTTCTGGGAGACATCGCGTGGGATGTTGGATGGATCAGAGTGTACCCGGCAATGTTCTTTGTTTTTGTGCTCGGGATGAGTTCGAGGAGTGTAGCTAGAAGGTCGAGTGTTAGCTTAGAGGTGTAAGTTGAGAACTGGACCGAATTACTTTACGAAAGAAAGCATCTTAGACTTGGAAAGTGATTGGATTATTGATAAGGTTGTCAATGTTGTTCTTGAGTCAATTAATTAATTGATGATGGAATTGGTGAATATGATCTGAGCAGATGAGGAGGGGTTGTCAAGTATTATATAGTCGTCTTTCCACGAAACCACATCAAATACGCACATTACATTACACACTGTCAAGGCCGGACCGGTTACGCCTGAAGAACAGTATACAGAAACCTTTTTTTTTGGCATGTGCGAGCAGTATCAAATTGGAAAAGAGGACAGGGATCAAGCAAGGCCTCTAAGTTCGACTTAATGGCATACTGACGTCGTATGGTCGTCCCAATATGGGTGCGATGGTATATCTTAGTGGGGGAGAAGTGTGCGCGTGATCCCTGAAGAGAGGAGGACGAACTGCGTTGCACTTACAATGACAGCATCCATTATTGGCAAGTCTGAACTCTGGCGATGGACGACGAGTGATTGGGTGTGCTGATCTCAAGAGGCCGGCCCGGTGGTGTACCACGTTCAGTGACAACCTGCCGAGTACGGAGCAGCAGGGGATAAATCTCGGCATCCTGATCAAGATTCAAGATGGACGGTTCACTTATAAATGGATCTTCAAGGGTTTATCCAGGTAATTGGTCATGCGCAAGCAAGCCGAAGTCGCTCGCCGTCAGGCCATGGTTCAAGGCTTTGTCACCAAGAATTGTCACTACCGATATCGAAACGTTCTTGTCACCGTTGCATAAAAGCCACCTCGACTGACATTAATGGCATCAGACCATAGTCATTCTTGGTACGTACTCACAGCTTACACGGGGGTGGAGCACATGCGCTGGACCCGAAACGTGGGTCGGGAACGGTCGGCCGTCTCGGAGGCAAGTGGGGTCATCCCGTCTGCGCCGTCTCTTACCTTGACAAAGGAAGCCTGAAAGTGTCGCGCTCGCAACTGCATCTTTTTTTCGACCGGGACCCACCACAGCCCCACCTTCTTCACCTTGAACTCACCGAGCCTTCACCTCGGAGGGGCTTCAAAAAATTATTGTTTGCTTCGCTCATCATCACTAACATCCACCACCGCCTAACCTACCTACTTAATTTTCTCTCTTCATATCACAAAGCAGAACTACCGCAATGGCTCCCACACAACAAGCTGCGTGGAGGAACGCTCCCACCGCAGATGATCTTGCGCGCCGTCAGGTAAACTACCAATTGGTTCGTCCGTGATCGCATACCGAAATCTAACTTTTTGCGCGCCCAGACTGTTGGCATTAACAAGGAAACTGTCACAAACATTTCCTCCACCGATTACCCCGGACACCACCCCGGTGAGGATCTTGAATACACTCTTGATCGCTTCCGCGATGCCTTCTCGGTGAACTTCCACCAGAACGACCAGTTCCTCTCATCCTTCTCACTCGTCGGAATCGATGCCTCGCTCGCAAACGCTTTCCGCCGTATCCTCCTCTCCGAGATTCCTACCCTCGCTATCGAGAACGTCTACATTGAGAACAACACCTCCGTTATCCAGGACGAGGTTCTCGCCCACCGACTTGGTCTTATTCCCTTCAAGGGTGGTCGCGAGGGTCTGCACAACTTCCTCAAGTGGCATAAGAAGCCAGAGGCTGGCGAGGATCCTTATGCCGGCTGCTTCGACTGGAACACTGTTCGCCTCGAGCTTAATGTGACATGTACCGTCAACGAGGACGCTTCACCTGCCGAGAACGACCCTCTCAAGGCGTACCACAATGCCCACGTCTATGCGCGCGACATTGTCTTTGTGCCTACTGGTAGACAGGCCGAGTACTTTAGTGGCGAGAACGCCATTGCACCTACGAACCCTGATATCTTGATTGCCAAGCTACGACCCCGACAGACCATCAACCTCGCCATGCACATGCATAAGGGCATTGGATCCGATCACGCCAAGTTCTCCCCCGTCGCGACAGCCTCTTACCGTCTCCTACCAACCATTACGATCACTCAGCCTATCCTCGGAGCCGACGCTGAGAAGTTTGCCAAGTGTTTCCCCAAGGGTGTTATTGGACTTGAGAAGGTTACAGCTGATGATGCCGCAAAGACTGGTAGCGGTTACGAGGGCCACAAGGGCGAGACCAAGGCTGTGGTCGTCGACGCTATGAAGGATACGGTCAGCCGAGAGGCTCTCCGCCACGAAGAGTTCCAAGGAAAGGTGAAGCTTGGCCGAAGACGAGATCACTTTATCTTCTCCATCGAGAGCACGGGGCAGTGGGACAGCGATGAGCTTTTTCTCGAGTCAGTTAAGCATCTTAAGCTCAAGTGTAAGAAGCTCGAGCAGCAAGTTATCAACATGGCGCGGTAATCTGCTACATTGATCAAAACGGGGACTGGGACTTGTTTGGCGCTCTTATCATAATTTGGTTGAAATTTGAAGTTTGTTTTGCGGTCTCTACGGTTAGATAAAAAAAGGAATGATACCATGACCACATCATAATACTCGTCACCCGTCCGCCCTTCTTTACTCCATGCCAATGCTTGCCACTCTAATCTTTGTTTTATCTGTTTTCCATTGTAGACCCCAGGTTGACATGTCCAACGCCGAAAGATGCCCAAAAGCCTGAACGCCGTGTGCCGATTTGGGCTCAAGGATAGGGTAGGATCAGGAAGCTGTTTTGAATTTGAAGTAGAAGTTGAATTCAAGAGGGAATGCAGGATCGGTGACGACAACCTGTTGTCCGTCTTCGAGCCCAAGCTCGCTGAGTGTCTTGCTCAAGTTTGGACGCGTCTGTTCTTCCAAATTTACGGGAGACTGCATGTACAAGGTCTTTCCTTCGGCGCGGATCGAGGGTTTCTTAAGCTGAGCTTCAGGTCGAACGGCGAACGACTCGATCAACTCTTGTAGTGTGGCCTTGGGATCTACCTCAAGGGGGCGAGCTTGACGTCCACATACAGGACAATCGTCCTTTTTCTCGTGCTTAAAGGTGTATGTGTAGATGCTGTCGTTGCCCGAATACATCATGTAATTTGTTTCGAACCCCAGGCACGGTGCTGAGCTCGTTGCTATCTTGAAAGCTTCGTTGCAGCATGCAGCGGCGATGATGGCATTGGTAGAAGCGATGGCTGGAATGATGTTTTTGATAGTTCCTTGTGTCAAGGAGTAAGTGACGCCAGAGATGCCGAATTCCTGGGCACGAGTAAGGGCCTTTTGGAACAACCAAGTGACGTGTTCTGGGTCATCCTTATCTAACTTTGGGAATGGCTTCTCTTGCTCCCAAGCAATAACGTGAGCCCATTCGACGCAGTGCTCGGGCTGTCGAGGGATCGAGGCAATTGTGCATAGCGGAACAGCGGCACGGGGAGCGTGCATATCGAGTTGGCATTCAATACACGAGGTCATGCTGGGCAGGATAACTCGTGCTTGACCCTTGAAACCTTCGGTACCGCCATCAATCAAAGGCTTCAAGGCATCAGCGTCCTCGCCTTCTTCGGCGATAGCAACAAGCATGGCATTAATCCAGCGGCGGGCTTCAATGCTGTCGAGACCACAGATGACAAGTTGAAACTGCTTATAGAACTCCTCATCGAAGTCTTGGATGCGATTGTTGTGCGCCGTGATGGTGACGCCCTTTACTCTCTTTTGAACAAATTCAGCAGCGACTTCGGCTTTGTATTTGCCAACGTCATCCTTCCTGAAAAGGAATTGTCGGTTAAGATTGGAGATGTCAATTGTATCTAGGGCAATGAGTTAGCGGCTATGAGTGGAGGGATGAACGTTGACGAACCCATATCTATAACATGAATGTTCTTGAATCCCGACATGGCAAGGTTCTTGAGGATTTCGCATCCTAGGCCACCTGCGCCACTGTATCATGGAAGTTAGTAGAGCGCTCATGGTATTGTGGAAGGAACATGACTGACATGACACTATGTGAGGTTAGTATGGTATTCAGCCGACAGTTTTAGCATGGAAATACTTACAGAAGTTTCATTGTTACGAATCGATCGAGTGATTCAGGCGCAATGGCATCAGGATCTGTATAAGGACCGGCATTGTTACGGATCTGGTCGAGATATTTCCTATTGATAAGGTCAGTATTGATAGTTTCCAGAGCTACAGCTTCAGCTTGAGCTTCAACGGAAGAGAGGGGAGTTACCATCGCGTTTTCTGGTGGTCACCAGCTGGTGTTTGAACGTCGCAACTCATGTTTTGTTAATTACAAAAAGTGTTGGAGATTTAAGAATGACTTAGGTACGCTGACCTGAAGAATAAGAAGGGAGAAAGAGAAAGTGTGAGGTGAGCTCTTTCAAAGGATCCGTGCGTGGGGGGAGGATCGTCATTGCCTAAAGTACCTGAACTGCTGGCTCGGTGAGTCTCGGTGAAGGTGGGGTCAGCGTACATTGACCAAACCATCATCTTTAGAGTGTAAAAGAGACTCTAACTTTACCTACAACACTCAACAAACTCCAGAAATGCCCTCTTTTTAATGAGCGATCTTAAGGAAACTTCACTGCCTCACACTCATTGTCAACAATCAACATGGACGACCTTCTCACGCCCGTGAGCACCACCTATCTCAAACCACGAAAAGAGACAGAGCTACTCTTTACAGAAGTAAAGACATCCTCTCCCCAGCCAGAACCAAGAAAAATCACTGCCATCTCAACAGCTGATGATGCTGTGGATGCTCTCAAAAATCAACCCGACTACGACAGTCTCATTTCAGTTTTACAGTTTCTGACCAGCACCAAACCTTCATCAGATAACTTTTCCCTCTCAACACCTAGTCCCAAGAGCGCATTGATTATACATTTGCTCGTCTCCGAAATTGCACCGAATTATTGGACTTTATTGCTAGAAGGAAGTTTCGATGGTGTTTCCCAGGCTGCAACGACACTCCCACGAGATGCTGAGCTATTTGTTGCCTGTATCCAAAGTCTAACTGGCCTCAATGCTGTTATCACACAGATTAGAAATCTTATCCAGGAGTCGCGGATGGGTGGGAAAGAAAAAAAGAGAACCGATTTATCTCTAAATGCCAATATCCTCTTAAGCGTGCTGTCTGCTATCCTTGACGGTCATGGAGCGATATCTGCCATCTGGAGTGCGTCAACAAAAGGCATCCCAAACCTTGCTCTCCAACGGGTTCAGTCTCAGAAGCTGTCATCAATCCTCACAAATGGCCAAATCGTATCAACTTCCGCCGAAGCTTTAGAAGTCATCGGTCGTGATCGAGAAAGGGATGAAACTAAGTGGATTGCTGATGGACTGCAGTACAGCAAATGGATGGGAAATAGTATTGTCTCATGGGTCAGGTCGTCTCCTGAAGAAGGTGCCATGACTTTTGCTTCCGAACTGTTCCAGAAGTCTTTGTCACTATATCACTCAGGTAATTCCCAAACATCTTTGGTATCAACATGCTTACTGATGTCTTATAGATACCCTTATCAAGACCGTCATTGACGGGCTTCTTCTTTCCAAAGGAAGCTCAGTGCAGACGTTCACAAGAGTTGCCCTTGGTCAACCACGGTCTTCTAAAAAAGTTATTCATCTTTTACTGCATCACCTCTCGCGCAAATATTTGAACTACCTGACTCTAGATGATAATTCCTCGGACAACAACGTTTCTGCAGTAGCTGGACTATTGAAGGAGCTAGCGTTGAACGACCCATTCAGAAGAGACATACTCATAGATTGGTGTGCATCCTCCTCAGGTGCAGGTCTTGGGGATGGAGTTGGTATCCGCCGTGCTGTAATAGCTGCAATCTCTCAAGACCGAGAAGCCATTACATCTGTACTGGAAAAGAGCCTTGCGCAGTTTGGAGATGAGTTGTATATCAGACATTCAGCAATGCTACAGCAGGATGGTAAGGGCTGCATAAACATCTCGGTAATGTGAACCTGCTAACGCTCTCGTAGTGCATACCCAGATCCTACTCTTAGCAGCTGGCTATATGCATAGAATATCCCCTATGAAGCTGACCTTACTTATGCGAGTTGGCACATATATGACCACAATTTCTAATCGTATCGGTGCGACTCAATCAAGAGCACAGTTCCTCGGTCTCGTCGTGGGTGAATCACTCTCTTCTCTCATTGATGATAACAAGAAGAGGCTGGACTTCAAGATGGAGGAGACAGATACAGAGGAAGCACAACAGTTGAAGGGGCTTACAAAGATCTCTGATCCCGTTGGGTCAATCGACTCTATCCTATCAAATCTTGCGATGGAGCCAACACCCAAAAAACAGAAACCTGCGACGTCTAGCAAACATGTCCCGATGAAATCCAAGCAAAAGAAGCCCCTCATCGCAGAGGCCAAGCCAAAGGCTATCATCGAAGAAATCGATTCTTCAGAGGAGGATGAGGATCTTGCTCCTTATGCCAAAGACTCAGACCCTGAAGATTCTGACGACGACGCAACTCTGGTTCAACGCAACAAACCCAAACCTCCTGTCTACATCAGAGACCTCATTTCATACTTCAGAGACTCCGAAACCTATGACAAGCAGTTGCTTGCCCTTCAAACCGCCCCAGTCCTCATCCGTCGCAAGGCCAACTATGGCACCGAAGTCAGTTTTCATGCTGACGAGTTGGCCGGGCTTCTGGTGGGCATTCAAGACAAGTTTGAGATTGACAACTTTCAAGACTTGCGAGTGCAAAGCATGGTAGCGCTGGTGGTTTCCCAACCCAAGACAATGGCTCCTTGGTTTGCACGCACTCTCTTCGAAGGCGATTACTCTCTCTACCAACGAACGTCAGTTCTCATTACGTTGGGCTTATCAGCTCGGGAACTGGCTGGCTTTGAGACTTCTCAGTACGAGTCTGCTGCTGCCTTTCCATCAAAGCGGCTCCCTGAAAAGATGGAACAGCTATACCTTGGCCCATCCAACGATGACAACAAGGCACTTCCCTCTTCTCAACTGAAAGCACTTCCAGCAAATGCCCTCGACAGTATTTCGCAGTCACTTACATCGGCCTTCCTCGCTCCATTGGCTGCAGAAGCTGCCGATGCAAATACAGGGCCTGATGTTCTAAAGCTTCAGACCTTCACCGCACGCTACAAGTCCAAGACCAAGTCTAAACCTCGTGTCCGTGCTATTCCTAATACAACAGCCGCTCTTCTTGCTACATCTTTCTTCTCACCGCTTGCTGCTCATTTCCAAGTTGCTCTTCGCTCTGCAAAACCGATCATTCTCAACCACGCACTTCTGGCTCTTTATCTGCAAACTCTGGGTATCATCGTTCATGCTGCAGGACCCTCGACACTTTCTTTACCGCAGCTTACATCTGAACTGTGGGATCTGCTACTCGGCGTTCGTGTGCACGTCTTGGGTGATCTCGGTGCTACGAAAGGCTGGTTGGTTGCCATGGCTTCACTCCTAGAAGTGAATGGCGGCGACTTGAGACGACTCTGTGAGAACCAAGGAAGAGAAGTGATGGAGACAAGACAGTGGGTTTCAATGGTGTTTGAGAGAACAAGGGGAGAGGACGGCGGAGAAGAAAACGATGTCAAGATGTTAGCGGCGGGTGCACTCATCAGGATTGGAGAGGCTATCGAAAAGTATCAAGCTTTACTTATGGGAGACATGATCGGATTTCAGTAGATACAATATCAAAAGTTGAAATGAGATCTGATTTTACAATATTTCTTTCGTAATTAACCATTATGATCATACATCATTTACATACCAATAGTTCCCATCCCCAAATCAATGTCTCCTCCACGGCTAAATCTAAAACAAATTTTGATATCACAATCTCATAGCCCACAAGTCCAAATATGTAGCCAAATAGTATCTACAATGGAGGTTCTACTGGCTCTATCCTGGTCGTACTTGCTCTTCGAAGCGGTAGACCCGATAAACACGCATTTGCATGGCTGAGATGGTCACTCAAGCTCATAGCCAAACGTCGAAGCTCTTCTTTGACATCTTCTGAAGTACCCTGTCCTTCTAAAACCATCGGAGCAGGTGCCGTAGGCGCAGGTGGTAGAAAAGATTGCTGTTGAAAAGGGCGTGGATAGTCATCCCGTGCGGATGGTAGATCTGGTAGAGGTTGAAGTGGAGGAGGCTGCAGCGCAAGTTCGGGAGCGGCTAGTGTATTAGAAGCGAACGACTCGGGATCTGTGTCCGCGAACTCGCTAAGAGAATATGGCCTTTCAGTCAGTGAAACTCCATTGGTCGGAGGAGATTGCGATTGGGCTGGAGGTTGTTGGTATAGCGGGACCTGAGTCTGCTGGTAGTTCATCTGAGGGTCGTTGAGCGAGAGGTCCGCGACAGCAGTCGCAAATTCAGAGTCGTCAGATACGTAGATAGATGGTTCTCGTATTGTGTTGGGCATGACATAGAGAGAAGCGTGCTTCTCCAACTGGAAGGGATCCGCTCCTCCTATCTCCGAGCCAGCCAGAGATCCCACATCGGAGTGCGAGGTTGATGGTCTGGTAAAGTCACCCATAGGGATGGGGTCCGCTAGACTCATGTCCAAATCAATGAGACTGCCCGTTGATACTCTGTTGTTTCCAGGTGAAGGTACTGCGAGGTCGTCGAACTGAGCTGAAGGCTGAAGCGGCTCTGTGGGTGGGTGGATAAGACGACTGGTGCTTGGTCCTTCATCATCGTTGAAGGGAAACCTGAACATCTCAGGATTCGCGGAAGCGGGCGGAGCGGCCATCGATGGAAACTTCCAATCTCGTGTTCGACGGTTGTTGCCCATATCTGCTGGGTCGCTGAGTGGTGGCTTGTCGTAAGATATGTCGCCAAAGTCATAGTCAGTTGATGCTCTCGGGTCGCCTGCCCGAATAGTATTCAAATCGACGAACTCGGAGAGATTATTGCCGTCAAGGGACATGTCGAGATCTATAAGGGATTCTCTCACACCTGGAGACTGGGATGAATCGTTCCGCAAAGGCAGATCTGATGCTGGAGGTTGAGAAGGTTGAAAATCAGAAGCAGGTGGTGGGAAAGGGCGGCCATAGTATGCTCGAGAGTTGTCCTCATAATTTGATATCGTATTTGGGTCAAATAGTTTTTCCAAGGGCGCCTTGACAGAAGGAAGATGAGGTGGTGGACGTCGACGCCCTTTTGGCTTTTGAGTGCGTGAAGCATCGTCGAAACCGTCGTTCCTGAAGTCAACATTGGAACCATAAACATCGAATACAGCTTGAGCGTCGCCGGTTTGAAGAACTTGCTGATCGAATGCAGCAGTTGTGCTGAAGTTCCACTCGTCATTGTCCAAGAGCTGAAGACCCAGGTCAGAAGGTCCTTGGGCTCCTCCCGCAGAGAAGAGAGATTTGCGGACACCTCCTTGTGCCTCCCACAACTTGTAGCCTCTAACTAAGTGTGCCAGGTCTGAGGAAGGATACGCGTCTTGGGTGTTGTGTATATACCGATGTCGTTGAATTTGTTCAATTGGAGGACGTTGTTTGGGGTCATCTACCAAGCAGTACGCCACAATATCTTTCAAGCCCTGAGAATACCGGTCTCCCTCAAGGCGAGGGAGGTGCTGTTTAAGGTAAGAGCCCAGCCTGTTGAAATCCATCATACCAGCAGCCACACTTGGCGGCAGGCCTGATGCAATCTCGAATACCATGGCACCAAAGGCCCAAATATCAACCTCTGTACCGTAGGAAGTACTATTGTCGAAGAGCTCGGGGGCCATCCAATGAGGCGTACCAATGACGGTTGAACGCTTGTCGAATTTTGTTTCGATGACACCAGCAACTCCAAAATCACAAAGCTGTACGTTTCCCTCTTCGGTAACCAAGATATTGGCACACTTGATATCTCTGTGAATGATGCCTTGACCGTGGACCCAGTAGATGGCCTCTGCCACCTCGCGCAAGATGGGAATAATCCATTTCTCCTGAAGACCGCCTGGTGAAGTTGGTTTCATGAGAGTAGCGACACTGCCTCCAGCGCAATATTCTGTGATCATCCACATGGATTGACCGACAGGAAGAGCGTCGATAACATGGTTAATATTCTTAGCGCCGCTGTCACTAAGAAGTTGCAAGGCGTTGATCTCTTTGAGTAAATCGCTGTACGTATCGGCAAGCTTGGGGTTGACAGTATCACTCTCTTCAATGTCGATAATCTTGACAGCAACAAGTTGGTTTGATGTTAGAGAGGTGGCCTTGTATACACGACCGAAACTGCCCTTGCCAATGAGTTCTGAAAGACGGTACTGTGGAGGATCCTTTCCGATTTTCAAACACTGCTCAGCGACGAGCTTTTGCATTTTCTTTGCATCTTCAATTGCCTTTTGCTTGCCGACTGCAGAGTCGGGCCCTCTAGGTTGAAGCGACGACATTTTGGTGAATATTTGGGCTGAAGATGTTCAGCAGGGGAGGGATGCAAGCAACTAAGCTAGCTAGCCGACAGATAGAGTAGAGAAAGAACTGATGTGTTTGTTGACTACTTCATGATAATTTCACGCTGTGCAAGTCAAGGGAAAGAAAACCTTGGAGGAACAAGCAGATCGCGGCCCTTAAAATAAAACAAAAAAGAGACGCGATGCGATAAGTTCAAGACAAGGAACCTTTTGTGATGTTGAAACCACAAATAGCTTGAGACTGAACTGTTGCGAAAGGAGAGACCCCTTGACACTTTCCCCGTCAACGTGGAGAGCCAATGAGTGGAGATTATGGAGTTGTGGCGGTGTGCTTTAGTGGCTGACACTTCACCAGCCCCATCACGATAGAACAGACACTACACTTTGATTGAAGCCAAGATGGCAAAGGGAAGTTGAAGAAGTTGTCTTATAGGCAGTCCACGAATAGGCACCGGTTAAAGCAAGAATGATGAAAAGAAGAAGTCTACATTATAATGGAATTTAGATTACATGGCAGCATATCTTGCAGATTTATCTTGAGCGCATTAGAGGTCGAGGTCGGAATCTGTTATCCTGGAGTCATGGGCGCCGGTTGAGTACACAGGCGTGAACATTACAGCTAATGCTCACACCTGTGTACTCAACAGGCGCCCATGACTCCAGGATAACAGATTCCGACCTCTAGGACTTCCGGCCGCATCTTATCAAGAACCCTCCAACCTCTCGAGCATCTTGCTATGGACTCCCTTCCAGCCGGCCTCACACGAGCTTTTGATCATGCCCAGCATGAGCCTAGAGCATGAGATAGTGACGTTTTCGACAATGTTTGATCCCCCATCAACAGTCTCTCCAATCTCCCATACAGTCTCCAGAACCAAGCCCATCGGGCCTCGTGTTCTCACAAAGACGCCTCTCTCCAAGTCAATGAACTCGTATGTGCTGACCACATCAGAATCCCAAAGTCCTGCGGGCAGTGTGTGAACTCTATCTGTCACAGAATAACATTTTGGTTGCCCAACAGGCTTGTGCTCAAGCGTATCAGGGATCGAAGGGGCAGGCTCCGGCGTCGGCAGGGCCTCGTATTTGGTCATATAGGGATCGCATTGTATGAAAAATGCATGGTCATGAAGCATCCCGACAGCTTTAGAAGCTGCTGTTCCTGAAGGGACGGGTGATATGTGCTGTATCTGGGCAGTTGACCGAAACATGGTGGTTTGAAGGAATAAGACGATATAAGTCTCGTAAAAATCCGTATTTCGTGGGACATCGACTAGATAACACCGATGTCGAAAAGGGGGCTAGCTGTGCAGTAGTTATTAGTTCTGAATGACTTGAAAATTGATTGTCGCTTATGAATGACATGGAACAAGTCTTGTTTCATTGAGGTATCATGTTACAGTCAACCATAAAGACATAACCGTCACATATATTTTTTTCCTGTTGAAGAAGAAACAAGTGCGGAGTATTCGAGTATTTCAAGACATTGGGAGATAGAGAGATCTACCAAGGTCTTGGACGTAGACCAAAGAGGGTCTCACGAGCCATGTTGTCTAGTAGGTAGGTATAGAAGTGGAGAGCTGTTTTGATCAACCAAGGACTCACACGTGATCAGAAGTTCGATTGGGCTCTACCGCTGTCACATGACAGCGCGATGGATTTGTCTTTGCCACCTCCCGCGTTTTCGCGTTAACTACTCCAGCTCATCCCACTTCGTTTAGACCCCTTACTACTTAATTTTCCAGGGATCTATGACACCATCACACGACCAAACCAGCTCTGTCTCTCCATTTGGCAAGAACCAGAGGCCAGCATTTGCTTGTGTATTTCTTGTGCCAATTTCAATTTTTAATTACCCGATACTGAATTCTGTACAATACCCTAACTTTCACTATGGTTGCACCAAAGAGACCCAATCGATCGCATACACCAAAAAAGGGTCCTTCGGCCTCACAATTGCCCAAGAAGCCTGTCAAAGCCAATCAAAGTATTCTCAGCTTCTTCAAAAAAGCAGAGAAACATGAAACCTCTCTTTTCCTGGGAGAAGCACCAGCTATTGCCGAAACCGAAGATCTTTACTCTGCCGATGACGCTGACAATTCGACCCAACACAATGAAGCCGATTCACCGAATAAGAGGCGCAAGCTGAGTCAAGAGCTCGAGCAAACAATCAAGACAGAAGTCTCTGTGAAAGTCGAAGAGGTGCTAGTAGCCAAAGACAGTCCATCACCCATTAAAAACGACCAAGAACCACAGCGGAAACCGACGAAACCCAAGATCAAGACTCCCTTTGTGGACTCTGACAGCGAAGACGAATCTGAGGATGAGGCCAAGGCCATAAGCAACAAGTCTGAAAAATCAGGCCAATGTACGGAACTTTCCCCGCATGAAGAAGTCCGGACGGACGGATTGACTAAGGACCATGAAAAGAAAGAGACAGATACTAGGACCCCAGTTTTGAAACAGGAAGACTCGACATACCAGCATTTTGACAATCTAGGAGACATACCAGACGAAGAATTTCCCGATTTGAACGACTCGGAAGGAGAAGAGATGCGAGTAATGCGTTTGATGAAAGAGCAGGCACGATTAGAGGCGGAAGAAGCAGGAATATCGAGCGAAGACTTGGCCGAAGACCCCCCTGACGATGATTCCATGGCGGAGAATTGCCCAATTTGCAATGGTAGTTTGGCAGGGGTCTCAGTAGATGAGGCAACACGACATGTCAATTCTTGCCTCGATGGACATCCAATTCCATTACCAAAGGAGAAAACAACACCAGAGAAGATATCACCCGTAAAGCCCAGCCCCATACACGAAGTCGAATCAACAGAACTCAGCACGAGATTTGCACGGGCTGCCGTTCCCAGACCTGGCCAAGCCAACCCCTTGGAGATAAAAGGTTCCGACTCTGCTCCAAAGACGGCATTTTCTAAGCTCATGTCCAACAATGCTGAAGATTCGGCATGGCAGGAGGCTGCTGCTGCCGAGCATGCTTCTCGGGGAAAGCAAGCTTACGAGAGGACATGCCCGTTCTACAAAATTATGCCTGGTTTCTCCATTTGCGTCGATGCGTTCCGCTACGGTGCCGTCCAAGGTTGTAAAGCATACTTCTTAAGCCATTTCCATAGTGATCACTATATCGGATTAACAGCAAGGTGGTGTCATGGGCCTATATATTGCAGCAAGGTCACTGGCAGTCTTGTCAGGAATCAACTTCGCACGGCAGCAAAGTGGGTTGTTGAGCTTGAGTTTGACAAGTCCTACGACATTCCAGGGACTGAGGGTGCAACTGTCACCATGATACCAGCCAACCACTGCCCGGGAAGCTCTCTCTTTCTCTTCGAGAAGACAACAAATCAGGGGGCCAATAGTCGTGTTCAGCGTATATTACATTGTGGAGATTTTCGAGCTTGTCCTGCGCATGTCAAAAATCCTCTTCTCAAACCAAACATCATCGACTCCATTTCTGGGAAGGTCAAACAACAAAAGATTGATATCTGCTATTTGGATACGACGTACCTCAATCCGAAGTACTCCTTTCCACCTCAGAACGATGTCATCAAAGCTTGTGCTGACCTTTGTGGATCAATGTCTCCTGATCCCAACTGTAAAGACGATATTTGGGAAAAGGCCAGTGGGCAGGGCACTCCAGCAGTTAGCAAGTTCTTCCCGAACGCAAAGTCTGATGAGAAAGACAAGGTCGACACCAAGAAAAAGCATCCTCAACGGTTACTTGTAATTTGCGGCACCTACTCAATTGGTAAAGAGCGCATTTGCATCTCCATCGCCAAAGCCCTCAAATCTAAAATCTTCGCAACACCTGGCAAGATCAAAATCTGCAAACAACTTGGCGACCCAGAACTTTCTGAGCTTTTGACATCCGACCCTCTCGAAGCGCAAGTGCACATGCAAATGTTGATGGAGATTCGTGCTGAAACGCTCCAAGAATATCTCAATAGCTACAAACCATATTTCAGTCGTATAGTCGGACTTCGTCCCAGCGGTTGGAACTTTAGGCCTACAGGCAAATCCTTTGGTGCCAACACTCCACCTGGAAGCATTCATACCCAACAAATCCTCCACGACAACAACTGGCGCACGAGATTTGGATACAAGGATTTTGTTCCACAGAGAGGCAGCACCAAGGAAGCCATGTGTTTCGGAGTTCCATACTCTGAACACAGCAGTTTTCGAGAGCTAGCCATGTTTCTCATGAGTTTACGGATTGAAAAGGTTATCCCGACCGTCAACGTAGGTAGTGAACAGTCAAGAAAGCGGATGAAGGGGTGGATAGATCGTTGGCTGGCAGAGAGGAGGCGAGCAGGGTTGGTGGTACCACTCATAGAAGGCGAAGAAAACGACCCAATGGCTGAGAAAGAACTATGGGATGGCAAACCTGGTATGGCAGGCGGGGCGTTTTGGTAACGACGATTCTGTTGAAATTATGAATAGCATGTTTTGTATTGTAGCGAGAATTTATATAACTTTTATGGTCTTGGACAAAGTCGAGATGGGTGCTCAACGTGGATCAGTTAGTCTCATTTGAGCATTAAAACCATTCACTTGAAAATAGGAAAAGAACAGCATTTCATTATCCATATCAGGAGCCAACGCCTCATGAGTCCTCCCCTTTTTTTTTGCCATCTCATTTCTGATGCAGTTGACCTCTAAAAGTCCATCCCACGTGGTTCGCTCTCCCTCTCATCCATTGGCTTGAACCGCTCATTTCGCCTTGGCCTGCTGAGCAGCAGCTTCTGTAAAACACGACATATCAGTTCACCAACCTTGTGTGGAATTCTTTGGATAGAAAAAAAGAAGGAAAAGACTTACCTCTTCGGGTGGCATCCTCGAGTAGCTGCGTGTCAACTGACGCACCAGGGAGGTGAACATATCTCACGACTGAGCCTCTAATAAAGACATTCTTGACGGAGCTCTGCAAAACAAGTCAGTTATTTCGCCCTCCAAATGACTGAGGGTTAATAAAAAAAAACAGGATTATACGCACGAGATGAGGGTACTTGAGCTCCTCCACAACCTGGATGTCATCAAGCTTGATGTTGAGGTACTGATCCACACTCTTGAGAATGCCCTTGAGCTGAATATCGTTCTTGAGCTCAACAGTGACCTCATGGTCAATAAGAGTCTTGAAAAAGCTATGCGACAAAGAGCGTCAGCTTTGAGAACATGGGGGCGAGTGTGTTGGGTAAGTAGATATACCTGAAGAAGAGCATTGTGTCGGTGACTCTTTCACGATGGCAGCTCTTGTCCTAGAGAAAATAGATATAGTTTGAGGACTCTTTTAGAGAACTGAGAGTCAGAATATCAGAGTTTCTGATAATTAATGGGCGTAGTCGTCGAGAGAGGCTGTTTAGATGGGTGGTGGTGCAAGATCTCCATCATGATAGCGGCTACAGTTAAGGCGCCAGTTGAGTATGGTCACGTGATCCATCATGGCTTGACCTTGTCCAACCTACAACACTTGTTGACTTATTGATGTCGTCTTTCTCTTTTGTGATGTAATTCTTCCTAATAAACATGAAAATTGTATCGATAAATACCTAGGTACTGGGGCAGGGAATCTGGCCTCCAAGTTTTAGGTAATAAAAATAATCAACATGTCTGTTCTAAGCAGTATAAACCGACCGACCTACTAACTAAATTCCTCTGTGTTTACAGGTCAGTTCTACCAATACCTTGAGACATGATTCCTAGTTCGGTGAATATTGCTGATTCTCTCACTAAACTACGAGAAACGTCATGTCACAAGCAGCAGTAGAAACTAGGTAGGTACAGCAGCTATAAAGGTTCAGAATAGTCTTCAACGCTCGAATTCTTCTCCTGGCATAACACCAAATGCGGAGACTAGTAATAGCAAATATATAATTCTGCTCCCTTCCCTAAGTCCCTTTCCCGAGTACCTTTCCAACACTACTGCAGTGTCTCCATGTTTTGCAGATAAATGACAATGTTCTGCAATCTCAACGCCATGCAAGCCCGGGAAATGCCGATTCCTTTATTTCATGATTCATGCGATTACTTGATGATGATCTGTATGTTTTATGCAACATAACGGTACAAAGATGGTGCGCCGTCTTCATCAGGGCGCTCGAGGTATTCTCTTGCGATGAGATCTTCGATGCGCTTCTTGATGAGCGAGACTTCAGGCTTGAAGCGACCCGACAGCTGGGTGAGAACTTCGCTAATAAGCTGAGAATGTGAGAGCTCCTTTCGAGATCTAGGAATGTTAGTATCTAAACCTAAACTGCAGAGTCGGTATAGGAAATGCATACTTCATTATTCTCACAATTGCTGCGTCAACAATGTGAGCTCTCGTCTGGTTGTTCTTTTCCTCAGTAGTCTTTCGCTCTGACGTGTCTTCAACCTTTGACACCGCATTGATGATGGGCGCTTTGATGCGGATAGTCTTGCTCTGGAAGGATGCGTTAAAAGTAAATTTGTCGCCTGCTTTCACTGATTTGTTGGCTGGATCCTTGAGCAGGACACGAGACTTGGGTGCTACCGCAATGGCCGTTAACGTCCGCATGAGATCCTGGCTCGAAATGTTCGTCTTGGCCTGTATCTCCTCAAATGTCAAGGACTGATCATCTTCCAGGTCATTGAAGAGAAGCATGACAACCATAGCAAATGTCGGCACGTTGATCTCATATCTCCGCTCTCTTGATAGAGGGCCAGACTTCCCAGCGATGGCCGGGAAAGTACATTTGATATCAGAGCTGCCAGTCGTGCCAATCCAGGTAAGCTTGCGTCCATTACGATCATTCAGATAGAACTGCTCAAAGCTTGCCTGTAGTCGCTGCAAATCAGGTGGGTACGTGCAAGTAACACGAGAACCCTCGCCAATCTGTGCGGTACGCCCCATGACCTCAGGTGGCCAGTAGTTTGTGGTAAGAACGTTGATGTTGAGGTCGATAGTCTTACTACCGTCTCCAACATTGCGAATGTGGTCACGGTAGCCGGTGGTGAGCTCCGTAGACGTGACCAGATCTCTGAACATGCCTTCGAATTTGCTGGTGAACTGCTGTCCAAGCTCCTGCTTCATTCGAGAGATGATTTGCTTCTCAACGTCGTGACTTTCGGACTTGCCGTGAAGTAGCCGTCTAGCCAGATGTCTCTGGTAGTATGTCTGGAACAGATCTCTGTCTTGCAGGTACCGGATCAAGACAATGGCTTTTTCAAGAACAACATCTACCTCCGCTTCTGTCTTTCCCTTGATACCTCTTTTGAGGTTATCGTCAATAAACAGGGAGACGTATTCAGAGCTCCGATTGAACATGTTGATGAAGTCGGAAAAGCTCTTGGTCAGGGCGCTTTGGATGATGAGGTCGTCTGAGAAGCAACGGGTCCAAAGATTATCAAACTTGTCCTTCAAACGAAGAACATCGTCGACCCATTTGATTGCAGCAGCAGTCTGCTGTGCAGCTGGGTTCAAGGTCTTTCCCTTGCCGCCTTCACCTTCTTCTCCATCGGCTTGGCCAGTCGAGAAGTCTGTATTCTTCAGGACCTTTTCGATGTCCAAGCCAAGCTCAACCACACGGCGCTGCAGAATATCCCGCAAAGATGCCTTTGTGGAATCGACTCTGGAGATTAGCCTGTAGAGGATAGAAAGCTCCTCAACCTTGTCGTTGTCAATCATCCACTTCAATCCGCTCCCTTCGAGTGCCAGAAATTCACTCAGATGCTTAATGATCAGCTCTTGATCAATAGTTGATGTGACTTTTGGCAGTGTCTCCAGTTCGATTGTGGTTCCGCATCGGTCGATCTCCTCATTCAACCTCGTCTGGGTGTGTCGAAGCCAGGCCCCGGCGTCCGATTCGCGTAGTAGCTTCTCGCATTCGGTGGCATAGTAGGTTTTACTATTATCAAGAAAGCAGGGCTCAAAGACTGTGGTGTATAGCTTGTCGCTTTCCTTCTCGTCTTCGGTTTCGTAAAGACTGCTGAGCATTCGGGTGCAACTTCGAATAAGATTTCGATCTATGATATCTCCTTCGCGCTCCATGTTGATCTGATCGAGGACAACGGAAATTAGGATATCGATGACCTTGTGGTTGGTTTCTAGGGATGAACGAAGGATATTATCTCGGAAAAGCGCGATGGTGGTGGCGAAGATGGGGACTCGTTGCGCTTCGAGCTGGGTATAGCCACGGTCGAGGTACATGAGTATGTCCGCCGTCATGTTCATAGACATGTTGTGGTCTTCCCACTTGTCGCGCAGCCCTTTGAGGAATCTCTCTCCAGTCTGCCTCCTTTCGTGGACCGATGTGCCTCCGATATTGATCAGGCTCTTGCTGACCAGTGCTTTGATTTCAGGGATAACATTCTCGGAAAACCAATCTTGTTCAAAGGCTTTGACCTTTTCATAGAGGACTTCGCCTTTCTTCTTAAGGACGATTTTGTAGGCCGCCCGGTACAGTTCTTCGAAAGATAGCTTGCTGCAATTCTTCTTGTGTATGTCCGTAAGCGCTTCCCTGAGCATTGTCCAGCATACCTCAAAATCGGAACCTTCGCCAGCGTCGGTGGACTAGATGCACATTTATTAGTCTTGCGATCCTGGGTCTGCGGGAGCGGAAACTCTTGCTCGCTCTGAGGCATACTCACGCGCACAATGCGACGAGGGGGTCTGATCCGACCTCGAGCGCCGGCTCCTCCACGACCCGTAATCATGTTTGCTTGAGTACAACCTGATGATAGATGTCACCCCGGTGGACGATGATAGTGATGTTCTCCAGGCTTTAGAGAACAGAAACAAGTGAGCTCAGGGCAGTATAAATACCATAAACTGGCTTACTGACTGAGTTTCATATAACCTTAAGGTTACATAAAGCATACAAAAATGGAATCGTCGAAAAAGAAGGAAGAGGTCTGGTGAGCTTCTGATCGATCTAAAGGCGAGAGATGGTGGGGTAAAGCAGGTTGCGGCTTTCAAGGCGGGGTGCGCAGTGAATGACAAAAGGACAAATGAAAGCGAACGTTCACCAGAGAGAACTAAGGATTCCAACCCTGAGGTTCCGTTCAAGAACAAGGGGGTTGAAGGAATCCCCAGGCTGAAGGCAAGAGGCGAGCAATGAATGATGACATAGTCAAGTTGGCGAGGCTGCAATTTATGGTTGCTTGCTCCCCCTGGCATACTTTGGTGAATGAACCGCGGGTCTCGTTATCGATAAGTAATCTTTGCCGCAATGGGTCACGATCAAAACAAGTGTGGAGGCTCGACCCAGCCAACCTACAGTCGTAAGCACCCAAGGGTATCAGAAAAGTTGGCCGCTAGACAGCACGAGAGACGAAATTAGTAGGTTAGTTAATGCGTCTTTGACCAGACTTTTGGGTTATTCATTTTTGTACCCAAAGCTCTGAGACCAACTTTTTAATCACCTTCAAGAGCCAAAGATGTAGAACAGTTCAAGGAATGTCAGAGTAAAGAATAGCGACCTATCCAAACTTACTTCTTGGTATCTCCAACTCCAAGTTTAATTAAATTCCAACTAAGTTTGTTCTCATTATATTCAGCCTCGATATCTTGAGATCTATCTCTAAACTTTGGGTCGAGGTTGACATCCTGGCTAACTCGGAGATCACGTGCCGCTCCAGAAGCTCCGAACCTCGATTTTTCCGACCGACAGTTCAGGCGGTCGTGGTAGCCAGCCTCTCAGCCTCACGCCGAATCGATTTCACGACGACGCGCCCATTAAACTCCTACTTCACAACCACCACCAACTTCCACAAGTAATCTAAAGCGCATAGTTCCTCTTCAGTCGCCAAGATGAAGCTCGTCCGGTACGAACAATTCCCCACGCTTTGCGCTCCACCTCATTCGTGCTGAGCTTCTTTTTCCAATTTGGAGCTTTTGGACTAACTTGATTCTCCTAGATTCCTCATGAAATGCGCCAACGAGACGGTGACAATTGAGTTGAAAAATGGTACGGAAAGCTCATATCCTTTCCCCTTAAGCTTGGGAGAATGCAGCAGCACGCTAACTTGTTCTCAGGCACCATCATCCACGGCACAATCTCCTCCGTCTCTCCACAGATGAACACGGCTCTTCGCAACGTCAAGATGACCATCAAGGGTCAGGAGCCCATTTCCCTCGAGACCATGAACATCCGAGGTTCTACAATTCGATACTTCATCCTTCCCGATTCACTACCTCTCGACACACTACTCATCGACGACGCGCCCAAGCCCAAGAACAAGGCCCGCAAGGAGGCAGCGGACCGCGGTGCCCGAGGAGGTCGAGGCAGAGGCGGCCCCAGGGGACGTGGACGCGGCGGTGGTGGTCGTGGCCGCGGAGGACGACCTTAGATGGAACCATACGGAAAGAGATAGGAGGCCAGGGGAGAAGAAGGATGGAAGCGTAAAGGCGCATCATTCGTGGAGTGGCTATGATATCGCGATGATATCACATTTTAAATGGAACTTGGCGTTCGGGTTGTTTAGCCATAAAAACTGTATGAATCTGAATCCTCTTGGGGTGGGTATCGCCTTTTGGTAGGTATGGAAAGATATCTGAATACATGCATGCTCTTACAAGCCTCAAAGTCATGGCAGCATCCCTTTTTTTTTATACATCTTCTTTTTATTCCGCAACGCTCACATAGTCTCGCCATATCCGCACGATCTGCAACTTCTCCCATCCGGCCTGCTTGCCGCTTGTACCAACAGTTTGAGCCCGCCATTCAGGTCCGAATCCCTGGATCCGACTCTTGACTTGATCAGGCTTGTTCTGTGCGCAGAGAAGGAGATAAGCACAACCACGACGGGACAGAGTTCGTGGCAGTGCCTCGATCAGCCTGTCTGTTGTCTCCATGCCATCCACGCCGCCTGCATATGACAAAGCCAAGAGGTATGAGTCATCATCAAAAGAGGTCTTTGCGGTAACTGCCAAGTCGTCTGCAACAAATGCTTCTGGCCTGGCAGGCATCCCAGGTGTCGGCACATATGGAGGGTTGAAGATGAGGACATCAATTGTGCCCTCACGCCACGAGGTTGTGAGATCTCCCATACACGAGCCCAAGTACGAGGCATGAGAGTCGGGATTGTCAGACTCTGCCTTTGCTACGGTCCCGACAGTTGCGCGGCATGCAAACGCATTCATGTCGATACCGGCTGTGAGGACCTGGTGTGTACCAAAGAATTTCTGTGCATGCGCGTGCACAAAGGCGAGGACAACCCCTGAGCCTGTGCCGACCTCCACCACTAGAGGTGCAGCACCTGGGAAGGCATTTTGTAGATACTCGGTCTCAGAAGCGGATGAGAGTGTGTCTAAAAGGAGATACGAGTCTTCAGCTGGTTCGTAGACCCGCTCATATGGGACGTGAGAAGTATCCGGTGTGGGAAGCATGATGTGCGGCGTGCAATGGGTAAGGATGATGTGGTTGTGGTGAGACTTCATAGATTTATGGGTGGAAAACTTGTGATGGCTCTATGTGGACATGGCACGTGATATATTGAGTGAAGCATATGATGCTAAAGAATGGATGGCAACAGGACCCAAATATGAATCAATATTCAGGGCGTTTGAACTTGTAATGAATCAGTAGAGATAATGGGTGGTTGACATAGCATTCAATAGAGAGAGACCTGCTGTCCATAATCGATGTTGTTCTCGTATGTCGACCTTGAAGAAACCACTTAGCAACCACGTTGTCGATCCCATGACAAAAACCCATTCATTACCACAGTCCCTTATTGAATCACACACTTGATTTCGCAACCCCAATCATTTCTCCCTGGTCCGACTCCCCATTTGATTCCATATCCCATAGCTTCCACCATCCGAACCAAGTTGCGATCGTACACGCCGTGTAGTTGACATCGCGGACAAGGCTGACTCTTTGTGTTGTAAAATTTGGGCGGATCTTTGGCTGTACCGTCGCAAAAGGTCGGGCAGGTGTTGATGCCCATGTAAGGCATGCAGGGCTCTGTGAGGACGACCCAGGTGTGCTTGCATTTTTTATGCTTGAAGTATGTGACTGTGCACATATTGGGAGTCTAGGCTGGGGATGCGATATTGAGTATCAAGAGAGAAAAGCTTTGAGTATTCAAGTGCAGAAGAAAAACGCGAATACTTTTAGTATTTTCAGGAAGAGCTCGCTATTTGGTGGTGTGAAGGAAGTTTGCTTCTGGCAGTGCCACTGAATCAGTGTAGGAACAATACCAAGCAAATAAAATACAAAGGCTGCCTAGTCATCCAGTACTCATTACAAGCTCATCCTCAGCATGTAACCAGGCCTAACCTTGCATAATTCCCCATGCTGTTTGGTCTTCAGATCTTCTAAATGAGGACTCTGCCGTGTTCTCCCCTCTCAGTGTGCCGCTCTCCTCCAGCTCCGAGTCACTGATGGCATCTTCGTCAGATGGTACCAGGCGCGACAGCATAGCCTCCATGCGTCTTATCGACTTCTCCATTTTCGCCAATCTATCTGATGACCCCTCGAACATATCGTTTTCGGAGAAAGATCCACGCAGCTTCTGTGCCGGAATACCTGGAAACATAGAGTCTCGTCTAGATGGTCGTCGGCCTCCAGGATCAGGACGGGCATGAGGCTCCGAGTTTCGCGGCTCTAATTCATTTGTGGCTCCGCGTGTAAACTGGCGACGGATGAGATGGTGAGTAAGGTCATCGTCGACAGCAATATCGTCGTGTACTGCGTCAGGTGGTGGGACTTGAAACACAGCACGTAGATCTCGATGGACCGTCAACCGCCACATCTTCCAGAACTGGCTCTTGGTCGGCAGTGGAGCTTTGATCTCGCTAGGATCCTCAATTACTCGGGCAGGCCAGAGCAGTCGACGCTCAGCAACAGCGATGATAAGAAGTAGGGGCAGATTCAAGATCTTGACGGCCGCAACGTGAATCTTGTGGAACCAGCGCGGGCTTACAACAAATTTGAGAGGGATGAATAAGAAGACGGCAATGATGTTGAAGGGGGGCTGGTACGCAAAGACAGCGTCGGCTTTGACGCCTTCGAGAGTGAGCACAGCTCGTCGGAAGCTGATCTCTTGTATAGCGTTTGTCGAAATATTACTAAAGGTATTGGACAACATGGAGACCAGAATGGTAAGGAAGAGAGTGTTTCCTAGGAAAGCGAACGCGACCATAACACTAGGTCCGAGTAGCCAGTGGAACTCGGTCTAAGAGAGATCGGTTAGTTAGCAATACAGCGAAGGGAACAACGATTACTTACCGATCGTTGGATACCTGTGCCATCTAATCCAAACCAGATGTATATCATCCATTTCGATATCGTCCTAGTGCGCGTCAGTATCACGTTACACAATGAGCGATACAGTGAAACATACAGAAGAGGGTGTGCTCCCTCGCCAAGCCAGAGTAGAGAAAGCAAGAATCCCAAGAAGCACCAGGCGGAGAGGGCCGTCAGGAAGAAAAAGTCTGCCATCATTGACCTGAGAGACAAAAACACCAAATTGTCTCTTAGTAGATTAAAGGCCAGACGCGGGACTAATACGGGAGCTGCGAGCGCAAGCACATCGAATGCTTGCTCGTCCAAGTTGGTGTCGTCCAATTTCCAACCCAGGAACCGCAGGATCAGATATCCCCAGTAAATAAAGATAAAGGTTACATCGAGGAATGACCAGAGATTTTGGGTATACACATTCCTATTAATATGTGTCAGTGATGATGAAAGGTCAGAGACATAGTAGTGACATACCATCCGTGGGCCAAAATAGTAGCAAACTGATCTAATCCCCATCCAAAAGCAAAGATAGAAAACGCAGCTTCAGTTGGCCCATAGCGGTTCTTCCTTCTAAGAACCATAACCGCAACATAGAGGGCGAGCAGCGTAGCGAATTGGATGGACTCAAGAACGTTTCGGGTACGGGGGACGATCAGACGGTACTGGTTGAGGAGGGGTGAGTCGCGAGGGTCATAGATAGAGATGGGCTTCAGCTTGTAATGGTCAGGAATGATGTCCCAGAACGTCGAAGGAGTATAAACAATCCGTCCTTCGTAGATTGCGTTCACGACCTTTTCACAAGTTGCCGAGCTGAGGAAGTGCTTGCTCTCTGTGACGATGGCAATCTCTAGAGAAGGCAGTGTCTTATAATCGACCCAGGTAGTTGTCCTTTCTGCCTCGTCTCGAATCTCTTCAGGAGCATTCTGGAAGGGCTCAAAGCCTGCAACGAGGATATGGGCGAGTAAGAGGAGACCATCGTGACCATCATCGTGCACTTCACCAAAGCGTCGTAGAATGCGCGTAGCAATCAGCTCACATAAAGTGGCACGAGTGAAGTTAACATTGTTTCGATTGCTCAAGTGAGACTGCTCTTCCAGAAACTGTGCACGATTTACCAGCAAACAGTAGACTATGAGAAGTGGTCAGTAAAGGGTATTTACAATCCATCTTCACTGTTCTTCTTACTGATAGAAATGTCATTGAGGCCAAAGAACTTATCAACCAGCGGCCGCACGACTGTCACATTAATTCTCAGATCCTGCAGCTGGGCGAGGCTCAGGTAATCCTCAACGACGCTGATGATATCGCGACGGATACGGTGAATGTTGGTATACACGGGCAAATGGCTATGGGGGTCTGTCATGCAGCTATACAGTGCCTCGCGGTTCTCTGGGCCGCCGCCAGTACTGAGCCTACTCAGTAAAGGACGACGTTCATCCGCTGAGGGGTCCGGCAACGTGATGCGCCGGCGAGTATTGGCTGCCATGAATTGAAGAGTCCAGTGAGTCAGTAAGTCAATATAGTGTAATGTCTAGGTTAAAGGAGTAGTAAGTAAGTTGGGTAGATAGGACTAGGACCCTCAATTGTATTGATGGGATGTCGCGTTGTCGAGGGGGTTTTTAGTCAAGTTACAGTAAATCAAGTTTTGGCCCTTTTTGGCATTAGCGAGCGATAAGCTTGATTGATGTGCTGTAAAACGACCCTCAAAAGATTCGCGCTATGGGGCATGTATAAGGGTCTACTTGGCGGTGAAGACAAGATACAGTTTTAATTGACCAATCTGCAAAAAGTAACAAAGATTTTCCTGTCAAGGGAAAAAGATGTTATCGCAAAAGTCTAACGTCATAAGCTCTCAACTCCCGGCATGTTTCAGATTTGAATCTTGGGGTGTTGCACCTCAAAACACCAACCACCACTCCATATATATATATATAGCACCTACTGACGATCTTGCAACCTATATTTGCAGTGACACAATCTTTTACTCAAGAGAATCACACAGTGCATTGAAGAAAACACCATACATTACGCCATGACACAATAAATATCCTACAACTTTGTCACAGTCTCGTCGGCACCAGCTTCTTTAGCCAATGCCCAGGCAAACTCAGCCAAAGATCCCCTCGTCTCAGCATGCTGTCTCGCTTTTTCACTGCTCGCTTGTCTAAGCGCATAACGCGCTGCAATGCCCTGACACACACCCGCCAGCTTCCAGATGCTAAACGACATGCCCCACGGCACCTCCGGCCGAGCGTCGTAGCCACTTTCCTCTGCGTACCACTCCAGAATCTTCTCCGGCTGTGGAAGACCATCAGTTTTGCCGGGGAGGAATCCTGATGCATCGTATGGAGTTGCACCAGGGGATTTGGCCGAGTAGAAGTTGGTGAGGAAGTTGCAGATATCGGAAAGGGGATGGCCGATGGTAGACATTTCCCAACTGTAAGAATTGTTAATATCGCCAGTCTTACGGTAGGTGGAACAAAGGACGCCAAAACATACTCCAATATTCCAATCACTCTAGGCTCCGTCTTGTGAAACACCAGGTTATCAATCTTGTAATCACCGTGGACAAGCGTTGCCCGGTCCTTGGGCTGCAATCGCTCATTCTTAAAGAAACGGACAGTCTCTTCAAAATATGGCAATTTGCCCACTGATTCCTTGGTCTCGATATCGACAGCCTTTTCCTGGCTTCCGCAAATCGTCACCCAAGTATTGATCTGTCGATGATAGAAACCCGATGGTTTACCAAACTTTTCCAGCCCAACCTTTTTGTAATCAACTGCATGGAATCGAGCCAGGGTTAACACAGCATCGCGCCACATGGCCTCACGTTCGGCTGGCTCTACACCAGGCATCGTGAAGTCCTCAAAAATACGACCATCGAGAAACTCCATTATGTAAAACGGTGTTCCGATTACAGAGTCATCCTCGCATAAGCAGTACGTCTTGGGGACGGCAACATCAGTGTTTTCAAGAGCATGCATGATGCGGTACTCGCGCTCAACTTTGTGGGCTGTCTTGGAGAGGAGCTTTCCAGGTGGCTTCTTTCGCATCACGAAGCGCTGGCCATCGGAAGCGGTGATTTGATATGTTGGGTTGGACTGACCAAAGCCAAACTAGTCTGATGTCAGATGCAGTACAATACATAGTAATAAGCTACTCACTTGTTTGAGGTCAATTGGTGTTTTGATGTCAGGTACATTTTCAGAAATGAACTTCTGAAGCGCCGCCTCGTCGACGGGCTGTCGAATTCTACCAGCCATGGGAATAAAGTAAAGCGAGGTGAAAGCAGATAGTATGAAGGGATGATCGGATATCAATGCTCAACCACGCGTTTGCTTCAAATGAAGAAGAACGTGTCGTGTTAAATGACAACTTCTTTATATGATATCGCGAATGAAAGGGAGAGAGAAAGATGTAAATTACTACTCCGTAAGAAAGTCAACATCCAGTCCAAGGTTGTAATATGAGATGCCGAGGTTCATGTCTGGGGGATACGGTAACTAGCTCCTAGCCTCTGCAGCTCATGCGGCCCCTCTTCCCCAAGATGTCTCCACAATCCCCAGTTCCATCCCTCGGTTCATAAATTCCCTACTAACAGCATCGACATCTACCTCTCTCTAGGTACTAAATCTATGATAATTTTATTCTATCAACGCAAAATTAAATCATCACGCAATCGGTAGCCATATCATAATAACTTTCAACTTCATGCTATAAACATTGACATCCTTCGTTCATTATCAGGGTGCTCGAGGCCTCTTAAGCCCCAGTATGTCATCCCCCCAGTCATTCCCCATACCCCTACTGGGTTCAATCCGTCTCTTAAACAAACTATCGGCATGCACACATAATCGAGGCGCCATATACAAGCTCCCACCACGGACCAGCCGAAGCAGAATACCGCTATTCAAGAAACAAGCAAACGGTATATAAAAGAGTAATCCTCCCCTGTCCTGTCTTACACCCCCACCGACACAATACATATGGAGTAAACATTCATGCCCAACAAAAAAAAAAAAAACTCTGACAAATGAAAGCAAACAAAGAAAACCATGGTGACAAGCCCTCCAAATAGCTATGTGGCCCAGGGTCAAGAGAGCAGAAAATTCCGTGGTATCAGTATCCATAACGCCAAGCCCTTCCGTCTGATGTGGTCGTAGTACATAGATCAATATATGTCGAGATGTTTTTGTGGTCGAGAGTCGTATTGTCGTTATAGATCATTTACCAGCCCTTCTTCCGAGCGAAGCGCTTATTCAACAATGCCAACACCTTTGGTACGTTGAACTGGACGTATTCGAGGTCAAGATCATCCTGGTTATCTTTTTGCATTTCAAGCAAATCATCAAGCTTGAGATCCAACTCAAGCAAGCCTCTATTGCGACCTGTCTCGGGTTAGTATTATCACACATGACTGAAATCTGTACAACTTACCCTTGTAGTGCAATGAGATAACAAAGGTTCCCGGCAATGGACTAGTAAAATTGAAGTAGATGTTGGCCCGTCTGTTGTCCGGAACGTTGCTCTTCTGGATGACACCCTCCTTCTCAAGTTGCTGATGAGTGAACTTGTATGGACCAAGAACTTGCTGCTTCTGCTGCTTTCTCTTAGTACCCTCGCTTTGCGATCGAACGTTGTGCAGGTAGCTCTTGTAAGTCTCAAGCTGTCCGTTGAGATACACGTTGTGGTCACGGATGGTCTTGTAAACCTCCTGCAACTTCGAAGTTTCCGTGATCACACCTTCCTTGAGGGAGCCAAGATGCTGAAGTTCTTGCTCAACTTCGTCGCGGAGGAGGCCGAATTGGTCGGTTTTGTCGATAACATGCATTTCCTGAAGCTGAGAAAGCAATTCCATGGCACGAATACCCTTTCGCACCATCACTGCATCACTGCGGTTCTTGGCTGCAGCATCAGCAATAAGGTCCAGTCGCAGCGGGCGCCTGGCTACGCCACTAGTTGATGGAATTGATCGCATGACTTGGACGAAAATCGACTTGGCTTCCATGAAATACACTTCCTCCTGAGTGATGTCCAAAGCTGCTGTGAGATCACCGATGGCTGATTCCCATCGGCTGAACAAGGGCAAGTTGATGACCCTGTTCTCTTTGCGTGGTAGCTGGGGAGGTGAGGATCCCAGTTCCGACATGATGATGGCAAGATGCGAATTGTCATCCTTCCACAGTTCATTGTGGTGCTTGTCAATCAGCGAGTGCATGGCGTAAACTTCGTTGAGAGTGATCTCAAGCTCGAGGTCTTTCTTTGAGAGAGCGACGTAGTTGTCCATTTCGAGACTCTCATAGAAGTCCTGAACTTCACAGAGGTCAATCATGAATTTGTTGATCCTGTCCTTGTTCTGGTGAATGAACGGCTGGAGCTTAGCCATGTATGGCTCCTTGGCGTATGATGGCTTGTTCGCAAGGTTCTGAAGCATCTTGGCGATATAGGTCAGAGTTCGTCGTGGTCGCTCGGCCGGGGTCCCGTCGATGAGCATGTACGATTTGGGAGTAACGATTGCAGGGTTGATAAAGCGCAGGAAGAAGAATCCGCCGATTAAAGTACAGATGACTTGGTCATTAGCGTCAGGATACTTACGTTTGGTCAAGCTCCTAATCTGCTTGCAAATCCAGCGGATACCGTAAGGCGCTTCCTCGAGTCCCTCGATAATGGTGGTCAAGAAGCCGTTAGCAATCTCGGTCAACATAGTCAAGCGGGGCTCGATAATGGCCTGAACCTGAGGGTTCTCGGCAGCCTGCTCGCCCGTAATTCCCTTGGGAAGATGAGGGGGCAGTTGGCCGGTATCCTCCTCAATCTGTTCGATCATTCGCTCATAAACTTTGAGCGGGTTGATTTCGAGATCGAGATCCTTCAATTCGATCAGGCCATTGATTCTATCAGCAAGTACCGACTTGAGGAAACTCTGACCAGGTCCTCTTCGAGTGTATGTTGTCATCATTCGGGAAACGGGTGTGTTGGCGCGAAGCAAGGACGAGTAGTCGGGAGTGTTGTCGAATTGATATGTCAAAACAGACTAAGTCTTGTAAGAATCCAACAGCTCAGTGCATGATGGTAAATGAACGTACCTGAAACATAGTGAGGAGAAGGTGTTCTTCACGACTCTCGTATTGGTTTCCGTAAATGGTGAACATGACTGTCTGGAGCAGGGAGTCAATTTCGGACATGGAAACCAATCTGCAAAGATGAGCAATGTGTCTAGGCTCAGACTGTAGAAGGAAGAGAAGGTTTCCGTATTTTTGCGTCTTATCGTCGTTTGGGAAACCACCCTGCTGCATTTCAAGAGCATCTTCAAGATGGCTGGCGACTTCATTTTGCTAGTGGCTTGTGAGAACTGGTTCATTTAATTGCCAAAGTAAGCATACCTCTTCCAAAGCCATGCGGTTCTGAATAAGCAATGCGATTCGGGAGTCCAGATATCGAACATCCTTCTCAAGGACGAAGTTCTTCTTAGACTGTGATGAAATTTTCGATTTGAGATCACGCAAGGCCTTTTGAGCTGTAAAGAGAGTCAATGGCTCAGCTTCTCACCATGAAATGACTGGCACCTACCTTTGGCAAGTTCATCTTCAATTTGGAGGTCTCCTTCGTTGGCGGAAATCGACATATACAATGCCGACATGGAATAGCGCTTCGACTGGCGCGCAGAGCGCGAACCGTCGTAGGAAGACATGGTATTCTGACGAGATATAGGCTGGAAGGAAGAGGAGGAGGCGGTTGAAGCTCGAGATGGTGTTTGTAACATGACTGACATAGTGTGTCTGCTACAACTCGGGAGGGCAAAGGTTTAGGCTCATATGCCTCTTGAAACCCAAATAGAGCTTCGTTATTACAGTCGCACTGAGCGGTGACTCAGCTGTCCCGGATAATCGAAGGCGTGCCAGTCTATCCTGATGACTATGAGTCGAGACAGATTCGTTGGTGGTTATGAAACAAGTCGTCGAGTGATGGCGGGTAGCCAGGCGTGTAGACAGCGATGCCTGTGTGTTGGTGGATTACAACAATACGATCAAAAGGACGAACAGAAATCGATCTTGCGACAAGTCGGTCGGGTTCGTCAGCGGTTATGAGATGCGAATGGCGGTTTGGGCGCGCAATTAGGGTACGGTCGATCGGAAGACGAAAGAGGAGTGGACACAAGCGACGATCGAAGATGGAAAGCAATGAGAGCAAATCGATGGGGGACGACAGTGTGTCGTGAAGCAAAGTTCTGGGGTAAAAACCTCGATCTCACGAGGAGCGCAGGATAATACGATCAAGCAAGAAAGAAGCGCAAAATGGAGGACAAAAAGACAACGAATTGATCGATGGTGATAACGAAAGTGGAGGTGGTAGCGGTGGTAGTGGTAGTGATAATGGTGGCAGACAGGCAGATGTTTGGAAGGGGAAGGGGGGCCGGTGATAGAATTGTACAGGTACAGGCGACACAACGAACAGACCAAGTACCTGAACTAAGGAGGTACTTGTCTCGGGGTGGTTCAGGTAGTGGACTGCAAGGTACCGGACAAGGGTGCAATCTGTATCGTCGGGCAGATTTATGCACGGCTGAGACGCGGACTCCAGGAGGGAGAGACGGCGCGTGGGACGGTCGGTGGATCGTTGGCGTTGAAAGCTGCAGGGACGGACGTGCGTTGTGGGTTTTAGGCTTGGGCTTCTTGGTGTGTCTAGTGCGTGTGTGTGGGGGGAGAGAAAAAAGATAGGAGGAGGAACAGAATAGTTGCAGACACGAAACAAGCGATGGTAGATGTAAGGATGGTTGCTGTATCCGAATCGTAAGGTGCTGTAGTGCGTAGATTGATTAATTGATTGATGAGCAGCGATCGCCGTTGAATAAAGCGTTAGAAGCGGAAGGAAAGAGGTTATCGAGAAACGTGACAAATAACGTGCCCAGTGGCTTTTCGCTGAGTGGAAGGAGGTACCCGCCTCCTACCTCGCGGGTATCAATTACAAAAAGGCAAGAATCAGGGGTCAAGTCTAATGTGAAAGGCAAGCACAGATAATGAAAACAAAATAAAGGTCAGGAAAGGGGAAGCTACAGAGGCAGTACTATCTTAGGAAGGTACAGCACAGGTTGGGACTGTCCCTTATTAGCTGAGGACAGCTGTGGTGGATGATACCCTGTAAACAGACATTTTTAAGTGATGGTGGGAGTTTGTTGTATGTTCCTCAGAATATCTACACTACCTACCTCGGCAACGTGGCTGGAGTTTAGTCTGAGTTTCTGACATGCTACAGTGTAGTGGATGCAGAAGCCTTGGAGCTAAGAAATCAGCCAAATGAATTGTTGTTGACAGTGAGTGAACCTAGATTGTCATTGGATACTTTGGAGATAGCTTCGGAGCCAAGGCGCGGTGGTGTTTAACAGCAATATAATATTCTCACAATCATCCGCAGCAGCCATCAACAAATATGTACCCTTGTTATTACAATTCTGGCTGTTTCCAGGCATGTCGTACAGAAAGGGAAGATAAGGGGACAGGCAGAGCAGAACCAAGCCCTGAAGGGTTCCATAGACGGGCTGGGGTCAGGGGGAGACACATAGAGACAGTGACAAAAATCAGAGTGGATGTGAAAACATAATCGTTTTTAGAGCGGGCTCTCGCATCGTAGCGGGAACCGACAGGGGCCCATGACGGATCAGCAACAACCTGCCATCGCCGTTGGTGATGATACGGAATATTGCAAGGTATGGAATACCTCAACGGCCGGTTAACGAGACCGTTGGAACGCTGCAGATGAGCAACAAAGAACTCTTTCGTTCAATTTACCTTGTCCCCGTTTTGGTGCCAGCTTTGACGGATATTACTTTGACTCTGCACGTGCCATAGGAGTCTAACAGAATTATGGCAAAGACCCGAGCAGGAAATCAGTCCAGTCGCCTCTTGAATCTGTGTGGAACGAAGGCGTCGCAAAGGCGGGCATTGGCGGGGTTTCTTTGACAGAAGGTAGCCCAGTTTGTGGTGGTACAAACTACTAACAAATCGTCTATCTCGTTTGACCTTGAACCCCAACCTCTCAAGCAGGTTCTGGGCTATGATTGGAATTGATCATCCTGTCGTCGCCAGACCGCCACAGTTATTAAACTTGTTATGGCTGATCAGTGGCGATGATCTATGTATCAACCAGTCCCGTATAGTTCTGATATGATGGTCCTTGACGAGTTTAGTCTTGTGTGTGTGCAATGCCAGTTAGGTCCCTGATCCATGTTAGGGATTTTCCTCAAGCATGACCAGCCAAAGAACAAAACTCTGGGTAAACTCCCGTTGTTTTGGAACTCGGTCAACTGAAGGGTCCGGCCTTCACAACAGCGCTGGATTAATTAACGGCACTTATCAAAAGAAAGCTGTGGCCTTGTTGGTATCCAAGCTGAGAGAGGTTGAAGCGTATAACAAGCACAGAGCTTTTATGTTCAAAACTAAACTGAGAGTAGACAAGGAGGGGGTTGGAGATCACCCCAGGTGCTCTCTGTTCACTGGACAGACAAGAGCCTAAAGACCAAATCAGTCCTCGTGCCTGGATAAGTTTTGTTGCAATACGTAGTATCAATTAGTTAGCGGTCGTCGAGGAAGAGCGAAGCGAGAAGAGAAGAGACAAGACAAGACGCCAGAGGGACCAGAGGGGCCAGAGGGAGGGGAGGGGGGCGTCAGTCATTCATCCTTGCGTGCCAAGCCAGGGGTAGATTAGACCTTGGCCCGTTTCGGGCTAGACATAAAGACAAGGCACAGGGCTCAGGCTCTACTAAAGTGCCTGCACCTGCTTATGCATCCACTGACGGGTCGTTGTGGATGCCCTCCAAGTCCATGATGGAGGGGGTCCTATGATGTTTGTTTCTTCTCTGTAATTATGCTCTGTGGCAGATATGCTCAGGTATGTTTGGGCTTGTTCTTGTAATATCAAGAGCGAATTATCTGTGAATGGCTTCATCAACCTTTCAAGTATCTGTCAAATCTTCCAGGTTTCTGGTACAGCTTCTAATAGAGCCCATACAGCGGAGGTCCGCCCGTGTGACTGTATGAGGTCATAATGTTCTTTAGCGAGAGAAAAGTGACTTGACTTTGATAGTGAAATGATGAGAATCACATCAGCTCCAGTGAAGACCCAATAATAGTAGTAGCAGTATGTAACCCCCAATTTTTAATTTTATATAAAAAAAACCAGAAAAAGAAAAAAGAGATTGAAGATCCTCAGTCCTCTCTGTGCGTCAATAATAAGGGTTCTTGGTCTGTTTCTATTGGTCCAGTCTAAATATCAACTTCCATTGTCTTGTTACCCTCAATTGTCAGCACACATCATACATATCGTCACATTCCAAGCGCGGCATGTCTCGCATCAAATTGTCTCTTTCTTTCCTTCTCTCCATGTACCTTTCTTCACTAATAACCAGCCCCAAGACCCATGTCTCTGGCGTGCTGTGCCTTTATTCCCTCTCTTTCCAGGTCCCCCTGTCTGCCATGTACATTCCCCTGTTCAATTCGCAAAGTACATCGAGTCCAAAGGTACTTACAAACAATGACCTGGTTGCTGGCTTCCCTGTAGAAAGTAAAAGCGTTGCGGGCTGCAATTGTTGTTTGGCCTGACTTAATAATTGTCGATCACCGGCAGAGAAACACGATGCAACGACAAACGGCTGCAGAGTTTTGAAGATCGCCATCTTGGGCGTTATCACAGCACATTAACCCCCTTGTCACAAGGCGATCGAGTTCTATTTTGTTCTTACCTTTCTTTTCTTTTTCCTTTGGCGAATGCGAGGCTCATGCTTGGCGGTTTGGATTATACGGTCTCATACCACAAGCCCATGCTACGATCGTCAATATCATGTCCTTCTCATATACTTCTGTGGCTCTCTTTTCGAAAAGTGGAAACCAAGGTTCGCATGGTATGTATGTATGTCAATGTTGGATAACCGACCATGACAAGTCATTCTCACGAAGCGAAAGGCTTTCTCTCCACATTGTGATCCTCGATACAACGCAAGCCATGGTCTTGCAATAACGGCAATGTCTTTCACTCTCAGGAAAGCATTGTTTCCCTCGAGTGGCTAAGCTGATACCAGATCTAGACAACGCCAGACCCTAACATTGGTGTTGATGGCTTGCATCGCTGGGTATTAGCCGTTGCTTCTACCAATCACTAGCCATCCTGGCTACATCACACATAAATGAATGCCAGACTCGAATCCCTCAACAGCCTTGGAGTCTGTGTCACGCATACATCAGTATGTATTTTAGAGCCTGACGCATTGCGTCTTCAACTCACTGTTCAGTCTGTCGGGTCCCAAGCCTCCAAGAAAAAGCAAGCAGGCGTCAAAGCGGGTGATAGAGTGCATGGAGCTAGTAGATGCACATCAGCATGCATCACCAGGTTGAGCCGGGGAATTGGAACCAACGTTCAAGACCCAGCCAACGTTCGTATCATCCAATAGTGTCCACTTGTACAATCACTCCTTGCTTGTCGGCTTGTATAGCTTGTCCACTTTTGGACTCATCAGTTCTAACCTCAGATCATTATCACCCTCTTTCATGTCAAGTCCAAGATACGAGCAATCCCATCAGAATCTAGAGAACACGTCCCCCACGTGCTTCTAACTGACGGCAATGACACCTTGATCTCGTGTTTGTGCCCCTGCATATACAAGAACAGTAAGCTGACTTGGCCCCAGGTCGTAAGCTCTTATATCAGCCTATGGGAGAATTGTGCCTGGCATGCGGCACAGACTCATCGATGCTATCATTTTACACATCAACTCCACTAACTGGAAGAATGGAACCATGTAGCCGACGACCGAAGACAATCCGAATACGCAAGGAGATCTGTTTTTTTGCTTCTTGACGTGATCGAACAAAGCACAGATGATGTGATTCTGCCAGTGTTTCCCCTACCAGACAGGGTTCCATACGTCGTCGGCCGATCGAATCCTTGATCAATCCTGAAACGAAGACCACTTTGTTCACGGGACGAGCCTAGTTTGTCTCCATTGCGTATCAAAATACATGCATCATTGCATGTGTGAGTGCAGCTCATCTCACGTTTATGTAACAACCCACACCCAGGCTCGGTTGGTTCCGGTATCAGATTGCTCAACCCTCAACATCGGCTTTGACGGCTGTCTCGACGTATGTTTATCGCATTATGCTTGTCTTATCCTTGTGTCTGACAAGGGCAGTTCAATCAATGCTGGTGATGTGTACCATGATGTATATGTGATGAACTATTAAAAACACCACACTTATGCTGAGCCTCTTGAAACGGTAGCGACTACGTGGGTCTGTTCTGTGACCAGATGGCATGAATGGCATTCAGGAGTACACAGACTGTTCCCCTTGCTAGCATGTGTGGCCAGTATATTAAACATTGGGTATTGTTATCGTTCTGGGGGTTCTGTGGTGATTGCTGCTCTATTTCTATTTATAAAAATCGCCAGAGCATCGTCAAATGTACCGAACGACTGATAGCAAGTCGCACGTTGCGCCGTCAAACCAGGCGTTTCCGGATTTCAAGTCATGCCTGCGACTTCGATTTCCTTACGCAGTAAATTCGTTGACGTCCTAAAGATTATTATCTGCGTGTGCCGCCAGTACTGATCTGCTTATATCACAGTTTTGGTACTGGTGATATAGCCATGGAGAAACTCAGCCGTCTGACTTGCGTTTCACTATAGTAGAGATCCCACAGTAGATGGTATCCTGAACTACAGTTTGATCCCGCCCACGTTCCTGGAAAACTCCCCTATCGTCAATATACCAATCGTCCGGTTCCTCCTCTATCAACAGATGATGTGTTCCCAGTAATTGGATAACGGCTGTTACCTAGCCGGCCGAGTCCTTAGGGGGCAGATCCTGGTCTTCGCCGTTTCGATATCCGTACGGAACTGGATCACTGCGGTTTCTACCTTGCGGCAGAGGGAAAAGACTCAGTAATTGATTGAAGGAGGTTTCATAGTCCTTCTTGTAGATGATGCCGATCACACACTCCGAGTCAAAATCCGGGTGATGGTCCAGGTTGTCCTATTCCTGGTTCACAAGCGTATATTGACCTGAGTCTGAGTTCTGAACGGGCATGAAAAAACGGCCGTGCATTCTAGTTTTGTGCGTTTGGATGAATATACCACTTGGTATGTCTCCTCTATCTCCTTCGTCGTTGTGACTGGCTCTGAAGTCAACAACATGAACCGCAAGGGAATGTCGAAACCAAGTAGGCAATGTGTATTTTAGTGTCCGAACTGTTGGCGACGAAATATTATTTGTTTCGTTCGGCTCGTTGGCGGTGTTCTGATGTTGGTCGTTTGCTGGGGCCAAAGGACGTTGGAGAGTCCAAGTTGAGTATTCTATGAGACTGGCAATATCCATGATCGCGGTTCCTGGAGAATTATCTCCGACGACTCGGTTCGTTATCGATGGTCAAGATTAGGGGCCTATACGTTGATGAGCTTGTGTTCCATGTATTTATAGATGTGGTAGCTTTATGAACTCACAATAAGGGCGGCTGGCTATCCAGTGCGCAATGGCATGCTCAACTTGGGAGAGGAAGAACACTTGAGGGCAGAGATCATTCTGGAAGGGGATTTTAATTCCCATGCTTAAGTTGCATCTCTATATTGATAGTGAATATGTTTAGTGACGGTTAATTATGCAGATTCAGAGGAATGGTAGCACACATAAATACCATTGTTTTAGTACCACCGGCATCGGCAGACACTTCAACGTATCTGCCTAGAATTGTATCAAGGCAGAACCTGTTTGTTTAGCATTCAACATATTTTACTGCTCACTGTGTCGGCTCCTCGGCTTGTTGGTGAAGAAAAGAGAAAATGTATTCAAAATATTTACCTACGTGTAAATAGTTCTAGATTCAACCAAATATTAAGTTTGTTGATAACAAAACTCAATCTGATAAAAGTTCAACGACGTCTTCATACCAAACTAATTCTCCCATTGACAACAACACATTTGGTGAGCTGGAGTTGCTTAACCAACCAAACATTTGTATCACTAATAGTGAGTGGAGCTCAGTCTGATGTCATTAAGCCTATTTAGTAGCTAAGCTCCCCCAAGCTTCGAGAGCTCCACCTCCGCCTCGAACCTCAAACCAGCAATTGCCGACTTGTACACACTCAACCCATACAATCCACCTCAATAATCGCCTCAATTCGCCTCTAGCCATGTCTTTCCGAGCTCCCCTCCGTCGATTCGCCTTCGCCAGGCCCTCTTCCTCTATCTCCGTCGCTGCCCGTGGCTTCCACTCGACCCCTCGTGCCTCCGTCCGGGTCGGCCAAGAGATCCCGAACACCGACGTCCTCCTCGAGGATTCGCCCGGAAACAAAGTTAACCTTGCTGAAGAGTTCAAGACATCCAACGGATACATCATTGGTGTCCCCGCCGCCTTTTCTGGCACATGCTCCAGCAAGCATGTCCCCTCATACATCAACCACCCCAAGCTCAAACAGGCTGGGCAGGTTTTTGTTGTCTCCGTCAACGACCCCTTTGTGTAAGTTTCGTTTCCCTCTACATTCTATTACATGCCCTAGTTAGTCCCACATGAAGCTAACTAGTCACGCAGCATGAAGGCCTGGAGCGACCAGCTTGACCCCGCAAAACAGACCGGAGTGAGTCAACATCCATGATATATACCAATTCACCTCATCAGAGCCTCTATACGTGCTTCTTCTAACACATACAAGATCCGATTCCTCGGTGACCCCACTGGTGAGTTCACCAAGGCCTTGGACCTCGGTTTCGAGGCATACGCTGTCTTCGGTGGCATGCGAGGCAAGCGATACGCTCTCAAGGTTGAGGATGGCAAGGTCAGTAAGGCCTACGTCGAGCCTGATAACACAGGAAGTGCTGGTAAGTGGTTTTTTCTTTGGTGGCTGTATCTTTCAAATGCTAATATACATTCACCAGTGTCCATGGCCGAGCAGGTTCTCGAATAGGAGCTATGACGATCATGCCCAGGCAGGCTGTGTTATCTGTGTCCTCTTATATGCATCCATCTACAGGAGGTTCCTCGGAATATCTAAGAATTTACGTTACGAGAGCACAAAGTAACGAACCTACCCGGACAATCTACTTGGTTCCATGGATCCGAGGTGCAGTGATCTCTTTGCATTTGCCATTGTGTAGTAACCACCAAATCTTGCCATTGAGATTCACACAGATTGCCACCACAACTAGTGCACGATCTTATTCATGTCACATGGTCTTCTTCTCTGTTGATCATTTGCCATGCACCAGCTTAAGCTCAGCGTTGGGTCAGTCGTCACCTTCATGTGATCTTTGCAGATGTCATGAGAGTTTTGTCTCATGCGCTTTCTCATACCCAACCTGTATCTCACATGATGCAAGATTGTCACTTGATCTTTCAGTCATCTATACGAACGAACTTACGCCTTCATGACAATCCTCTGCGTCGTGTATACAATCCAGAAACGAACACTGAGCCCGTATAATCATGGCGATATTGCTAAGCTCGTAAACACATATGGTCTACATATTTGTGGCATCAATCTAAATTCACCACCATTGAGGGCAAAACCCCCAGCCAGATCAAGTGTTGAAACTGTATACGCCTCCGTGAAGATTGTGGCGACATCTTTGTATCTACTTCTCGTAGAACTGTCAACCTTCTGAACTTGCCACAATAGTCGAGAAGTTTCTGCTTACGTGCTATTCGATTCGATTCGATGTACACCATGATTCACGAACTTACGCACAGGTTCTAAAGACGCACACTTTAGGGTAAATTGCAGATTCTACAAGAACTTGCTTGTTGCAAAGATGCCGAGTTTCAACCTGCATGCCTTGGCCAGTGTGCTATTCAGTGATAGCGAGAAGCATATAAATGTAGTGAGTCATTCATCCTATGGATATCACAGAATTAAAATCTTGACTACATTTGCGTAATCTGGTCTTCCTTGAACTCATTTCACTTATTTCCTATGTGAATAGCAAAGCAATAATGATAGAATGAGTCCAGCAAAGTGAGTGTTTTACAGATGTGTTGTACGGGAACTCTAAGCCTTTTAAGTTATGTTGCTTAATTCCAACTCTATCGTACGTGGTGTCTTTCGAATCATTAACCAGTTCCCCTTATTCTGAACAAAATTTGGCTTTACAACAACACGTTGTAAGTTCTGAAGCTGAAGGTTAATTTAAGTTCCGAAATACCCTGTACTAAAACGGCCTGGAAGATGTTTTTATCTTGACTACATTCACAGATACCTACCAAGGTGTAGGTTATTTTTATGACAAACCCCGAAAACTCATGAGCCGCTCAAGTACTCTAACAAGACAAGGTTGGGGTTAAAGATGAATAAATTGGGTAACAACACATCGTAGGCGTCCTTTACATCAATATGTAAAAGGCGTGCTGTAACAAAAACCACAGCACATACTATCCACTGACTCAACCAAAGTCAAATAGTGACTTTTGAGGAGTAAAGTAATTTCTGAGGGGGGAAAACGCCATCCCTAAACTACGGCAAAATTTTCCTTAATAGGAAACGAAGCTGGCTATGATTGATCATGCTCGCCAAATATCGTGTCAGGAGTGAAGGGACGATTGTTCACCCGATAGCCGAACGGATCCATTAAAAGACGGAAAAGAAGCAATACCTTGCCGAATAAATATGCAAGGCCCGGAATGATGATCGACGGGTCGCGCCGTCCAAGGGCCCCAAGCTCACAAGCGGAGAGAGGAGCCCATTGCTAAGGAGCTTCAACGGTGGCGGCGAATGAGAAACCATCGCAAGGGCTTCAGCTCATCACCTCAAATGAGCTGAAGCTACTAGACAGGGACGAAACAGAGACTAACAAAGGGCTTAGGCCAGGGGCAGGGACGCGTCTGGAACGCGATGCTGGGAGTAGCTTCATAGCAGTGGGCGAATTAAGCGCGCAACAAGGGCATTGGATGAAAATCAGAGGTAATTAATAGCGAATCAGAGTTGTGAGATGCTTGTGTCATGGCCCAATATGAGACGGTCATGTACTCCGAGCTTAGTTTCGGGAAAATAGTCGACTTTCGAATGGCCATTGTTGAAAATCAAGTCAAATCTGTCAAGGTTACGAATCATGCTACTGTGATAGTGGCGAGCCAAGGCCGACGTGACTAGCATCAAAACCTAGATGCAGAAATTGCGGCTGAGGTGATACCGGACATTACAATTGTGTCCAAGAGTGGCAATGTAAAACAAGCCAGGCCTCATCTCTATCCAAGACAAGGTGGTCGCACGTACATGTCATCACAACTTGAGCCTGAGGTTTTCTGATGAAGGTATGGTGTACCCATCCATACCTCAGGCAGGTCGATGCTGTACGTACTGAAGATGGGCTGATGTTTAAAGTCACCAACGTCAGGCATTGTAGTTGGGTTCCCACCGAGTACCTTGTGTCAAAGACTCGGACAACATCTGTCTGATCCGAACCCCCGAGGCAAACAGCCTAATGAGCTGCACATCTAAATTCAGCCTATCCATATTTGGTGTTATCTGTGCTGTTGCCAGTGTAGGTAGGTAGGTAGGTAGGTCGTCGTCTCAGAATAGTTACGACATGGCTGTCGAGGTTGGGCTGGTATACATGCCGACCTAGATCATAGGGCGGCTGCATGCATTGACGTTGGGAAATGGAATGATTGGGATGCAATCCATCATGGCACAGGTATCCCGTCATCTGCTACCTCGATGACCTGTTGCATAGTCTTGGGTGCTGTAGATTTCTTCCCATCTGAATGCCCAATGTAGATATACGTCGGGGCCAATCGGAATATTATCGATCCCTGGTACAAGCTGGTAACCAATCGATCCAGGTCGAAGCCTTAATTCTTTGTCAACAGAAGCACTATGTTCAAGCTTACAACAAACTCTCCTTCTATGTCAGAAATAACAATGAGAAGAGGAGGCGAGATGACGGATCTCTACCCAACCACACCATCATAATCCGCCCCAAGCCGCAAACCAAATTGTGACAACTGGCCAACCATGCGCATGCATCTAGTCATCCACGGGCCACAACCACCACCACTGCCAGCAGCAGAGGCAGCAGCAAGACATAAGGACACACACCACTCAAGCCCCCACCATCTGAGACGATGTGCGATACACGAAGAGGCAAGCAGGGCATGGTAGGTATAACGAGGTTGTGATATGGCCCTGCGCTCCTGTAATCCTGGATATTGCAGTGCAACAAACAAATGAATGCCCTGTATGAGATGAAGCACATCCGACAACACACTGAGCCACTGAGCTGAATATCTCCTGATAATTATTGGATTGTATGCAAATTGTTTTCTTTTGCGCTTGATATGATTGTTCTCAAACTCGGTGCTTCAGAATCCAATGTCATAGCATCAGTCTGGAAACAAAGCGACGTCAATTGAAGGTACGCGCCGCGTCCGTGTGCGACAGGGCACACAGAGCTCCTCGCCCACATGCGGACCTCTCGGCAGGTTATCCCGCATATTCCCATTGAGGTGCGACGACCGTGTTACCTGATGGCGATCCACAAAGCCAAGGATCATGGCCACTCACCGACTCCATAGGTCTTACGTACGAACGACCGACCTACTGCAGCCAGCATTAGCAGCTTTCCAGGACTGAACACATTGACGACAGGGCTTGACGGCAGTAACCTGAGAAGATGAAATGAATCAACACAACTGCCTCTGTCCTGCCAGAAATTTGGAACAGTCTCGTACCCTCGCACTCATCATGCATGGGTCTTTTTCGACGCGATCGAAGTTTGTTGCTCGCGTGGTAGTAGATATAGGCACTGTAACAGTCCAAGGAATTCTGCACGTGGACCATGGCGCAGTGGAGCTACACTTGAGGAACGAACAATTGACGCAGGATCTAAGCCAAGTTGATAATGAGCAATGAGGCTTGGAAATGTCTCTGATCTCCAATATGCGACCAGTAACGCGAAGGTCCAGATCGCCGGATTTATCTGTGAGCAAGTGCCGACAATAATACACCGATATTTGCCAATGATTTTGCCGGCCTCCATCCTTATAACTCGGCCATATTCTGGAATCGTAAAGCTTGTATGAAATATGGCTCCGATGTTGAATTTTAGGTGGCTTTTTGACAATACTGAGCACTGGAAGGAAATGTACTTTGTTCCAATTGATAGATAGCATTGTCGAATTCGATATGCAAAATGATCAAATATGGGCCCTGAATATGCCCATAGCCAGTCACCGCTCTTCGTATACCAAAATTGGCTACCTCTTTGGGAGCGCTGTCAAAAAACCTCAGCTCACTTCGAGTAAGATCTTGTGCTCTATTTTGTCACCATCAATGAAAGCTCGGGCTAATTTTAGCCCTTCCGGTTTGCCAACTCATCTATACACCATCCACGGATAATGATCGTCCGACAAGAGAGAGGGGTGGGAAAGCCTAGGCAAAAAGCAGGTGGATTGTGGTTGTGATACCTGTCGTCACCACAATTCACATCGTCCTGCTTACTACCCGAGAGCTCGCTTTTATGTGAAAAAGTACCTAGTAATAGTCATTGTGCAGATGGGTACGAAGAAGCTATTTGAAGGTGAAATTAGAAATGGAAAAAAGATAACATACATCTGTCTAGTGTAAATTTGATACGAGACCCAAAGGAATTGTGTTGTAGGAAGCAATGTTTTGGTTAAAGGATCCTACCACTTCAGCATCAGCAGTCTTCAGCTATCAATTCCTGGGTGGGGTACATGCTGTGTATCAGATAAGAAATTGTCTGAATTTATTGATAGCTGGAATAAGAAGAAGAAAATGTGTTTAATTTATTAAGTGAATGAGCATGATCAAGTGACCGTGAAATATTAAGCCCGAGCAGTTATTTAGTGTAAGTTTATCTATATCTACATAGTACTGAGCATAATGAAGATCTTGAAGTCGTTGCGCGTGAGAATTCTTGACGCCCGGACCTTCTATTCGTACTAGGTAGACGCCACTACCAGCCCCCTCTATATCAGCGTTTCACCCCTCCAGCAGGGGCTCCCCTACCCGAAAAAAAAAAGAGCTACCCGTTTAAACAGAAGGTTGCTGTAGTGGATGAAGCCGTTGCGTCATGGCCCGGAATATGGATTATCCAATCAAGGGCTGGATGTGGAATTTTACCCACAATTTGATTACTGTGGCCAGTCAAAAATTACTGAAGTAGTCTGGAGCCTGCCCCCTCAAATCATCTTCTCGCATTCCCTCGTCCTCCTCGCCGGCTTCACCAATCAATCCTTCTCCTCCCATCCACTCAATTCAGATTTGTCCCAGGCCTCTCATCGAAACATTAATTTGATTTGATCGAGCTGTGTCGCTAGGTACTATAATCTGCCTGGCCATTCACAATTCGCAATCAGTCTCGACTCTGGTCTTGATTGGATCACATCCGCGCAAACCGCCCGTTATCTAAAGGCAGTACAATAAACGCTCTGTTCACGCTGCCAGCTTTGAGCTTTGGTTGGCCAAAACTACGACAAGCTTCTGTGCCTGCGAGCTCTGAGTCTTGCGATTCGTTCAACACCTTGCAAATCACCTTAACAGGCAACACGACTGGAGCTACAGCTATTGTTCAAGCTTCATTCAGCCTTACAACCGCTGCATATCAACGTCAACTGCACCGCCTGAAAATTCAATATTGCGACTTGATCTTGAAGTCTCCTTCATTTGGCAACCACTTTATCACAGGTCGGCTTGTCATTTTTCACCCCCTGCCACCCAGCCCTCAGCTCAAACAAAACCTTACAACAAGCCCAAGCTGTTCTTACTTATACTATACCTCTCACCCTTCGTCAGATAACCTTCAAGCCCAACTCGGTGTATTTTGCCACAACATCTATACTTTTGCCTGAACCACGTATATCAGTGGCTATTGTTTCTTTGATCGATTGTTTTCTTTTACATTCGAACGTCACCTTTTTGGTCTTTTCACACAAGATCAAATACCAGACCAGACCAGACCAGACCGGTCGGTCTCTTTCTTTCCTCCTTCATTCACATTGGCCGTTTCCGGCCTGTATTGGAAACGTGAATCCCCCTACTTTCGGCTTGGGGATTCTCGGCTTCATATTAGTTTGGCTTGGCCTTGTTTCTAAAGCTGCCTGTCTGTCACCAAATTGCAAACACGAGCTAGCTACCAAGACTTGCCGCGCGACAAGACTAGCCATCGCTCGCCCGAGACAACCCACCCACCCCGGTTCGAATTAAACCCACCCTGCCCCGATAGCAAATCAGCACTCTGCCGCATTTCGCTTCGCCTTTTCAACTCACGACTTTGAAGCCTATCATCGTCGTCAGTATCGTCTTGCCTGTATTCATTGGCCGCATCGTCTATCACCTGACGGTTCTTGTCTGCGGATCCCGATTATACCCCAGATTCGAGCTATCTTGTTAATTGACTTTGAAAGGGACGTTGCACGATTAAGCTTGAGTGTGCTCAAGGCATCATATCAACGGCATACCCGCGTTCGTGTGCGCCTCAGCATCTCGCAGCACAAAAGGTACGTAGAGATTCAACTCTTGTCGCGCTCTCTGTCAACGTTGCACATTGTTTTCTTTCTCATCACTGGTAATTTCCCTTTTTTCTTTCTTTGCCCCGGTGCTGGTGGCCCTGCTCGTCCCTGAACAGTAAGCGCGTCGTGTCGCGGTGACTGTCAGATCGTGTCAGCATCGCATTGTTGCTACCACTTCATTTGGCAAAACGCGTCTTTTATTCGAAAAATAGCGCCCCAACGCGTGTGTTGTATGTCATCATTGATAGCTCGTGGTACATCGAGTATTCTGAGCTTTATTGTTGCACTTGAACTTAATTGACGTTACTTGCGCGTACTTAGACTGACAACATTAATAGCCGTTCAAGCGACCGTTGTCGTGCTCAGATAAACTTTCAACATGTATGTATTGCATGTTCCTACTCTATTGCTCTGCTTTCAACCTCATACTTTTTTTTTTTGTCTATCATGGTTTATTCATCTCAATGGACTTATCAGGTCCTTTTCTCCTTCGCCTTGTGTTCCACATAGCATTGTGTCTGGGCACTCTAGTTTCTACTCCTCCGTCATGAAACGTCGCAGTCGAGTGTCTGCTTCGTACTACGGCTGATGAAGTTGGGAAGTGTGATGCCCCCAGTCTTTTCTCTTTGCTATTACTCTTGCCTCACAAGCCTTGGCGTGCACAGCTGTGCTATACAAGTCTTCTCCCCTTCTGGCGAGCCAATACCCCGCTTCCAGACCCTGTTGCGAGGCGCAAACCGCAGTTGTCCAGAATCCCGGAAGAGAATAAGTCATGGCAGCCAATCATTTTGGCTGTCGCCCGCCCTTGCTTGATCAAAGCTCACATCGCATGCCTGGACGACGCCGTTTAAGGACTGTCGTCGATATCTGCATTGCAGACTGAACCGACGCCTCGCCGGTTTTGATACGTCTATGCAGGCAAGGCAGGTCAATGACATCAACCGCCGAGCCGGAGGTCTAGGCAAAGCCGCATTCTATCCCAGAGCCTCAAGTCTGCCCAACGAAGGAAGTATCCTGCTTTGAGGCCCCGAGAATCAATTCTTACATTACAGTCCATGCAGCTTTGAGCAAATGACTTGTGGGCTGGCTGGCTGGAAGGTGTGGGCCCATCTGTTGCTGCATATTCCGTCATGCATGAGACTCTGGGTTGCCAACGCATCAAGAGTGGCTTTCCAAACGCGCATCTGCACCTCAATCGTTCCCGCCCCCGTTTTTACGCCGTTCCTCTTACTCTAGCTTGACCTATATACACTTGAGCTAACGCCTATGGTTGGACAGATCTTTCAAGACAAGCAACCGACCAGCCAGCGCTGTCCTGTCGCTGTTATTTGTCCTGTGTTTGTTGGTATCCTTCAAACTCGACATTCTTGCTTGTGTGGCTGTGTAAATCGCCGTATTTACCTACCATAATCGAAAGCAGAACCAAGCCACAGCAACATCTACTCGGCTTGACCTGCCAGCTCACGTACGCGTGCCCAATTACTATATTGTGGCCGCTTGCAGAGAATCTTCGATTTGCTCCAATACGCCCGAGACAGTACCCAACCGAGAGATTGATTTCGAATATCGCACAGGAGTGATCAATTGCTGCGATCGAAGATATTCTTTTCCCCGTCTTCTTTAATTTGCACAAAGAGGGCATAGTATCACGCGTCAAGTATCAGGACAAACTAGTTGTTGATACTACGCGTGATACAGGGATAACGCGACGAGGACGCTTCCTCAACACTTGTCAACGAGACCGCACTAGAGGAGGATGGATTACGGCCAATATCAGCAACAAGGGCAAAACACAAACTCGGGTTACGCAAACTCAACTGCTGCCAACAACATCACATCACCAACGAACATCTCCCAGCACCCAGTGCAGTCGTCACCCATTATCTCTTCCCAACAGCAAGGTCAAACTCAAGGTCACAGCATGTATCAGCCACCGTACGGAGTACCGCAGCAGGGTATGCAGCAAGTTCATTATGGCATGAATGGTATACAGGCGGCCGCAATGGCGGCGACCGCTGCTGCCTCTGGTTCAAACTATGGCTACATGCCTGCGGATCCCAACATGCCTCAGAGCTCACCCCGCATGGGCGCCAATGCTAAGAAGGATGGACGCCAATCTCCTCGCATGAACAGCATGTCTCAATTACCTGGACGTAGAATGAGTCAGGTCACAAGCCCTGGCGTTCCTACTGCACCGATGATGACCCATGCCGGCACGCGTCCAGGCGTCGCACCACCGCAGATGCCGACCGCACAGATGCAACATCCGCAATCGCCTGACATGCCGGCCGCTAGCGGTGCAGAAGAATCGCCGCTATACGTGAACGCTAAGCAATTCCACCGTATTCTCAAGCGCCGCGTTGCCCGCCAAAAGCTCGAGGAACAACTGCGACTGACCTCCAAAGGACGCAAGCCATACCTTCACGAGTCACGACACAACCACGCTATGCGAAGGCCCCGTGGCCCTGGTGGTCGCTTTCTTACAGCCGAAGAAGTTGCGGCCATGGAACGCGATGGCGAGAAAGGTGCCGATGGAAAAGACAACTCTGCTGGAGAGAACTCAGGAAGTGCGGGAACAAAGCGCAAGTCTGAAGCCGGCTCGGCAACCTCGAATAAAAAAGCTAAGACGGACACAGCGAGCCCAGGGGACGAAGAAGATGAGGATGATGGTTAGTGTGGTGCTTGAGTGCATCCATGGCCCATTTTTGCTCCTTCCAACCCTTTGCGTTTTACGACGTCACGAAAGCACGATTCTTATTTCATTCTGCCGCTCTTCTGTTCCCTACGCGATCTCAAAGAACCTACGTGGTGCAAGGGGCTTTCTGTTATTCTGGTGAGCGTGTCTCCTACGGATCGTGTATGGTCATGGGCTTGACATGTCTTGACGGTCTATATGAACGCTGTTTCTGCCGCGCAACTTTGGACGGGACGTCTGTTTTTGAGTTTCATTAATAAAGCAAGCACTCGTCTGGCAACAGGCAGTTCATGTCTATTATCAGACTAGCGTGACTAGGGGATATTGGATGGGTAGAATGCACGACCGATACCCTACCTCGTTTTTTCATTCGTCCCAATTTTCTCACAAACTCTTCACTATTTCATATTTCTGTCTTTACTTTTCTTGGAGGGGTTATCAAGGTTAGATTGTCCGTCCGCAACATTCATAACTGTCATCTGTCCACTGGTCGGATTTCATTTGACATTCATGGGAAAGAGCAAGCGGGAAACATGGAAATGCGAAGGAAAACAAAATAAAGAAAGAAAGTATCGAACGGGTAAATGGAGAATACACCAAGCCGCTTATATAAGGACTAGGGCTCCATCTTGCCATTGGCTTGAGGCTTTCTCATGTGTGCGTATGCGTGTGTGTATATGTTAGAGGTCAGGGCGTTGGATTGATTGATGGGTGTCGTATTTATGAATTAAGGTTTATACACGTTTGTTGCTTTAACGGTCTCTACTGTGACTCTAAAAGTATGATAATCTTTAGGCGTGCAGCTTGGCCACGAGAGGTAGGCCTGTTAGTTATACATATTCTTATTGGGAAAGTCAGTCGTTAGGAAACCTTGATTTAAGATTTTGATCTACGCGGATCTTTTGTTGGTAGAAGGCTCGGGCCGAGTTTAGAGTACAAAAAACGTAAAACATTTGACGGGTTTGGCTTCCAAAGTATAATGCCTTGTTTGCCTGCAAGCTTTGTCACAAGAGGTAAAACATAAAACATAGAAATTAGCATCTTAGACTATTAGGTTACCAGCGTTTGTAACCTAAAACTCATCGATCAACGGATCTGATATCATATCTCATAAGTCATGAATAAAAACCAGAGTCGTAATACAACAAACAAAGAAATCAACACCGACTGAGGGAAGAAAAGCGTCATGATACAAGACCAGTCCATCACCAAAGCACAAACTCCAAAAGGAATCGCAGTCAAAAAGCACTATCTACATTGAACACTCCCCAACACCGCCCTTCTCCAAATCCCCAATTCGTTCTCGAGGCAATGTCGGCATCCTCAGTGAGCATATGCCACTGTTAATCCGTGGTGCGACGGCCACGATGGACCGATTGTCAGAAACATCAGCGGAATCTCGTGCGTGGCGTCGGAGATGATTGAAAGCGCGAGCGACTGCGCTACCTGTGGCACCGAGTTTACGCAGCAAGACACCAAAGGAGCGGGTTTGAAGGAATGTAATAAGGAGCATAAAGGGAACGCAAACGAGTATCATTGTAAGGGCGAAACGCCAGTCTGTTGCTGGAATAGTAAAGACTGTCATACCGAAAACGGACTTGATCGTATCAGTAAGGATGTTCCCGTAACACTATCATCGAAGAAGTTGGAAAACGCACCGTTACAAAAGTCAGGGGTAGAAATATCATGCTGATCATGGTGAGTATTCTGATATTGTCACCCTGCTCAATTGCTCTTCGGCTCTCCTTGATAGAGCTTCCACTGAAGAGCTGATCCCTCAAGTTCTCAATTTCCTTGCGTGTGCGCTCGTTGCGCTTGAGAACCTCGGTGAGCTCCTGGACAACTTTGTCGAGTTCAGCACGCACAGTGGCCATACGCTCACGATAAGCAACGCCATCGGGTGTGTCGGGGTATCGATGTGGCCACAAGATGGGATGGTTTCCAGCCCAGAAGCTGTCAGTGAATGTGTCAACATAGGCAGCGATCATTGACTTGATGCCTGTGTTGACAACAGCTAGAGTGTTGTACGACCAAAAGTATCTGCGAATAAACGTGAAATGCCTGTCTTCGAAGAGAAGCTTGTCACGGAGCTTGGGGTCGAACATGAACTCGGGCTTCAGATGGTTAGTAAGAACTTCAATTATACTGGAGTAGACATTGGAGACGTACAGGAGGAGTGATGAGTTTAGTAATTCGCTCGTGGAGAATCAGGTTCCGTTTTGTTGCATCACGATACTCGGAGATGAGCAATTCCAAGAACGCATGCGGGCCGTTAACATACTTGTTGTTTTCTTTGGTAAACTCTTCCCCTCGAACTGTGTGCGAGTTGTCTGGGAAACTTTGAATAGCAAGTAACTGCCATGGTCCAAAGGTGTTGAAGACAAAACCTTCTCGTGGACGTTCTCTTCTTAATCGCCAGGTAGGAGCCTTTTCAGGCTCTCCACCGAGAGACAGAGCTAGGACAGAGCCACATTCTGCAATGTCGATATGGTCTCCAAGGCGACTCTCTGAGTCTCGCTTATCGAATCGTTGCCAGGAAGCTGGTTCCAGAGGGGGATTGACCACAGTGTAATACTTAAAGACAAAGAAGAATGACTTCTGACGGACGTTGGGTAGGGAGGTTGATAGCCCAGCTGGGAGCGAAGTTGGAATGGATTGAGAGGGTGGTCGCTCATAAGCCCGGTTCATAAAGGCGCGGGTGCGGCCGCGGTTGGGCTCGTCAGAAAGGAGGTGGGTGAGGAGTTCAGTCATATCAAAGTGTTTAGACATGGTCAGATGAAGGGTTGCGAGGATCAAAGGGGTGGGCTCTTGGACTATCCTAAGCAATCTTAGTTAGTGTCAGGGAGATATGTTAGGGGGTAAAGACTTACGTGATTCTGCCTACAGAATGGTTGTTGGCGTTTACAGAGCGGATAGTTTGCCAGACTGTGGGCGCATCTACAGAATCAGCCGAGTTCTCAAGTTGGCCGTCGCTGGTATCTGACGATGGCTCATCCCCATTTCCGTCAGCGCTGAGCTTGAAAGGGATATTGTTATGCCCAACCTCGTACACCTCAAACGTGGACTGGCTGTACTGCTCCTTCTCGTAAGCTGCAAAATCACGAAAGACAGTATTCGGACCATTCGGGATCTCGGAGCGACGCTTGATCATCTCATCGAGAAGAACAGTCATCTCTGGAGAAAAATCAGTGTCACGAAGGTGCTGGAAGAGTTGTTCATCAGACCAGCTTTCTAGAGCGAGATGGCCCTGGACTTTGTTGCGAGAATAGTCCTCGGCCTTTTTCGCAGTAGTAATGTCGAGCAGAGGGACGAAATGTCCATCCTGATCATCTTGTGGGAAGCCGACATGAGGACTATCGCCTGACAAGCCCATCAAAGGCCACGACTTGACGGAAAGAGATGTTCTTGGTTCGACACTCTCCAAAGTACCTGATCGAAGCCGTGGGCAGAACGGGCTCTCCATGGTGAATGTTGGGTCATCACAAGCTCCATGGGGTGACCTCAAAGTACCTGGAGACTCATTGGAGATGCTATTTTGAGCAGGGGATTCAACTGCATCTATCCGATGAGAGACAGAACCACCCCCATGGCTCGCCAATGGGTGTTGATGCTTTTGGTGGACGGCCTCAGGTACCCTAATGAGTTCATCTAGAGTATGTGAAGGTGTGTTTGTGTTCATTGACACGTGTATAATATATTTTGATATGATGTTGGATGAGAGTTGAAGCTGGTTCTAAACTATATGAGTGAAGTAACTATCTACCAGACTGAGAATACTGGGGAAGATGGAGGTTTATTTCTACTCTTCATCCCTCGCACCTGATGCATTTATCGGCGGCTCCCGATGCATATTGCGGCTGAGTCCTGCTCGGTCAACATCCATGGTTAATGTTTGAACAAGGCAGGGCAAGCGAAGATCCATGAAGCAGATAAGCATTGCTTCTAGCGTGCCAAGCAGCGTGGAGTATGACTGTTAAGACCAACAGTTGCTCATCTGCATGTCACACATTCCCAATCACGGATATCTGAGACAAGTAAGGCCTTATTTTCAAACTAATATGATGTCAAGGCAGGAGAGATGTCCGATCCGAATACAACATTAGCAGTCTCTCTTTGAAGACATCACTGTTATTGAAGTTGATGAATTCTCGTGACATCACGACATGGGTGGGATGCCAGAGAATCGCAGCTCAGCCCGTTCACGTGGAAGAATATATCACTTATGATAGGGCTGTCATAAATCGCAAGCAAGCCTCGTTATCTCAGTGGAATCTTGCTAGAAGCTCAATGGCAGGTCTTTAAGCTCATGAATACAAAATGACAAACAGAGTTTCTACTTTGATAGTGAGGCTTGAAGCAAAAAAAGGCGTTTGGTCGATCATCAACGCTTATGAGCGCCTTGAAACGGTTGTAAACGGATCTCATGATGACGGCAGTGCGGAATGGACATTGAGGCATCAACTTCGCTACCCTTCAGCCATCTGTATTTCTAATACCGTACGTCATGCAGCCTTCTTCTTCTCACAGCCCGGGCGACCCTGAACATGGATGGTCATGGCCCTGGCCCTGGAAAGGATGCGCCATATCGCGGGGGTAAAGCTTCATTACATCCCACGTGCTGAGAGCTATCATGAGCAAACCTTAGATTATCGCCGACGAATCCTGTCATGATTGAGTAAATTCAATTACGTTTGGTATATGTCGCATGTTTACTCCGACAAAGACAAGTCCAATTCTCACAAGGATAACGATAGATGTTCTGGTATAATCGATAACTGCGCATCTTACAGTAACAAGGTACATTTTACACACGTCCGCGTAGTACGGTACATGCCCATTCCTGTCAACCACCGACCGTAGCTCCATACCCAAGCCGCCCGCCTGATATCATTCCCTTTCATGTCCTCATAACTTTCTAAAACAAATGAATCCCTGCTCGAATATTAAAAGCCTTTAATAGCAATGTCCAACACCTAGTTAGTATGAATGCAACGTGATTCCCCGCGCCATAGACATGTTTAGGACGCAACGCTGACGGGCTTGGCTGTTGATGCTGCGGGCTTCTCAGCGCCGTCCACCTCCATAGCATCACCATCGGCCTCAGCCTCGCCTTCACCCTCTTCCTCTTCCTCAAGCTCATCCTCGCTTTCGCCTTCGATGTCGACACTGCCGTCGTCCGACAGCTCGTCTTCATCAGCAGCGTTCTCTCCCTCACCCTCGACGCCGGCCATTTCTAAGTCTTCTCCGTTGGCGGCCTTGGTCGTAGCCTTGACATCCTCTTCGGCATCCTCTTCGGCCTCTTCGTCAGCCTCCTCGGCACCGTATTGGTCACCGTCGGCAACAAGGTCAGCCTCGGGTTGCTCAGGAGGGTACTCGGCGGGAGCAGAAGCCTCGGAATCCCTAAAGACAAGTTAGTTTGGAGTGTCTCTACAAGTCGTTGTTGTTCACTTACCACTTGATGGCGAATCGAGTCACACGGGGCTTCTCGGCCAGCACATTACGCTTCACGCGCTCAATGATAGGCTTGGCAGGGGGCTCGGCGTTGAGCTCTTCGGTGTCATACTCATTGTTGACGTAGTAACCAACGCGGATAAATTCTCGTCCGTCGTAGGCACAAGTCAGGAGAATGACAGTGACACCAAGGATTTCGGCATCGGGGATGCGGGAAGTGTTGGGAGCATCGGCCTCGAAAATGAATTTGTTTACTCCGACAGGAATAGGACCGACGAGGAGGGAGTCGAGTTCTTGGTCATACTGATCGCTGAAAGGTGTTAGAAGAAGAAGCGGTGTGAGGAATCGCGGTCAAGCTCATGCGTACCTGGTGGCGGATCCAACGTAGGTGAGCTTCCACTCGAGATCTGATCCACGTTAGCGCTATGATTTTTGCAGTACTGGTGAAAAACACGAACCCTTCTCAAGCTGCTCGAGGCATTCGAATGTGATCTCAAACTCGTACTTGTCGGTGAACTTGGCAGGGTTGTTCAGGACGTTGACGCCCAAGAGCGAGACGACAGACATTTTGATAGAAGGTGGTGGGTATAATGGGAGAAAAGTCGTAATCAAGAGCACGCAGTGCAAAAGTGATTCTAGTAAAAGACCGAATAGAACGGGAAAGGATACGTAGAATAGTATCTGACTCTTGAGACGAGAGAGGGTCGATGTGGAAAGAAGTGCGATGTGAGATGCAGGAGGAGGGAGAAGAGTGGATGGTGGATGGAGTATTTGATGGAAAGCGGCCAACTAGTCTTAATACCTTAGCCTTAGCACCTGAACTTGGAGGGGGACCAGGAGTAGGAGTGAGAGCATGGGTGAAAGAAAACAAGAGCGGATCGATTCTTGGTTGCGATGGGCGATGACTTGCCCTGAGCGTTCCAAAATGTGAGGAGCGATAGTGGGACGCGTTAGGCGGTCACACCCCGCGTAGAGAGGTTGCGTTGAATTGGACGCGACTCTTGTGATTCTTTAAATTAATTGGTTCATTACAGGGGACCATAGGTTAGAACCAAAATAATTGAGACAATTTATGGCATGTCATAGTCCGTAAGCATATGTCTCTTTACGATCCTAAACCGGGAGACCAGGCTTTTATATTTTGACGCCGAATGTGACCTATTTGATATTTTATCAACCATTAAACTAGTACTGGCTTTCATGCGACGCACTTACTGGGTTTTCAGCCAGATAAACATATTCATAGCTACCTACCTATACACATGGCAACAACTGGGGGTTTCCAGATAGGTAAACATATAAATATTTGTAGTATTTTTTATCTTGGCATTATTTTGTAGTTTAAGTTTTGTTACCGAAACTCACAATAAAATTATTAAAAATTGTATCTTGTGATGGTAAAATCCAGCTTCCAAGGCGGAAACGTAGACATGTAGGTGGTTATTGTACCGACGCATCCTAGCTTGTATCCCACTGCCACGAAAAGTCCCATATGACACCAGCAGTCCATCCATCTGCCCAGGGACTTATATCCAGAAATACTCAGAACTTCTCTGGTATGCGCTCGTTGACGACGAAAAGGTCATGTTGCTGAATAGTTAGTCCAACTGTCCTCCGCTGACCAGGGTGTTATATACTGACTACCCTCCTAGTAGAAATAGTAGTTTCGGCTTGGAGCAGGCCCCGGCTTTGACTCCTCCTCCTCCTCCTCTGGCGCTTCTTCCGGTTTCTTCTCTTCCTCCTGGCCTTCATCTCCTCCTCCGCCGCCCGACTCCTCTGAGCTTGCACAACATAAATAAGCGATGACCACCAATAGTGCGACGATGATGAAGAAGCCTATGATCTGGATCGGTGTGAAGCCTGAAGGTTGATTGATATTGACGGTGTTTATTATATCGCCGTTTCTCACGGATGATTGCCTACCGCCGTCTCTCACGGGCGATTGCCTACCGCCATCTCTTACGGCTGAGCGGGGGAAATTCGTTACCAGCCTTGGAAGATTCGTGCTTAATTGGGTGGGTTGTATGAACATTTTGAAGATTAAGAAATGGAAATAATGTAGACTGGCACGAAGGTACTGCTGTGAAAGTAGGGGTTGTGTAAATTCGACGTTTTCTTGACATGTAAGAAGCTGGGAAAGTTTGAATGGTTACCAAGTAGCTGCCTAGTTGTATGTATAGCAATAATAACTCTAATATGAGATTTATGAGCCCTACCTTTCGTGAAGTGCACGCTTTTCGAGGTCATACTTTGAAGTCAACCCTATCAAATAACTCTAATATGAACACGCAAGTAGGTATATAAAGCAACTACTTCGCCATTTGCATTGCGGTGTTCTCTCTTCCCTCAACCTCAGATCATCCAAATTATAGTACATGAATTAGTCCTCAGGTACTTGGGTAGAATGACAAGGTCAAAAGAACTTCTCGTAGACATTCTTACACTCATTATCGTGTAGTAGAGATTCCAACATCGTCCCCCCATTGTCCCATCACGCGACCCACTAAAGTGCGGCTCTTGAACCGAACTGCCCATTACTGCGACTTCACCGCCTTGGCACCACTAAACCTGTCTAGGAGTTCTGCCGCAGCTGCTTTGCCCAAATCACATTCTTTGTTGGAGCTATCAGACTTTGAGGCGCTGCTACCAGAAAAACATCCGCACGCAGCTCAACAAAGACGCTTCGATCTCCCTCGACACGACATATCTTTTATTCCTACCCGTTTCGCCGTTTCCGACTTCGAGTTGCAAGCGCTGCAATTGTTCAGCGCCAATCCTTCCGGAGCAAGCTGGCGCAGCTCCTTCGAGCTTGCCGTGTTCGCGACAGATCTTACCAGATCGTCACTCGTATCATCAAGGATCGCACTTTCTTGATCGAGCACATCGCGCATTTTCGACCGAGACATTTGTGATCTTCCCGAGTAGCCATCGCTGATCTGTCATTGAATCAGACTTGATCATTCTTAGTCCTGCGGTCTTCGGCGACGCGCCCATTGAAGTCGCCTACAAATCGCGACCGAGTAAATCGCAACACAATCCGAGTCTGAACATTTGCAGGATGGCTTCCGAAGGTACTTCATGGGGTGCGGAGGATATTGGTGCACAGGGCGATCAAGTTCAGCATAGCGAGGAACAAGTTGATAACTATGCTCAAGACTCTCTTGCCTCTGGTGATGCTGATGCAGCGGATAATGGTACAGAAGATGAAGGCGGAGAATATGACCCAGAGTCGGTCACTATTGGTACACCCGCCATGGTTCCCGAGCCAGCTTCTTCTGGTACTCCTCAACGTCAGACATCAAAGCCTAAGATGTCAGGTGGCTTCATAGTTGAGGCTTCCGATGATGAGGATGATGATGAGGGCGAAGATGAAGAAGAGCAGCCTGCCAATGCCGCTCCCCAAACCGATGCAGTCTCTACCCAAAATCAGCCTGGCCCTTCCACTACGTCTGATGAACACGTTCCTACAGCTCCAACTCATGCTCCTGTCCCTCCTGCTGTCCCTTCCAATGTGACACCGGTTCTTGCTGGTCTCGATCCCATTGCTCTCCTCGAATTTCGTGTCAAAGAGGACCCTCGTGGCGATATGGATGCTTGGCAAGAGTTGATTGCTGCTCACAGAGACTCTGGCACACTCGACCAGGCCCGAAGTACTTATAACCGCTTCGTAGAGATTTTCCCACAAGCTGTAAGTTAACCTGTCCCTTACCTGTAATCTATGCTAACGACCTCGACAGGCTGATAAATGGGTTGAATGGATTGAACTGGAGTTGAAATATAATAACTTTGTCGATGTTGAGCAACTATTTGGCAGATGTTTAATGACGGTTCCCAACGTGAAGCTGTGGACAGTCTATCTAGACTACATTCGCCGTCGCAACGACCTGAACAATGACCCAAATAGCCAGGCTCGTCGCACCGTTGCTCAGTCTTACGAATTTGTGATTGACAACATCGGCGTGGATCGAGATTCTGGCAACATCTGGCAGCAGTATGTCCACTTCGTCAAGAATGGGCCAGGCCAAGTCGGCGGGGAAGACTGGCAAGATCGACAGAAGATGGACCAGTTGCGTGCGATATACAAACGCGCTGTTGCCGTTCCCATGTCGACCGTCAACAATCTCTGGAAGGAGTATGATCAATTCGAAATGGGATTGAACAAGATGGCTGTAAGTTTCGCCGTCCCGCTACCTGTAGCATGAGCTAACTAACACAAAAAGGGTCGCAAATTCATCCAGGACCGTTCTCCAGCTTACATGTCAGCCAAGAGTGCGAACATTGCCTTGGATAACATCACTCGGTACCTTAACCGCACAAACCTTCCAAGGCTCCCACCTGCTCCAGGTTTCAACGGCGACCAGGAGTACAGAGATCAAGTTGAAATGTGGAAGAAGTGGATTGCCTGGGAAAAGGAAGATCCGCTTGTCCTGAAGCCTGATGAGCCCAAGGCATACAACCAGCGAGTTCTCTATGTCTACAAGCAAGCATTGATGGCACTTCGATTTTGGCCTGAAATCTGGGTCGATGCAGCGGAATGGTGTTTCCAAAATGATATCCGCGAAAACGACAAAGAGGTGGGCACGGAATTACTAGTGGAGGGTATCAAGGCAAACCGCGAGAGTGTGTTACTTGCATTGAAGCACGCAGACCATATCGAGGTTAACCATCCAGGCAAGGAGGCCGACAAAGCGGCGTTTGCGCAAGCTGTTCGCAAACCGTACGATGATGTTTTGGAAACGTTGTACGAGATGGGCGACAAAGTCAAGGAGCGGGAAAAGTTGGAAGTCTCAACACTGAAGCAGGCGGCGGCACTAGATCCAGTCCAAGCATCTATCGAGGAAAACGATGATGACGGCGACGAAGACAACAAACCCAAACGTTCGCCCATGGAGGAGCGCATCCTTGCCATTCAGAAGGGATATGCTACCGAAACACAACTTCTGTCAAGGACAATCTCATATGTATGGATTGCTATGGCGAGGGCCATGCGTCGTATTCAAGGCAAAGGTTCTCAAACAGAAGGTGGCTTGCGCAAAGTCTTCACCGATGCCCGTCAAAAAGGACGACTCACAAGTGATGTTTACGTCGCCGTAGCGTTGCTCGAGGCTGTTGTCTACAAGGACAATGTAGGCGCCAAAATCTTTGAAAGGGGTGCGCGCCTATTCCCCAATGATGAGATGTTCATGATAGAATACCTGAAGTATCTCCATTCGAAGGATGACACGACCAGTAAGTCAGACCCATCATGTAGCGAAAATAATGAAACTAATTTTTTACAGATGCCCGCGTCGTTTTCGAGACCTGTATCAACCGCCTGGTTTCTAAACCAGACACCCTAGCAAAAGCCAAGCCGCTTTATGCTTATTTCCACAAGTACGAATCGCAGTATGGCGAGTTGTCACAGATCTCCAAGTTGGAAGACCGAATGGCAGAACTTTTCCCAGAGGACCCCAAGCTCAAGTGCTTTGTAGCCCGATTCTCGAACGAGACATTTGATCCCATTTCTGCTCCCATCATCATCTCCAAGACAGCTCAGATGCGACCAAGGCAGATTGTCCCTGTAGTTGAGCAGCCCGTGCAGCCCATCTCACTACGCAACAGCCCCATGCCACTCCGACAGGAACAAAATTCCCGGCCTCAGTATGTTCGGGCAACTGCTTCACCGAAACGGCCTCTTGCTGTCGATGATGAAGAGCTCAACCCACCCAAGCGACTTGCTAGAGGCGTCTCACCGCTTAAGGGCGCTGCTGGCCGACGCCTCGACCAGCAGCGACGGAACCAGACATCAGCGTTGCACAGAGACATTACTTTCTTGCTCAACATTCTGCCACCTGCCTCAAGCTATGATGGCCCACGTTTGAACTCTGCAGCTTTAGTATCCCTTCTCCAAAATACCGAGGTTCCTGACTATTCCACATGGAAGGCCGCTGGTGGAAACCAACAACGCTTTGGCAACCCCACTCACACACGACAAGCATCGGGAGAGTTTGTCAACCGACCACTGAGCCCATATGGAAGATCATCCGCTGCAGCTGGTGGGTATAGGAATTCGCCATTGCGACCGGAGACGGGAAATGCGTATCAATCAAACCCGTACCCTCCGCCTGAAGCAAGCGGCCAGCAACCCACATGGCCGCAGGTACCTGGCGGATACGGTGCACCAGCGCCCGGACAATTCGGAGGATATCGATACTGAGACCGAGTTTTTGAGATGGGTTCTTGATAGAAGGCCAGTGGTGAAAGACTCTGGGCCGGAAATGGCGCCAGTTGGTAACACTGCCGAAAAGGGAAGTTCTTTGGATGATGCTAATGGTTGGGCTGGGATTGTCTTTGCCTTGCATTCTATACATGGTATGGCGTTTATGGGAATTGATGGCAGAAGTCAGTGGTGATTGCCATGGATATGTTATGCTGGGATGATGGACAAGGCAGAGATTCCTCGCCTACTCATTTCTAAACTTTGTAGCTTTAGCAAGCTAGTATAATAAACAAACTCCTTTATTCAAAAAAAAAAAAAAAGATGTGTGTCTTTTCTTTTCTTTGTGACTGTAATGCTGTTTGAAAGGTCGTTGTCCTACAGAAGCCGAGAAACATTGCCATTCTTGACCGCAATAAGTTTATTTGTTATTATCCGGGGATGCGATGTAAAATCCGATACGCTAATTATTTTTGTATGCTAGGTGCCTAGATAGGTACCTATGTTTGTCAGTTATGTCACAGTGCTTTGATATCAAACAGTGCCTCCGTCTCAGTGGTGGCCCTTGCAGACAAGGTGAAATACAATGTCGTAACTCGGCATTCTTTATAACCTCGACATTATTACAATTCTGAATTATGTCTTGATACATTATTAAATAGCTAAATATCACTCGTAAACATTGAAATAAGATATTAAATACCTTATTGTGGCAGATTTGCATGTTGGTAGCCGCCTTGGTCTCGTGATTTAGCCTGCCAGTGCCTGTCTCCTTCCTCAAATCTCAAAACAAATCTCCCACTTGGTTGCCACTATCCGAAATCGGTTATGCAGGAGAATTAGAGCGTTGTGGTTGCTCCTATAATTTGTCTTTATTTTCTGCTTTGCTCATCCAAACCTCCCTCTTCTCTCCTTGTGCACCTCACTCCCTCACAACAACCACCAAACGAGGAGCAGCACATCTCCTCCTCCTCTCTCTGCTTTGGAAGCATCCCTAAGTTTAGGCTTCCACGCAATCCTCTTGACATTCTTACAGTGAGTCACTAACCCTTCTTCTCTGATCTCTCGATATTCTGCCTATAAAATCCCCCTCCTCTTCCCTCTCCATCCTCTTCCTTCTTCCCTCAACATCATCCACCACATCTCTTCTTCCTTGAGCAAGCCCAACAACTACCTTCAACCTTGATCAAATAAATCACACAAATCAGCTCTTATTGTTCTCTTTAAACTAAGCCTATTGCTCTAAAGCACATTCTCACATTCGCCAGATTTCAGCATCTGTATTCTCACTCAAGTGTGAACGCAAACACTACCTCTACGACCGGTAAGTCCTCTCTCTTTCATCTCCCCAAAGCTCAGACATCTCGTCTCCTTTGGCTACAAATACCCTCCTCTTCCCTCAGAAGCCTTTCTTCATCCACTCTTCCTTCACATCTCCACCACACACCTTCATCACACACTTCTTCATATCTCAACTTCACTTGAAACACACGCGCACACATCAACTAACTTCTTCAGATTTATCTGTCACCATGTCGGACAGAGGTCGCTCACCCGCTCCGGGGGGGCCCTCAGGCTCGGGAAGACGACCTTCCCAGTCCCCAGCGCGATCCGCAACTGGCTCCGCTGGCGGACCTGCTGGCGGCTATGCCAAACCACTTGGTTACGATCCTGCCAGACTTGTTGTAAAGCAGGAAGATCAAGGCAACACCCGTATGGAGTTGCCTCCTGATGCCTACATCTCTGAGACCAAGAAGGACATGTTCACTCTTCGAGAAGGTCGCTTCAACACTGAGGGCAAGCCGGAAATGATCGAGGTCAATCAGTACCGAATGACCAAGTTTGACTTCAACAAGAAGATCTACCAGTACGATGTAAGTATCTATGAATCTAGATTGTGCCTGCCTGTGCTAATGACAAATTCAGGTCGTTCTGTCGCCCAGCCCCGACAAGATTGGTCCGGTCATGAAGAAGATTTGGGCTCATCCCGTCACTATCAAGACCATGAAGCCCTACAAACTCGAAATGTGGCTCTTCGACGGCAAGAAGCTGGCCTGGAGCCCTGCACTCGTCGATCGTGGTGAGCTTCGTTTCTCAGTCGACTTGGACGAAGGTCAACGCCCTCCTGGTGCCAAGCCTCGAGAAGGCGGCAAGTTCTTGGTCACTATCCGAAAGACCACCGAGATTCAAGTCGCTGCCCTCCAGGGATACTTGTCTCACAAGATGTCGTTCAACAACAGTGTTCAAGAGGCACTGAACTTCATTGACCATCTTGTTCGACAGTTCCCATCAAAAAACCTGCTCGCTATCAAGCGAAACTTCTACCAGACTGGTCGGCCTGGAGCTCCTCTTCAAGATGGAGCTATCGTTGAGGTTCACAAGGGAACTTACGCTTCGGTTCGAATGAGTGACAACTTGAAGCAAGGTGGTGTCGGACTTGGCTACAACATTGATGTGGCCAACACCTGTTTCTGGATCGGCAACCAGCCATTGGACAAGATGGCTTGCAACTTCCTCGCTACTAGTGACCCCAGTAAGTTCCGGGGACACACTCCCGCTACCCTCAATGAGATTCTCAAGCCTGTCCGGGGAAAGAAAGGATGGGAGTCATCCGACGCATTCAAGCAGCTCCGCAAGTTGCGACGTCTCAAGTTCAAGGTCAAGCACAAGGGCCGAAAGAACGAGGACAAGCTCTACACCATCCAGGACTTCGCCTTCGACTCCAAGTATGGTGAGGCCGGTCACACTGCCCGCACCGAAACCTTTGAGAAGAATGGGCAGCAAGTCTCAGTCTATGACTACTACAAGAAGATGTACAATGTCACTCTGCGACTTTCCCATCTCCCTCTCATCAATGCTGGTAAGGGTGGCTACATTCCCATGGAGCTTGCTTTCGTCGAGAGCATGCAGCGCTACCCTTTCAAGCTTAACTCAGACCAGACAGCTGCGATGATCAAGATCGCTGTCACCCGCCCTGCCGTTCGCAAAGCCGACATCCAAAAGGGAGCTGCCGCTCTTCAGATCGGCCAAGATCCTTATCTGAAGGAGTATGGTGTCAATTTCGAAGCCCAATTTGCGAAGACCGAGGCTCGTATTTTGCCTCCTCCCACTGTCAGGTTTGGCCAGGGCACAGCGGAACCCAAGTTTGCTGGTCGTTGGGACTTGCGAGGCAAGAAGTTCTTCAAGCAGAACACTGCCCCTCTCATGAACTGGGGCTTCGTTGCTTGTGAAGCACCTGTCCCCCAGGCTGTTCTTCAGGCATTTGCCACGACTTTCAAGACCACCTTCCTTGGCCATGGTGGCAAGGTTACTGGCGAGCCACAGCTCTTGAACGCACCTAGCAACCTGCGTTTCGAACCCGGAAAGCTTGTCGAATGGGCACATGAGGAGATCACCCGCCGAAAGGGTTACACTCAACTCTTGTTCATTGTCGTGTCCAAGAAGAACAGTGGTACCTACGAACGCCTCAAGAAGTCTGCTGATTGCAGATACGGCATCCTCAGCCAAGTTGTCCTTGGTAGCCATGTGCAAAAGAACAATGGTCAGTACCACTCCAACGTTTGCATGAAGGTGAACGCCAAGCTTGGTGGTGCTACTGCCTGCACGCCTCCTCTGTGGAAGACTCCTACATTCTTCCCCCCCAGCCGCCCAACTATGATTATAGGCTGCGATGTCTCCCATGCCGCTCCCGGTGGTGCGACTGCCTCAGTTGCTTCCATGACAATGTCTGTGGACCCCAACGCTACTCGATACGCTGCAGTTGCCGAGACGAACGGTTATCGTGTCGAGATGCTCACTCCCTCCAACATCCGCTTCATGTTTAGAGAACTCATTCCTCAGTGGCGACACAACCACCAAGGACAGCTACCTGCGCACCTGATCTATTTCCGCGATGGCGTTAGTGAAGGCCAGTTCGCTCATGTATTGGAGCAGGAGGTATCTGAGATCAAGAAGCACCTCGGAAGCATCCTTCCCGCCGGCAAGATGCCCAAGTTCACTGTCATCATTGCCACGAAGCGTCACCACATCCGCTTTTTCCCTCAGAAGGGTGACAAGAATGGCAACCCTCTGCCTGGCACTCTTGTTGAGAAGGAAGTCACTCACCCATTCATGTTTGACTTCTACCTTAACTCTCATGTTGCTATTCAGGGAACCGCCCGACCAGTCCACTACTCGGTGATTCTGGATGAGATGAAAATGCCTGTCAATGATCTTCAAAAGATGATCTACCAGCAGTGCTACTCCTATGCCCGATCCACTACCCCTGTCTCCCTTCACCCGGCTGTTTACTACGCGCACCTCGCTAGCAACCGAGCTCGCGCCCACGAAAACATTGCCACCAGTGATGGATTCAGAACTGGTGCCAAGGGACATGAGATTGCTCGAGAGAAGCAAGCTCACGGAGTCACTTCATCGGCTCCTAACAGGACCGCTGACGCGCCCCCTCTGATCCGTCTGGGAGGCCCTTGCCACCAGACTCCTGCTGATGGTGAGCAGCGACAACGCGACTTCTTCCGCAGTACCATGTGGTACATCTAATTCTCACGGTGATGTTGATGCAATCTATGGATAATAATCATGGACTTGCAACGGGGATGGACAATGATAAACGATGAACGGTGAAGGATGATGATGATGATGGAGAGAGAGGTGATCGCTTGGGAGGAGGGACGGGCATGGATAATGCGAGCGATTACATTTCTGAACCAAAGCTAGCGCTGAAGCAGCAGCAGAGTTACAGAAACACACAAACTAAAAGGGGCGACCGGTTTGGAGGGAAGTGGCGGTGGAGGTTGATTTCACTTGTACTATACACAATAGTTCTAGATCAATTCTAACCATATGATCTGGGAAATATCTTTTCTTGCTCTACGTGAAGCACAATGTCGAGTATAAGTAGTAGGAAGTGACTGTTCAAGAGCACTTGAAGCTGAGATATCTTCAAGTGTTGTCATACACCTTGGGCTGGATCATGGTCTACACCACCTCACTGTGCTCGACAAGATTGAAGGCCTCAGAGGCCTACGCGCACCAACAGTTGTAATATTGATTTGAGGTCCGGAAGCAAAGTACTGGATGAGGCAAGATGCTTGCGGTAGTGGCAAATGTCTCAGTCAATATGAACAGGCCGGGCCGTCTCGGGTACCCGCCTTCTTTGCCTCAAGCAGTCCAGTTTTTGGAGACTTACAGTTTAACGTAGGTGAGGGGAAGATGTTGAAGGCCATACTGATATTGGGAAACAATAATTCTTAGTGAAATAAGACCAAGGCGAATGATGAAGAGAAGCAGACAAATCTCGACGAAGATACATAGAATGCTTCAAAGATGGATATAAGTTAACAACAACGATGTTGCTGTATTGCACCCATATGCTACCCAGAACAATAATGGATTCCGATAGAACAATCTCTGAATCCTTCATTGTAGGGTAAATACAGCAAGATGCTTTCTCCCAACGTGTGGCCGACGATCGAACCATGTGAAACACGCCCATTCCTAACGTCGAAGCCATGACTCCGATGAGATCTTCGGCATGACCAATTCACGAGAACTAGGTGTCTCAGATTCTCCTACAAGCCTGAAAACGGCTGATCGGTTCATCAAAAACCCAAAAGCAGTACTTGGAACCAGGCTGTGCTGAGGACGGTTGCGGAGTCTGGTCGTCACAAGATGTATTCTAAGAATCATACCAATAGGAAATCCCAAAGCCAAGACTTTTGAAGAAAAAGATAAATATCAACCGTTTCTCAGCTCTTATGGTTTCGAATCATCTCGTTCACTCACCCAGTTTAGTCACTCACTCATTCTTTGTGCATTTGAAGTCAGTCAGTCAGTCAGTCACTCTTTATTTTTCTTTTCAGTATTTCTACACAGTCAAAATGTTGCAATCACTGTTCCTTGCCAGCGTCCTGGCAGTCGGCATCTACGCCCAGTCAACTCCCGACCCTGCTCTCACAGCAAACGGAGCTTTCCAACACCTCGGCTGTGTAGCCATCAGACCTGGAACCTTTCCTCGACAGCTCAACCTAGGTCAGGCGGGGTGTACTTCAACTTGCTCATCGAACGGAAATATCATCGGATTTCGTGGAAACAGCTGTGTCTGTGACCGGCTTGACCTCTCCGATCGTCCTATCTCGTACCGCGTTGTAAAGGTAGACAACTCCCTCTGCACTCAATGGTGCGATCCAGCCGATAGGTCCAAGGGAACATGCGGAGGTGCATTGGTACAAGGATGGCCCATCTACGATCTTTACAAGAGAAACAACGCTCAGATCGTCTTTGAGAATTTCCCGAGTGCAACGCCAACTCCCATGTCGAGCGTTTATCCTCCTGCTCCGACTGGCGGACCCAAGCCCGGCGATGTGTGGCATGAGTGCCCACCGCACGTTGTTGACTGCCCCTATCGCAACAAGTGTCCCAATGGGAAGTGTCATTATGTGCCCAAGCCCATTGTCAAGCCTTGCTATGGGTGTTCTTACAATGGTACTGGAAACTGGACGGCTCCTACTTGCCCCCCTGGTGGCTGCGGCAATGGTAGTAAGCCTGCTCCAGTTCCAGTTCCAGTTCCTGTCCCGGTCCCCAACCCTCCTTGCAAGGACTGCGGCAACGGGGGTGGAGGTAACGGCGGAAATGGTGGCAATGGAGGCAACGGTGGGAACGGCGGAAATGGTGGTAATAACGGTGGCAACGGCGGAAATGGTGGTAATAACGGTGGCAACGGCGGCACTGGTGGTAATAACGGTGGCAACGGCGGCACTGGGGGTAACGGCGGAAATGGTGGCTCAGGAGGTAACGGAGGTAGTGGCAGTAACGGAGAAAACGGAGGCAACGGAGGGCCTGGTGGTGGTGGCAGCTCCGGCAACGGCTCCGACGGTCAAGATGGCTCTGGTGGAAACGGAGGGGACACACCTCCCGTCATCGTCAACTCGGCCGTCAAGATCCAAAGCGCAAGCTTTATAACGTTTTTTCTAACATTCTCGTTGGCCTTCATTCTTTTATAGGCCTTGGAGACGATCTTTTCTTCCATTGGGGGTTTGGATGTTGCGCATTTGTCTTTCTTTTACGCTTAAAGCATTGAAAAGGGGTAATGGGCGGTTGGCATAGAGCTTTGGCTTAATATAATATCACATCACATTATATCAGCGAGGTGAACAGTATTTTAGTACTTGGGTGTCATTAGTCTTTTATTTATTTATTTATTTATTTATTTCTCTTCACTTAACTTTTAGTATCGCGGTGCATGAGTCTCCGAATGGCTCGAAATTGTGAATGGCCTTGTATGATGTCTCTGTCCGCTGTATTTTTTAAATCACTTAAGCAATGATCTTCTCGATACACTCAATACTATGATTTGTTAGTGACTGCATCATCAAATAAACTGGATTGAGAAAACTTACCCGTAGTTGTTCTTGAGCTCGTTCATCAATGTCCTAGCAAGGCTGGGGTACACAGGGGCGACAACACCCTTGTCTGTGATGGTGCCGTCGAGGACCATCTTGGTGGCTATTGGCATGTTAGTATGTCTAGATACCAATCGTAAAAGACAAGAAGGATGAACGTACCAACACCACAAGGAACTCCGACCAGTCTGGACATGGCGGAGAAACCACCGGAGCCCTCAGGGGCACCGTACTCAACGAGAGTGGAAGTCCAGGTGTTCTGGCTACCATCCTTGTTGATGACCTCGAAAGTGTGCTGGAGGAACACAAGGTCACGCTCGCCCTTCTCGTAAGCCATCTTCTGCTCGAGAGAGGCGCAAAGGGTGTCAAGAGCGGTTCCGCGGGGGGTGATGTTAACATCAGAGAGGACACCAACTGTAATATGTTATCAGCATAGGCTCATATGGCTGGCAAGTATATATACTTACTCCACTTGAGTCCAGCCAGCACTTGGCTCTTAACAGACTCGTCCTTGAAAGAGGTCTTGGAGAGGACAGCCTTGATCAGGTCCTCCTCGCTTGATGAGTTGGCACCAATGAACTTCTGAAGAGCGTCCTTCCAGGGGATGGCCTGCTTGAAGAAGTCCTGCTCGTCGGTGCTGAGGAAGCCAATGTCGACGAGAGCCTTGACGAACTGAGGGAAGCCGTTGTAGCGCATGGTTCCTCGGACAACGGTCTCGGCATCGGGAATTCGGTATCTACCAAGGTCAGTCACTGCCTTTGAAGAGAGTACTGCACAACTTACCGCTCACGGTAGCCGGTGCTGTCTCGGTTTCCGTAGGCGACAAAGTTGAATCCCAGGTATCCACTGTGGTAAGGCTGAGCAGTGCTCATCAGGTCGACACCGGAGATGTCAACCAGCTTGTTGTCCTCGTAGTACTTGGCGTTGTTCTTGAGGGCCAGAAGGACACCACGGCTGCTCCAGCTGAACTTGTATCCTGTTTATAATTAGTGACGGCGTTGGGTGTAGTGATTGGAGCTCGAGTTACCTAGAGGGTTGTTGGAGTCTATAATGTGATTAGCTTTGGACTACAGTGAGGCATTGGGACGAATTGCGTACTCTCAGGGGCGGGGAGACCACCACAGTAGCTCTTGAAGGACTTGATCTTGCCTCCCTCCTGTTGGATACGGTCGATGAAGTCGACAGCGTAGAGGTGGTCGACACTAAATATAGTTAGTGAATAGAAAGGGGTGATGATGTCTGTCGAAGGGCATACCCAGGGTCAACCTAGAGTTGTCAGCAAGCTTCAATTGAAGGATTGGGTGATCAACTTACACCAATCTCGTTGAGGACGGTAATACCAGCGGCCTTGGCCTCCTCGTGGAGCTCCTCCATGGCAGGAGAGACGTAGGAGGTGGTGACGACATTCTTCTTAGCCTTGATAGCGGCCTTGATGACGGCAGCATGGAATGTGTAAGGGATCAGAGAGATGGTGACATCGTGCTCAGAGACGGCCTGCTCGAGAGCGGCGGAATCGTTAACGTCGAGGCTGATGGCCTTGGTGTTGTCGTAAGTACCGGCGAGGTTCTTGGCCGAAGCGAGAGTACGGCAAGCAACAGTGACTTGAACACCGGCCTTGGAGAGGACCTCGACGGCAGGAGTGGCAACGAAACCGGAACCGAGAAGAAGAGCTGATTGAGGCATTGTTGACTTTGACGATGTATTGATTACAGTTGTTAATGAAAAAAATATTCTCCAAAGTTAAAACAAGCAAAAGAATTTCAAGCACCTCTTTCCCTTTCTTGTCAATCAAGCTTGACGTTCGTTGGTTGGCCCCGCATAACGAGGGGCAGTAGCCAGCAGCAGCCAGCAGTATAATACGTAGTTCCGGCTATCGGAGGAGCCGGGGGTCATCCCACCCGATGTCGGGCTATTCGCTGGGGAAGAGAATAAACCCGTAACAAAGCGTTGATTTAAAACGATAAAAGCCTGGGGCTGGCCAGTTGCTTTGCTTTGCTATGACGAAACTACGGGTAAAAGTGGACATTGAATGTTGATAATGTTGATTGTGAGTCGTTGCCGGACCAAAAAGGCATGCGACACCGATGAGGATGGACTTTTCATCAGTAATAACTTGAGCTATCAGACTTTGAGATGAGCCCCATCAAACGATTAATAACTTGTAGAGCTTTTCAACAATAAATTGAGGCTCAAACATATATACAACAAGCTAGTTAGTCAATCGATAAGCAGTAGGAAAGCATCACAGGTGATGCCCTGCGCGGTGATTGCCCTCTAATCTGTCTTAGTCGCCAGCATGATGGACGATTTCATCAACAACCACAAAGACCAGAAACAATGAACAATTTGTTTATTCGACTCAACCTGTAGCTCCAGCAAACAGACTGTGGTTATTTTGATGGAAACGCTCATCAGCATGTGTCAGAGATAAGGATTACTCGCTTTTGTGGTTGTTAGCATATGAGGTATCCCTTGACGGCCAGAATGTCCCTCCAGAAGACACCATAAACTTTTAAATAAGCATAAAGAGTCGAAATAATGTTTGAAATGCTTATTGAGATTGCAACTTATTGTTTCCTAAACTATCCTAACTATCCTAACTTTATCATGGGCGGCCCCAACGTCTAAGCTAACATGCGACGAACAAACTCAATCAAGACTTTAATCCAACGACCCTGCGTCTGCCAAATAATGCAGAGTACATCTTGTCAAGTTAAAAATTTAATTGCATTCAATGTTGATGTCAATATATGAACGTTGAAAGCCTTGTGGCGGGCTGTGTACTTTGTGAAAACGAGTTGGCAGGCAGTTGAGTTTCATCAAGCGCCCGACAAAGCTTTCATGACTCGATTCATTTGATCCATTATGGGGCGCGTTTCATGGCGACATGAACAAAAAAGTGTATTAACTTGGACAACAGTTTGTTGGGCCAGATAAACGGCCATTTAGCGGTCACCAGGCTGGCCTTCGGATTTAGGCAGATATCCAGCAAAGGACAGCACCGCCCCAGAGCGACTCGACTCCAATTACAATTCTCTGTAAACCTGTGTTGCGATCTTTTAAACTATACCCGGATGAGATTGATAGTTTGTCACACTTCTCAATGGGCGCAATAAAGCTATGGCCAGTCGGTGTAGATGGTAACGGCTTCTCAGGAGTGTTCCCCGGGCGGACATGCGTGGCCCGATCCGCCCGCTGCCAGGTTTGAAGCTTGATCCCAAAGAGTCAAATCTATTTTGAAAGTAGAAGAACTACTGCAAGATCCTTTTTCCCCTGTAAGGCCGGATTTGGATGCATTTGTCGCAAATGGAAAGGTGGACTTGCAGGTGAGACCTGGTTCCAAGCCAACTCCGATGACCTGGTTGACCGAGAGGCGAGTACGAATCTTCCCATTTACAATATGATAGAAATTTTGCGAAGAGCTGCAGGTATGCTTAAACTCGTCAACGATGAACCTGGAGGGTGTGCTTTCTTACCTCTCAAACACCCTCGAGTCAGTTAGCATCCAGGTGGTAGTGGCTGGGCAAGGCTAACCAGAAATAAAAGATGGCAACACTTTGTACCAAGACTGTTGGTTGATACACAATTCCCCTGCAGTTGGTTGCGATGGATTTTCCTTGGTAGGAGTGGATGGATGGATGAATGAATTGCAGTGTAGTGTGTCTCGAGCACGCCCCCTATCTTCACTAACGGGACAACGGATTCATCGCAAGCCTGTTCCAGCTCAACAGCCTTACTTTGGGGACTTGAATACTCATCCCCAAGTTGATTCTACTTGCATATTGCAATCTTACTGGTTTTCCAATTAATTATAGCACCATGAAAACCCTGCCTTAGCGGTGAGGTGATGATGGCCAGTGATGCCTGCTTGATATGTATCGAAGAAGGTACTGGCACGGTAGGTACAAAGGAAGGCGCCACCGGGGGTAACTTATGCCTTTACTCCCTTGGGTTATGGGAAAGTGCTCACTCCGTTCTTTCCTCTTCTCTCTTTCATGTCTCCATCAATTTGAAGTTTACGCTTCGCCGACCGTGTCATTTCCATCTTGTCTCTTGTCTCACTTTCTTCTTGGTCTTCGTTCCTGTCGACTCCAGAATGCCGCACCCCATCTTTGATCGTAGTGACATAACCTCCGAGACCGACACGCGAGAGATCCTAGACATGGCGACGACTCTGTGACAACAAGTCTCACCCTGTCTCAGTCCATGTCAGCTCATCGAGCTACTCCAGCCCGACCGTAGAACCTCGATGCCATCAAACAAAACGCCCCTTTACAATGCGCCGACATAATCTTCGACAGTACTTGCTTTTGGAGGTGGTCCACAATCACTTTCCTCCAGATACATGTCGTCTACATGCTAGTGTCTGGAAGTAGACGCGACTACGTGAGATTATTTAAAAGACATGTCTCCAGCACATCAGTGGTGACACTACTCAAACACGACCAAGATTACCCCAGCTATCTCAAGCAGCTATAATACCATCGTCCATTTCGAACTCGAAGTTTACAAACCAACCTTCTCCACTTGTGTGTAAATGTCGAAGCCGATCAATGATAACATTGTCGATGGTGATACATATTCATAGTAAGCCCTCCTCGCCCCTGTCTGACAATAAGACAATGCCACTACTTTAATCCCTCCGGCGTGTCTTTGTTGAAATCATTCACTGACCGGTACGAACTTCAACAGCGGTTCTACTTGCGAAAGTCGGAACTTGATAGTTCATCGAAGGAATTCGGATTCCTTTACAGATGAAGAGTATCAGTTCCGAATTGATACTTTTGTCAAAAGAACTCTCGAAGATGACCCCGTCTCGGCCCGGCTTAGACGTCGCACACGTCGTAGACCATCCTATGACTTCCAATACATCTTTGAGTTATTGGTATTTCATTTCTTCCCATTCTTGAATCGCCCGCGTCATCATTTGCTCGGGGTCTGGGGCGAAGGGTATAACGCGACTGGACCTTTCGGTGGACCACCCCGAGACTGGCTCGCCAGGATACGTACCGGACAAGTCCCATCTGAACTGATTGGTATCGGCACTCAGTTCGGCGATTATTGATCATTTACAATCCTTCTTAAGTCTCTGTGTTGCGGCTAGTATGCAATCTGACTTGAACCACTATGCCAGAGACGATTCGCAACGCTGCTACAATACGATAGTAAGACCGTTCATTGTAATACACAGTTTTCTGCAAGACTCATGCTGATGTATCTTACAGGCATCCAACCCTCGATCACCTTGGACAATCTGCACCGACCCTTATGCGACAAGTTCAATTCCACCGATCCCGACTCCTATACACCCTGTCAGGGGATCTACAAGCGGTTGTTAGCATATGGCTGATTAATGAGGCGACCCAAAACAGCCAGATGCTGATTCCTTTGTCAACTTTCGTATTTGTTTTCCATTTTCTTATACGTTCCCAACTTGGGTGCCCTTCTCTTGCGTCGCTCCATTCCCGAGTCGACACATACTGTGCATTTTACTACACCAAGCACTCTTAATTTTCCCATTCCACGCTACTGCCAATCATTTATCATAAAGTGTCATCTGCCGACAGGCTCTTGACCTCTCACTTGGCCCTTACAAATCCGTTTCTAAGGTTGTTCTGTCACTTGGGACTTTCCCACGAACAGATAGTGATGGGCCTCATTGTGTCACACATCGGCTTCTCTTGCATGAGCACCATCTTGATAAAGACATACTGTACTACCATTAATACAATTATAAAGGCTGCACGCCTCCCCCAAATGTTTATGAACCCCCACGCTCCATATTATCCCCGGTGACGCTACGAACGGTGTGGTTCAACATCCTAGCGCTGAACTTACCCCAGGCTCTCTCCACAACTTCCCCTCACTTACCGGCAATAAATGGAATTAAAAGGTTAGAGGAAAGCCTTGATAAATGCGACAGAGTGCAAAACATTGCCCACATTGGTGATTTGAGGAGATTTAAGACAAGAAAAGCCCACCAATGGAAATGCAATTGCTATTTCGCGAGAAACTGACTCAGGCTCGGTACACAAGGAACTTTCGGCGAGCCACAAGCATCGGAAACAAGATCAAGTGCCGAAATCCCGGGATTTCATGCATGACTGGCCGTCGTGGGGGCAACTGTACATGGTCATCGACTCATTGCGGTCTAAGATAGCCAAGAGAGGTAAGAGGGGGATCTTTGGGTTGCAGCGAGATCGGCATCTGAGATCTTATTGAGTCCGAGCTAAACATTCATGTATGGATATATAAGATGAGCACCTGGCCTTGGCCTCAGGGTATCATAAACGTTGCTGGAAGCATAGAAGACGAAATCAGCCAGCTTATGCTACTTAGACCATACCTCCTAGGCTGTTTATTCTTATATCCTAGTACTTAGGAGGCCAACATTTCTGCTACCCACCAGCCGAGGGAAAGAGGTCACGCTGTGCGACTCACGAAACAATCACTGGCCCGTCAGAACTCGGTTTCTGGAAGACTGGTGATAGGTGACGACTCTACAGATCGACCTTTTTTGCTTGGAGACGTACCCCAAATAGAAACAGTCCAATTTCACCATGGCTGACGGCATAGCCACCAAAGCTGAGCTCGAACAGGCTCGCGCAGAAGAGATGGAACAAACAGGAGACAACATCGCCAGAGTTGATAGTATTCGGTCTACACATCCGGACAAACCCCACGAGGATGGCATTTATGCACAAGCACTTGCACAATATCCAACCGACGACTCAATCGATCCAATCTTGGAAAAGAAGGTTAGGAGGAAATTGGACCGACTTATAATTCCCGTCCTTGGAGTTTGCTACTTCTTCTATTATGTCGACAAGACCACACTCTCATATGCTGCCATCTTTGGGCTAAAGGATGACCTTAGCTTGAAAGGGGATGAATACTCCTGGCTTTCCAGCAGTTTCTACTTCGGCTGGCTTGTCTGGGCCATCCCTTCGAACCTCTTGATGCAACGCAGTCCTCCTGGATATTACTTGGCCTTCAACATCTTTATGTGGGGTGCTCTCCTCATGACACAAGCTGCGGCAAACAATTTCGCTGGTCTTTTGGCTCTTAGAATTCTCTCGGGTGCATTTGAGGCCATTGCTGATCCAGCCTTCATGCTCATTACCTCGATGTATTTTACACGAGAGGAGCAGCCAAGTAGAATCTCAGCTTGGTATGCTTTCAATGGCGTGGGGGTTGCTGGTGGAGGTCTGATCGGTTAGTAACTGTTTTGTTTGGGCTTCTTTGATGTTTGGCTAACCGTCTCGTAACAGGCTATGCTATTGGCAACATCCATGGAGCACTTCAGTCCTGGCGATATGAGTTCCTTGTTGTCGGTGCCTTTTGTTCAGCTTGGGCGATCGTTCTTGTTCTGCTACTCCCGAATTCACCTCGTACTATTCGAGGTTTCTCACACGACGAAAAACTCGTCATGATCGCCCGAATGCGCCGCAATCAAACAGGGATCGAGCAACGCAGAATCAACTGGGGGCAAATCAAGGAAGCCTATCTTGACTATAAGACATGGCTATTCACATTACTCGGTTTTGTGTCTAACATTCCCAATGGTGGCATTTCCAACTTTTCGACACTTGTCATTAAAGGACTTGGTTTTGATACTTTGCACACTGCTCTTTTGGGTATCCCTCAAGGTGTTCTTGTTGTCATCTGGATTGGTCTAGGTGCTCTGGCGAACAAGTACATGCCACCGAACAGTCGCACACTTGTCAGCGCCATCTTCATGATCCCGACCATTGCTGGAGCACTTGGCTTTCTTCTTGCTCCTGCAGATGCATATGTTGGCCGTTTGATTTGCTTGTAAGTCTCCTTTGTGTTTCTTGCCTGATTATTGAAAACTTATCTAATATCCTCACAGCTACCTCACTGGCTCATATCAAGCATCCTTTGTTATCTGCCTATCCCTCATTACCTCAAATACCGGCGGCCAGTCCAAGAAAATGATTGTTTCTGGAATGATCTGGTTTGGTGCCTGCATTGGCAACATTGCAAGTCCATTTTTCTATCGCTCCGAACAAGCACCTTCGTACCCTCTTGGTATTGGCTCGCTCCTAGTAGCCAACTGCATAGAGTTTGTTCTTTTCTTTATCTTCAGATACGCTTTTAAGTGGGAGAACAAGAAGAAAGAAAAGCAACGTGAGGCTTTGCGTGCAGCAGGCCACGACGTTACTGCGAATGCGACCGCCTTCACCGACATGACGGACAAGGAGAACCCTAACTTTGAATATGTTTACTAGACCAGGTTATGGACTGCTTGAGTATGATACCAAATAGCTGGGTATAATAGTATAAATTCCACTTTAGGATAACCCGGTTCGTCTTAAGGTTACATTGCTGAGATGAACATACACGCATGCATATCGATCTCGGTCACAGCAACGTACAATCAACTCAAACTCTCAAATATTACGGGTATAAATCTAAGGAAAGTCTGATATTACATTATTTCCCGTGTTCTATTATTCCTGTTTTTCTTCTTCTTTGCAAAGCCGACAATTTTCAAAAAAAAAAAAAAGTGCCTGGTGTCAAACTTAAACAACCAAGTTGCTTGAGGAACAATGCATTGTTTCCATAATGTTCTATGCTGCCTGATCATTTATAGAAACAAGGAAGAATATTCATGTTTAAAATCATGTTCTTGTAGGACATATTATGTGAACACGCTCAAGTTCTGAGAACAATGTTCAACCAACAAAGCGATTGTTGATATTCAAAGGGCCACCATGTCAATAACTGCAGTACCCTTCACCTCCCTGGTAACATCACCTTGGCTTCCTTCGAACAACAAGATTCTTCCTACTATTTAAGCTGTAGAATCTGCTGCTCCAAATTAGAAACCTTCTCTTCCAAAAACCTCATTCTCACTCAACTTTGGGATATTTCATCACCACCAAACACACACACGGTATCCATCACTCACGATATCAAGTTTCTGGTAAGTATCCCTCCAAGAACCCCTTTTACTAATATGTTGCCACAGCAAAACGTCACAATGGCACCCACACCGACTCCCGCACCCGTATCGTCTTCCCCCAAAGAATCAGACACGCTTTACTGGGTGTCTACCGGTCTGGGCCTCCTTCTGGCTGTTACCCTAGTCATCATCCTTGGAATGTCCCTCCGTATTCGTGATTACATCGTCGAAAAACAGGAACAAGACAAGAGGCTCATGAAATTCCAAGACGCACTTAGAGACAGTGAGTCTGACAGAAAGGGACTCCAGCGAGAGGCAGATCTGCTGTCCGGAGAGCTGGCGAACTGGCGAACACTGCATGCCGAGTGCTGGGATGAAATGACTGTCACCGCTGCATATTGCCGAGAGCATCACAGCCGTAATCTCTCAGACCAATCAGACAAGAGGTCTGATTTCTCCTTCCAAGCTGAAGGTCCAGATGATGGTGGACCTGAGAGTCGAGCCGGTTGGGTCAGGATGGGACAAGTCAAGCGTGGAAAGCCGAGCCTAACGCCATTTTCTAACGGAGACGCGGCTCATTATGTTGTTAATGGGCGTCGGCAAGTTCCTCAGCAGATTCAGTTTGGGTCCATGTCCACGATTGATCTTGATCCCGATGATGAACAGGTAGATAACCTGTTTTGAGGGACGACGGTCAAGCACGCTGGGACCCCAACAGGGATCCAGATGCCCCAAATGATGCTCATGCTGGACATGGGCGACGGGAATGAAATTGCTGCAAGATCCAGGTGATCTGGTAAGTTCTCATCCCCCTCCCATTTCTCTTCGTTCTAAGGTCTTTTGGGTTATGGCTGGTGTTATTGCTGGTCTTTGATGCAAGGATATCGTTGTAAGTGCAACTGGTAGTTGAGTAGGTAAGTACTGAATAAAACTCCATTCCCCCGGAAAATTGATTTTCTACGATACGTGACGACGTTGTTTGTTAGTTGAACCGCCAAAACAGAAAATGCCTAGACATTGGCAGATTAATCAAGAATCCCATTGGTATCTAATCGTAAAATAACTGACCAGTTCTCTCGTCCACAGAAGAAGCCTTTGTTAGCTATACTTCATAACCCCTTTTTAGAAAAACTTGCTCTTGAGACCTCCCAGAACAACGTTCCTCTTTTGCTTGTTCAGGTATTTGTTAACATCATCTGCCCACCCGGCGCTGTTGTTCTGCAAATTTTCCATGTTGTCGCCCATTATATTCAACTTTTCCGTTCTTTCATTCAACTGCCGTGTCAGATAATCTCCCCATCCTTCTTGGCTGCTTGAACCAGCAGCTGGAGCCTGCTCGCCTGCTCGAGCCGCACGTTTCTCAGCAGCTGCTTCATCCATCATTCGCTTGCTGGGTGGCCTATCTGGCCCACCAACGAGAAGGTCGAGATCTTCGGGAGTGATAAACTGGCTACCCGCGATCCATTGCATATTTGAAATAGTTGGTCGAACTGGGCACTTGAGTTCAGGGTTGATCATGGTATCTGGAGATTGCTGCGGCCCCTTTCCTGCGCCCCAAACATGTATGACGGCCAACTCGCTGGGTCCTGACCACGCGAAGATATCGCCAGTTTGTGTTACAACAGAGTTGGTGGTCCTCGTCACATCTAGCATAGGAAGATCGGCCTTTCCGATGTCTTTGAGAGCAGGGATCGAAAAAGCTCGAGCAGTTCGATCGCCGAACAAGCCAACCACAGCGAAGCCCTGCAATTCAGTTTCTGCCACGCAGGCAGCATCGCATAGAATGTCATCAAACTCTTTTGATGCGCCCTTGGAATTGGCGGGTTTGAAGATTCGGATCTCTGTTTGCGTAACTAAATGATGGTCAGTTTTGTATTTACAACATTGTCATAATGTAGAGTAATTTACCTGCGACGAGTACACCATTGACCTGGCGTCCTTCTCTTAGGCTTGCCACGATCGGGCCGGTAGCAAGGGCAGGCTTGCCTGTATCAGCTTCAATGGGGCTGAGTGAGATGATCTTTCCATCGAACGCCACGACACCTGCGGGTTGCGCAGTATATGTGCCATCTTGGCCTGGCAGAATTTTGAAGGTAATGACTTTGCCCAAGTTTGTTCCCACGAAGCAGCAAATGCTCGAGTATTTGTCCTCATCCAGAGTCATGACACTGAACTCAATCACGACTGGCCACTCCTTTGGCGGCTCCGAAGAAGAGCTATGACCCTTCAAGAAGGAAGCTCGCTTGTCTTGCTTGGCAAAGTCTGTCATGGGTGCCTGGAAGATGATCGAAGGCCCCCGAAGATCAATCAAGGTAAGGAACCCAAGCTCTGAGCCTACGCCGACAAAGCCAACATTTGACACTTGCACAGCGGTAATGGGTCCCATCATCATCTCGTAGAGAACAAGGGGCTGCAAGCCTTCCTCCAACCCTGGTTCCGCTCTGGAGCTGATATCCGTGAGTCCCTTGGGATTTGGGTCAAGCTCTGGCATGTTGTCTTTACCGAAGAAACGGTTCTGGCCCCAACGGTAAATGATGGCTTCTCCTGTACGTGTACCAACAACGAACTCCCCTGTGCTAGTTGCCATATTCATGCAGGTGATCTCGACATCCTCATATCGATCAAGTGCCCGGGCAACATCGACTTGTAGCTGAGTTCCATTCTCAATTTCATCGGCATGTCCAGAATCCCAAATCCTGATGGTGCTATCGGCATGGGCAGCCTGTATAATGGTTCGTTCTTCGAATCTCTTTCGAGGTCGTGGTGCTTCGGCGCCTCCCTTGAGAAGTGGTTCACCTTGGTTGCGCTTCTCGAACATGGAGAGCCATCGAGGGCGTTCTAAGGCAGAAACATTGATCTTTGTTACGAAGGGATGAACAAAAGAGACAGACGGGTGGAGTTGGTTGGTAGGACTAATTGGGTAGCCAGAGGGGAAACTCAAGGTGATTAGTTCTCCAGAGGAAAGAAGAACAATGACAGCGATTGGGTCCTGTGCGCCGCCGAAATGAGGAGAGAATCGCGGAATGAGGAGAAAGTTGACTGCTTGGGCGCCAGAGGGAAGTTGGAGAAGAGACTGTCGTTTTCCGCGGCAGTAATTTGCGAGAATTTGCCATGTTGATGTCGCATAAACAGGTGTTTGTCCTAGATCAACAAATGTGAGACCTTTGGGTGATGCATCCATACGTTGCCCACCCGCAATTAGCAGACCACTATCGTCGCAGTTTTCCTTGCAGCACCAGGCAATCTTGGTAATGGGCTCACACAGAGCTGGCGCGGGTGTGGCGGATGAGGGCTGGTCAATGTCAAAGTCGGTCAACGTCCTCGCCATGACGACCTTTTCCGCCTTTGGATCCCAAAAGACCAAGCTTCCATCATCATGGACGGTCAAGACAAAGGTGCCGGATGGATGCCACAGCGCATGTGTAAGTCGTGGCTTTCGGACAGTCTCAACAGCTACACCATTGCCTCCCGGGGCGCCTGCAGGAACAACGTACTCGTAGTAGTTGACAGCCTTGGCTTGCTTAAACGAGTAGACAACAGCACCATGGGTGTAACCCAGCAGGAGCTTGCCAACATCTCTCGGGTGGAGTGACATGGTTATAAGGTTGGAAGTGGCTGCACCAGGGTTCCTTTCCTTCCAGAAATTAGGTAGTCTGAATGCGCGCGCCAAGTTTCCTCTGTCCAAGTCAAATGCCATGATGTCTCCATTGTAGAGGCCGATAAAAGCCCAATCAAGCATGGGATCAGTCACCATAGAGACGACCTGGCCAGCGACGACCATGGCAGCGACGCGCTCGCCAGTATCGATGTCCCATATTCCCAGCTCGTTCTTTGTGTCGACAGTAACAAGGCGGTTGGACGAGAATTGCACGATCTGGAATGATGTGGATCGGGGGGGCTCGAGTATCTTGTGCACACGTCGCTGTCCGAAGATGTAGACCTTGCCGGGGCCGAACTTGCTTTCACCGGTTCCAATGGCGAGGAGGGATTGGACTGGGTCGTATGCGTAACAGCTGTAAAAGGGCAGGGTCAGCCGGGTCAATTTGGGACATGACGATGGGTGGGAAGTTGGGAGATGATGATGCGCTTAGCTACCTGATTTGAGAGTTGATGCCATAACGAGCCTGATCATCGGGCATGAAGAGTTCAGGTCTGATGCTCGCTGATAGGTCATTCTGCATGCCCGCCTGCTTGCTGCGGAGGAAGGCCGCCATCTTGATGTGTACGTCGCCTTTTGACGATGGCGATGACTAGATTGACTGATTATACGAGGAACGCTATGAGATTCACTAACGGTGTGTATTTTAGAGCTTAAAGCTCTTACTTTGGAAGGGGAAAGAAAAGATGGAGGGAGAATAAAGACCTAGGATGAAGAGGAAAGAGGAAGGGACCTTTTGGTGGGGTTGGTTTGCGCAGTTGCCCACTGACGAAGTGCACTGTAACTTCCCAGTCCAAGATCCCCAAGACCCCAAGACCCTTGGCAACGGCAACGTCATCCCGTCCTATCACCGTGCGGAACACGACGGGTCGCAATTAATACTGTGACGTATTAAAACGGCTTTCATATCTTCTTTGTACGACACTCTAGAGTTGTTCTTTTCGTCAAACGCTTGAATGAAACGTACTTCGTGCAGTGTAACTCGGTATCAGCCTGAATCGGTGAAAGTCACTAGATTATTATTTACAAGTCAGGGCCCAATCCTGCAAGACAGTAGTAGGTACAGTATATCTTATCATCATTAGCCAATAAGCTCGACCCACGGCCAAGCCTGCACCGCCCCAAAGCAGGTGATTACAGCAAATGATTTCGGGCTTTGCTTTTTGTCCGCGCGGTCTGTGTTGTACAGCACCTAAATACCTAATGCAGTGGAATTAATTTACTGGCTGTAGTGATTGGTTTTAGTCCAAAGATGCACAGGTCAGGTTACATATAAAAACATCACGAGATCTATTCTGAGACTTCATAAGGCCTGAATGCATTACATGTTGATAAATTTGCACTAACACATTTTATGCAAACTGTATCGTACCTTTTTTTTTGTTTGCTTTGGCAGCGGGACGTTCCTTGCTTGCCGTCGGGTTCTTGCATAGTTCCGCAGGGTCGAAAAATTAGCGCCAGACTAGTTAATGACTTGGGCCTTTTCGTTATTATCTATAGAGTATAGTTTGTCGATCTACGGTACGATTAATATCTATTTAGATCTTTTAATGGATAGAGAATCAAGACTGAGACAGGAGTAGCTTGGTAGTACAGTAGTTAAATTGTTTAGAGAGTTGTTAAAACCAATATAGATAGGTGCTATAAACAAGAACACAGAGGACAATCCCACAATGATTTTCTCAACCGTTTTACTAATAATAAATTGTTGAGTTTGATTTTCTTGATAGGTATATTCAATCTCTACTCAGTCTTTAGTGATGACATGACTCCACTCAAGGGTCCTGTTCCATATCTCGGTAGTGGTTGACACATTGTCGATCTTCTTCAACGTTTGTTTGATTTCAAGTCCACTTAGACTCGATGACTGCCGAGTGACATGTACAGAAATACGTCACTATGTCTCGTTCTTGCCAGCTGAAGTGTCTCGAATGACGGCTGTTATCCATAACTTGGGATCGTGTATGCCTGATATTGAGTGCATCGTGTTCAATGGCCAACGAACTGCTGACGATTGTTTAGATTGAACCCAAACCCAATACTACAGTACAACACAGCACTACCCTAAATGTCAATTAACCAAAAGAGTCCACGTGGGCCTAGGCGAGAAGATGATGCATAGTGCAAATAGTAGGGCCATCTCCCAACCCACACTTGTCACTATCGATGCCCAGTGAATGAATCATGCCTAAGCTGAAGCCTGGTGTAGATGCAAAGTTGGAGCGCCGGGGCTGTAGTCTCTGTATTCGCTGTATCGAAATTCCAGAAGGAGACGAGGCTTGCACTTTATTATTGGCCGCAGGGTCACCGTTGGGTTCTGCTGTGGCTCTACAATTGGCTCTTTTCGTCGACGTGTCGTATGCGTTGGGCATTGCTTGCAGCTTAGGCGGCCCCTCCCCAAATATCTCCTCACCCTGTGACGTGGGCCTGTCAAAAGCCTCTTGTTTGGCCGCTGGCCTTGCAGTACACAATCTATCAACCCTGGATCATAAGCACCAGAACCAGGCTCGCTAACTAGCGGGCCGCCTTTTGCGGTCCCAGTTTCCCCTGCAGTCTGCAGTGCAGAAAGAATTGGACGGGTAGCATGACATATCCCATAACATAGCATCATGCTGGGCTGGCTTGCTTCACCTCCAGAGCCCTACCAAGGGCTACCTACATGACATACACAATTCATTTGACAATGAGCCCCCTTCGGGTATCGCCTTGGTTGTTGGGCACTGAGAGAATATGGGACATATAGAGACGGGGGGCGACTTTCATTGCTTCTGTCTACTCCCGCTAATGGATACCTACAACCGATCGACACAGCACTACTACCATCCTTAAGACAAAAAGCACTTGTTTAATTCTCCGAAATGAGTCTCTACAGTCACGGGCTATCTGCCGACCAACTCCGCCACTCAGACTCTGACTCTGACTCTCGTTACCACCCATGGGCTGGCTCATCATCTTCCAACTACTACAACGAGCCAACATCATCAGATCCCCGTTACCACGCCTTCGGTAACTACTATGCCAGCCAATCAAACTCCAACTCAACCTACTCCTACAGTCTAGGAGGGTACTCTGAGTCTCAGCAGTCTGACGATCCACACATGTGGCAGTCTCAGGATTACAATGGTGCACCACCATCTTCATCTTCCGTTGCTACTTCAAGTCCGCCCAACCAAGACGATGTCTACAGTGACCAGAATGTTTGCAAGTGTGGAAAGTGCGGCAAGTCATTCAGACGCCCATCTGACCTTGCGTAAGCTCCCACTCAGTTCTATCCCCATCATAACATCAATAACTAACCACTCTACAGAAAACACCAAAAGTACCACGATAAGCACTTTTCATGTCTCTTCGAACAATGTAGCGCTGCATTTGCTACTCAGAAGGATTTGACCCGGCACATGCGCACACATCGCAAAGGCGAGGGCTATCAATGCAAGGTGGACGGATGCCGCAAGGCCATGTCGGGCCATGTCTACTCACGAAAGGACAACTTTGATCGACATATGCGGACGGCACACCCAGACCACCCGCACATCTGAGAGGCAAACAGAGACTCTCCACCATACGACAGAGGCACTTGACGTGCCAAAAAAGATCTAGAAGCTAAAGAAGAGCTTGACAACAGGGGAAAGGCGTATTATCGTTTGAGATTAGGAGTATGTGTTTGAGTATGACGTTTAACTGCTAGTTTCATTATTGGTATATTATATGGGATGTGTTAAGATAGAATCCTCGCACAAATGGCGAGCAGGAAACATTTTTGGCATGGATATTATGTAAATTACAAGATTTGGATTCTATAAATGGACTGAACCTTGATGACTGCTTGATTTGATTTATTCCAAAACTCTTCGAGACATATATCAACCAATATTAAATCCATTGTGCCGCCGTCTATTGATATTGAACTGCGAGACTTGTTAGTATGTCTAGCATAGATCTCTGGAATCTATACTTTGATAATCCATCCAATGGATGTCACCTACACTATCCCTCTACATATAGATTAAATCTGTTATACTACTTATAAGAGAAATAACACTTGAAAGAGATGGCCCAGAAACAAAATCAAACAAGTCATCTCGTCATGACTATCGGCGCAACTCTCGTTAGAAACAGCGGATATTACCGTCTTACCGTCACTAGTTTGTGGATGTACGATGCATCCCTGAATATCAAATGAACCTCCTATCTCAATCAGTACTTGTAAAAGTATAAATGTATGCTAATGCAGTCTTCAACCCTGTTTCTTGTCCGAGCGTTTTGCAAAGCTTCAAGGTGCCGTGGCTAGTATGTGGCAGAAAAGATGGCCTCCTCAGTCTTAGGGTATAAGAATAAGCAGTCTAAGAACTACACTCTAGGGGGCATAAATTGACCTAATAATTTCGTCTCCTATGCTTTCAGCCGTCAATGTTTTTGATACCCTGAGGCACGGTATTTCAGTATTCTAGGGTAGGTGGCCACCAAGTCAGAGGAACGAGCTGCAAACTGTCCCATGAACTAAATGAATTCGAGAAGTTGGAACGAAACCTAGAGGGCGAGACGCATGTGTCAAACCACAATTGATTTAAGTTCTAGTAACTGCTGAGTCTTATATTAGTACTTCAATCACCCATACTTGGGTATCCACCCTTTTTGTTCAGTGACTAACGTACTGGTCTCGAAGCCTTACGAATCAACAGCCCTGAAAGCATCGTTAACTGTATCCTGGGTTTCAGCCTATGAAGGACGTTCCTAGCCACAGTACTTGTATTCCTAATTTAGATGTAGATCGGGATAAAAATGTACTAAAGGTTGTGTGGTGCTGGGGTATCCTTTGTCTGAGCAAACCCCAACCTCACCAGTGTCAAAGCTTAGTGGGATATATACAACACGTTTTACTGTTACATCGTTGACAAAGTACTCGAACTTATGTGTACTAGGTTCCAGGATCAGGGTTGTCGTATGTGCTCTTCATGACTCGGGCATATGATAATCGTAAATCCCATGTTGTGCATGATCGACTGCAGTCCTGATACGAAGCTACTTGTCTCTCCATGTCACATACAGACCAGGTGAGCGACCGGTGAGTTAGACCACAGCCCAGCTTGACAAGCATATTCCTCCTCTTCCGATGAGGCTCAATGAAGCCACAAAAACAAAGCTTAGCTTAAGATTTACTAATCTAGACTGATTCAGGTCGATCCATCCCAGACTAACGCATCAGGCTGAGACATGGCGTTCATATGACACGAGGCAGGAAAGATGATTCTCGCTTAGGACACTGCCACTGGCTAATAGAGAAGCTTGCTTGGCTTGAGTGGCATGCATAAAAAGCAATCATCAAAGCTAATCTCACCATCGTGATCTACAGACAAACATAGGGGTCTGCAGCGGAGGCATTGTTGAGGTGCCGGTGAACTGAGCCACGAGGTTGATGCCTGTTCTGGTTTAGAAAGGAAACATGGAATAAACTCGACTGCCTGTTTATGCAAGTGCCTCAGCATCTGTCAGAGAACACGTTTTGATGCAGCAGGCCTCAAGGCTTTCTCTGTGCTCAATTGAAGCCTGACAAGGCAGAGTGTTTGTACCCAGTCTAGCCAATGTAAGCTCTTATCTCGAGGCAACCAAACACAACAAACTGGTTGCACAAGACCTGAAAGCTTCTTTTTGCCTTTTTCATTTCTAGAATGTGACACTCGCTTTCGCCGCGTCACTGGTGACACCTCGCAGCCTGGGGTGCAGTCGATACTGTTACCCCAAGTCGTGTAACGGCCATGGTAGTTGTGCTATAGGCTCTTGGGGTCTGCGTGATAAGCGTCCTTTGCCCTGCCAACTCGTAAATGCTCCAGACGATAAAATGATGAGCGGTAGGCTCTGTATATGATAAATGCGCTTCTGTAGAGTCTTGCATAGTCCTTGGGACTTGCGACGCGACTTGGAGGTCAAGGTACAGATCAATTGGGGGTCAGGTGGAAAAAAGCAAGTTGTTGAGGGTTGCAGTACATTTGGCCTACATGTCAGCGTCGCAATCCTAGGTAGGTCCCACAAGTTCTTGCCCTTCCAGAAGCCTTCCGGAAGGTTTCCAGCAGGGTTCCTGGCCCATCCTAAGGAACACAGGCATTTCATCAACCATCCATAAGGCTCCCTCCCCTGTCCTCTCACGAGACTTGTTTAGTGAAGCCGGCGGGTGGATTGGTTGCCCAGTTTGTTCACGTCAGACGTACCTGTGGTTATGTACTGTGCATCCTCTAGGAATGTCCCCTGGTGCACCATCTTTTTTCTCCATTCTCTCAGAAATAGCGGTGCACATCAACTCATCGATATGACGTGAAACGACCTAGACAATACGATGTGGGAATCTGACGCTATATCCATGTCAACCTGAACGACCTTCCCACCGACTCCATTTGTTCACCTTGCCTTGCCTAACAGAGTCAACACTCGATCCGAGAACCAGCCAGGAATATGCGACCTTAGTTGCGCCGTATATGTCCTTGTATTCCCCAAGTCCACGTACGTCGTCTTTCGGGGCTGGGATTCCGCACCAGGATCGCTTTACGCCCGCTTTTTCCTGCTTATGATTGACGAGTGTATTTTTCGAACTGTATGTACGGATACAGACTGGTTTACACAGATGTTACAATGTGCAAATATCCGCATCACAGCCCTGTCAAGCTGGCTTTTGGCCTCCTGTCGGAATCCCGGATTCTGAAGCCGACAAGTCTTGAATGATAGTCCTTTGGCATCATGCGGCTGGAAGCGTGGTGTGCTCTGCAAAGAAAAAGGCGTGACTAGCGGCCATACTCATTCCCGGACAAGTACGCCCGCCGGGGATTACATACCGCAACGGAGACGACTTGTTGAGTTCCGGGGTCTGAGCGTTTGATCATCATGGGTATGAGATGGGATGAGGTTCTGGGTGCGAAGTCACCAAAACTGAACTATACATAGACCCGGTTCATCGGTACACACTTGAACCCTTTCGTCAAGGTACGTCCCAGCGCTAACCTGCTTGGGTTTTGACATTGAGGCCACTGGGCACTGAAACACCGCTCCGCTCGAGCTAAGTCAAAGGAAGTGTCGATCTTGATCTTGTCTCTCTTGTTCCTTGTTACGGAACAAAGATGGATCATGGGTTGATCATGAAGGGTCCTTCCATGGGCAGCAAGTATCTTCTTCTCTTCCATGCCCTTGTAAGCAAAAAACAAAACAAAAGGGACGTCACCAACTGTTTTGTTGTGGCGCCACTCATAATAGTCACAACCATCATCTTATTCGACTGCTGCAGGTCCTGGGAAGCCACGTCCAATTGTTTCTTGTGCAACTCGAGATGCACCGGGTGCTGCAAGGACTTGATGTAACTTCGGTACCATAAGTATAGCATCAGAATCAACGCCAGTCTAGGCCACCATCGAGAAGACAGATGCAAGTCGCTGCCTTTGATGTCCTGGAACATGATGTATCATCTGGCTTGGCCAAATTGTCAAAGCTCATCAATCATCCATCTTATGCGTGTGGGTGGCCTCAATTTACAGTGGAGTCGGCTGGACCATACTGATAACATTCAGAGAAAAAGAAGAACAAGCCCAAGCCACACTCTTTTTTTCGTTCTTTTTTTTTTAAGCCATGATGAGCAATCGAACGCCCTTGGCTTCGACACTAAACTGCAAAGGTGCAGCGTGTAAGTCGGTGATTACCCAAATGGATCACGTACCTGGACCAAAACCTTCAGCAAGACAAACAAGCAAGCATGCACGCTACTAAACCCCACATTTTCCCCTTGGACATTCCCGGGGCCCTTGAATGGCCATGGTATTCGAGGTGAAGGATACGCGAGTGAGCGGTGAGATATCCTGTCGCTGCAAATCATCAGAGGTGATCACCGCCCTGCTTGTCTGTGCAAGTGATGCCATCGCGCTAGAGACCTTGCCCTGTTAGCCATGTCAGAAATACAATAAGTCTGATGGGAAACCAAAATAACGGACTTGTTGACCTGGACACCCAGGAATAGATAGTCTGTTTCAGGGCAAGGTCATTGCAGCCCTTTCTGAGCCTCTCGTAGGTCGAATGGACTCATGCGCGGGCAAGCAGATGGAGTGGTTCTCTGCAAACGGTGTGACATCGAAGATTTCTAGAAAACAGTGCCGAGGCGAACGCCAGTTATTGCGCCCACCCCCTTCCTTTCACATTCCCCTGTCAAAACATTAAAAAATTGGAGTGGAAAAAAGAAAAGAAGAAATCCGTTTGGGAATGTTCAAAATCCCCGTATCTTTGGCTTTTGTTTATGATCTACATGCAAACTGGGCAGTAGTTACACTGAAGCTTATTCCTTCCACGCCCACTGTTCTTCTCCCTACCCCCTGTGGCTTCCAGGACGTTAGAGCAACAACCTGCCTCCCCCCCAAGTGAATGATTTCAGAGTTGTCCATGGCATGGCGCTCCGTGCTGTTCGGCATATACCGAACAGCTGGAGACCAAATTCTTATTCTTCTTCTTTTTTTTTTTTTTTTTTTTTTTTTTTTTTTTTTTTTTTTGCACGCACTCCCCTCCCTTTCTCAGAACCGCCTAATAATGTCACAATGTCGGTCTGTAGCCTGTCCATCTAAGCAGACTCACGGCAGGGGGTCCCTTGAGCCTGCTTTTAAACTCTTTAATAAGTTATTGGGAGGGACCTCGTCGCCAACACCTGTCAGTCGGAAAGCATTGACTTCAAATAAGGCCTCTTCAATTCCGTATCTAGAATCGGCCACCAGCCATTTGAGGGGTAGGTAGTTCATCTGGTGGGGAACGTGTACATGGTTGTTATCTCTTGCACTGTGTCTTGCGCCCTCCAAGCTTCAGATCTGCTTCCATGGTTTAGAAGGACACAACGAGAACTCAATCTACCGGGCGGTGCTGGTGCAGATCCACAGCACGTTGTAACGAGATCTCTAGAAGATTTACAGATTCAGGTCAGGCGATTAACCGAGTCGCGATAAGTTTTGGAAAGACAACTATACCCTCAAAGGGGGCACTCCGCCTTGATCCCGATCGAAAAGCGTATGCCAGAACTCGATGCCAACGCCCGTTAGTTTCCGAAATGGCATGGATGAGGGACCTCGAATAATACGTAACCTGTCAAGTTTGAGGCGCCAGTTCTCGGCAGCTACCTCCCTGGATACTCGGAAGAGCCTCAATGGCTTTTGCCAATGTGATTTGACAGGGAGGAAGTGAGGCTAGGTAGGAGATTCCATGCCGTACTATCTACTGGCAGAGCCACCCTCAGCGCCCGGCTTAAAGGTGAGCCACACTAAAATCTCCCCAAAAATTGAGGCCGGGGGACTGATCCGCCTGCAAGCGATTTTGTTTTCGGCCTAGACGATGTGCTGTGCTGCGCTGCGCGGGTTGTGTTGCGTTGCCGTCCGCTACAGACTATGATCCAAGCTGCTGGGCTCGAAACAAGTGTGTATCACATCACAACAAAGAAGAACAAAGCCGAGTTCCGCGCAAATGCCGGAAGGATTCCACCGTGCAATCGGGAGTCCGGCCGGGCGTTTTACTTCGGCATAACTTTTCTTTTAACCTTTCTTTTTTATCGTTTCTTGTCCTGACAGAGGCAGTCTTTCGAAAAGAGACACCCCATCCCCCAATGATGCCCACCCTGTAAGCCCCCTTTGACCGATCGAGTCTGGAATGGGAGACGGTGCGAAACAACTACTCTATCCGGCCCGTAAAGAACAAGGTGAGTGCTTGGAGACGCACCTTGTCGTCTCTGGTCCTTGCACATGATCTACCGATATTCCATTTCGCTACTGCAATTCCTAATTGTGGCGTTATTTACCGGAGGTTGCTGGGACCGCTGTCGGGTAAAAAACGTTCGCTTGGACTCGGATTTTCAGGTCCAAAGTCATGTCTGATTCTCGACAAGCCGAAACCTAGCACATTCATATAATACACTACATCTCCTCAATCCTGGTTCTTTGTCCAAGTGGGCATCATGTTCCCTCAATTTACAGAACTGTCAAATTGTATGCCAAGCTTAATTCAACGCATCTAACATAGATAGCAATGGAGAAAATGTAGCTTGGAACCTTATATTTCATTCTCGTCGCAGAATATTTTACTTCAGCGTGACCTCTCGAAAAACTGCCTTCCTACTGGCCTGGGTAGATGGGTCGTGTATGAGATAACAGCCAACTGTCTATTCCCTGGGTAGATACATACGTCTATCTTCATGCAATGTGCATTTAGGTAATTGCCCACGATCGCCTCCGTTCCAATCGCTTCAATGCTCACCTGTACCTACTGCAAAAGCATGGAAAACAAGGTGGGTCATGATCAGCCCTGTCGAGGTGCGGTACACGAGTCTAAGGATGGACAGCGGGACCTACCCCAGCTGTCACAGCCCAGTCTATTAATTGCTCCATTATAGGTCGTTCTATTCATCGGTCCCCTCGCCTAAAAGACGGGCGGCACGCGAACCATTTATAGCCGCAGTGGGTCAAGGCAACTTTAAGGCAACGACTTAGTAGTCTGGTCTTGATTTCCTCGGAAATCATATCAGTATAACCTAACTATGAAAGGTTGCCTTGTTCGTAATTCTATCTCTCTGTGGCCCCGCCCACCGATCACATTCACCAAGCTGACCGACCAAAGCCAGTCCCCATCAATTTTGTTCTTGTTGGTGGGTTAGCTCAAATGAAGCTTACGAAGCTGCACAGAGCAAAGAGGAAAACAAAGATGTCACTATTATCGTCGTCACCCACTACGCCAGTCAATTTACGAGTTCAAACAACAGCGTTGAATCCATTGGCTCACAAGTCTAAGAGGTTCTTTATGCTTAATAACTGAGTGTCATGGTCAAGAGCTGTAGTACATTCCAGGTTCTCGTCATACAGATCCCCAATTTGTAGAGCCATCCCATCATGCCTCCCTTACTTTGAGCCACCACTTGAGTGTATCTGGGGGTGGATGTATCTCACACGGTGCGATAAACGAGAAAGACGGTCGAATAAGGCAGATGTACTCTGTATACACAGGCTGATATGGACCCAAAATTCACAAGTGTGGGGAACTTGTCATTTTGCAGTGCAGTGTGCGAAATGTTGTCTGGGGCTCCGATGCTACGCAGCGGCATTTTGAGGGACAATTCTTGGTACTCGGCGAGGCATCAATTGAGATACACCCCTCCCCCAGGCCGGCCTGGTTCGGAGTCAGAGTCCTTGCCCTGGTGCTGCCCATCACTGATGTAAGGACTGTCACCGTGGACAGTACAACACGGTACTCTAGTAGCGGTAGCTGTATCCTGGGCGTGAGGGTGAAATGGGTCCGACACAAGATGGATTACCCCATGCCATCCGTGCAGTGGCAGTTAATGCCCTGCATGGAGACAATCTGTGTACAGCACATATGGATGCAGAGAGAATGATGCATGTCGTCGACCAGGGGGTCGTGCCTATAGCGCTGAGTACAATAATATTTTGCGATTGAACAAAGGTAAAGGGTTACATGACAATTGATGGTAAGTCGTAAAGTCGCCAAGTCGGGAGCGAGGGAAGTGACCAGGCGAGACGTCCTCCCATCTTTCCACCCCCGGTCCCCTCCCCTTCCCTTCTCCCCTGTCATCCCTAAGTTCTACATACTGACCTTGTATTATTAAAGTGTCGTACCTATGATGGATGACTACACCTTGCTTGCGGACTCCATTCTCCAGGGGGAAACAAAACTTCGGACGTCCGACGCCCAAATTGGCCCTACCAGTGTCCGACGACTTATTTCCCCAATGGGGGTATAACGCACCCTCTGCGCCGCACTGTACACGCCCTCAGGCCAGGGGACACCAGACCCCGCGTTGAATCGCACTGAAGGGCATATTTCTTTAGGTTCCCTCTATGACTGCTATCTTATCTTAGTACCTTTCGTCACTTTCCCTCCTCACGATGCTCAACATGAACCGGTTCATACTTAAACACCTTGATTCCCGCGCACTCTTTCTAATTCTCTCCCCGTCACTCAACATACTCATCCAACATCTCTTCTGCAATAGCTTTACCTCTGCTCAGTCAGGAAGCAACTTTGTGGAAACACCTACCACACTGCTGCCGTCAGTCTTCTCGCTGCCACACTGCGTCTCGCTCTGCCCTTCTTTCTTTTTGACCTGCTCCTCTCACTTTCTTGTTCGCATACGAACATACCGCTTGCCGAACTTCCATGCTGTACAGCTCCCATTCCATGCATCTTCGCTTCTCCCTTTTCCATCACAGTATTATTATTTGTTTCGATCGTCCGATAGAACCGTCTTGATTGCTGCTTCTCTGGCGCTCGTTCATTGTCGTCACTGCCACAGCTACTCACTGTATTCAATCTTCGTACGCTCCCTCCCTCGACGGTTGTCCAACATCCCCAACAGTTATGTCGTCTACCGCTCCCAAACAAGGTTCGGCTGTAGGGTATGTTTCTTTTTCAGGTATCGTTCGGGTCGGGTGTTCGTTGTTCGGCGATGGCGGTGATACACATTGCTAACGGTTGTGATGTTAATAGAACCACTAAAGCCTCCAACGCAGCCGAGCCTCAGTACATGTCGCTTAACCGTGTCGCCGAATACACTCCCAACAACATTGCTGCCGATCTGTCGACTCGAAACCCACCTCCCAACCCAGGAAACCCCGATCAGGACATCGCAAGCTTGGAAGTCGACATGGCCAGGTACCGGAATACGGCCCAGAACGTCAACCCTTCGTCCCCCCTCACTGGGACTGGGTCGAAGTTCAAGTGATTGTCAACTTCAATCGCCAATCACCTCTTTCCTTCAAATTTGTCGATTGTGGCCAGTGACGAAGGGCAAAGGTCAGGTCCGACCGAATTCCTTCGTCCCTCAACGACATATTTGATCTGCCCCGTCTACCTTGCTTCCCTCTCTGGAACCTGCATACAGCATATGCAAAGATGCATATACTATGAAGCCCCCAGTGTTGCCGATGTTTCGCTCACTGGTCCATGGGTGTGTCCATGGAACCTGGATATTAATAGACAACGTCTACAGTTGTCACCACTCTGAGAATGGGTGTGACCACGATGTTTTTGTTGACCGAAGTCACCAAGGGTTTGAGATACTCACCCTACCTTTCCTTGTGTATATATGATTACACATTCCCGTTCTGGGCGACTCGTTCGGGTTCGGAAGGCTCGTGTTCTTTTGCCTTCCGACTCATGCCCCTACCTTGGACTTCTTTTCTTCATTTCCCTCCTTGCTTGCATGTCACATGCCCTTTCGAATATATTTTCGCCCTCTCGATTTTCTTGTGTGCTGGTGATCACCAGCAGCCATCAGAAATCGAGTGATATTTTGTATATCATTTGTGATGATTGGGACAAACCATGGTCAGCACATCTGTGATACGAAACCTCCCCAAAATTTGATACAAACGGCTGCTTGGTTCCCTTTGGTGGCTCGATCCAAGCCTCTCAACTCTTCGCTCATCCAGGGCTCATTGGGACACCAATGGCTCATAATGAACGAGAGAACACAAACCTCTCATTCTGCGGACTGTACAGAGCACGACAGCACGACAGCACGACGACTGTATAATCACGCTTCATGGTGAAGCTTTCAGGTCGTTCAAGGTTGAATAACCCTTCGATGCTGCTTCTGAGTTTGTAAAGATGAGACACAAAGGAATCGACTGACTAATGCTGGTGCGAGGGGTTGGGTATTTATCTGCCTGTTTTGTGGGCGGCTGAGCACAATCACAGCCGCAGCAGCCAATCGCATCAACTTCTCAGGCAACACCCAAGCCCCCGAATTACCCCATGGACGCATCATCTTCACTCGAGAGCCATTCAATTTGAGTTTGAGGCATCCTGAGGCCATCAGTCACTTCAGTAAACCTGAAACCATCCGCAAATCACCGGCAGTTAACAAGGAGACCCATTCTTCGATTTCATTCACGCCGATGATCTTTACTATTTCAAGTTTCCTGTTCGAAGTGCCATTGGGAGACTTATATATGAGGCACAGGGCCTATTTTCTGGAGTTGTATTACGCTGGTCAAGATGTAGCAACATTGTATCTTTCTTCTTTTCTTTTTCGTGACTTTCGTTTTCTTCTTCTTTTTCTCGCCCCTTCTTATTTTAATTCGTTTCTCTCAATTTTTCTCTTTCTGGGTGTTATTTGATGGTTTTTTGGTTCCAAAGTATGATGACTTTTCTTTTGGGTATTATAGATTTACTTGGTTAGACACATTTCACTTGGGTTATAGATACTGGGGATTACTATCAAAGAACTGGCTGGGTATTCTTTTGTCTACAAACCCAACGAAAACAGGTAGATCATGATCATGGTATATAGCGGACGACTTCGTGGAGTTGTCAAATTTTGTTCAAGTAATAATATTCACAAGTTCTAGATGCTTCTATCAATCTATACCGACACTCATTTGTCTCATAACATCGTAAATACTTTTTGTCCATTCTTATCTCGTGAAGTTTGGTCTTCATCTCCCGTGTAAGTCTTAATAAGTGTTGATTTCTCGCCATATACTTGCCAAGATGGATTGATGCCTGGCTTCACATGGCTTTTGCATGAGGTCAGAGCGGTGCCAGTCATAATTTCGTACAGCAGTCAACAGCCGTTGCCCGTGGCTATGCCTGGAAAAGTGGCATTCCCAAGTCATATTACATCCTTCGTCATCATTCATGAGCACCCTGCAATGCGCGGCCCAAATGTTCGTCATTCCAACGGCAACATCTAAGAGTTTATGAAGCTGAAATCGAGGGACTGATAGTTCCAAACATTTGCCAGCTCGCCAAGCTCCTCGTCCGAGATATTCGCAAATATGGCGCCCTGAGAAGTAAACTGGGTGGGCGCAAATGTCGTCGGGTCCTGCATGCACAACTGCGGCTGCCAGTCGCCGCATTGTGGAGGGCCAGTATATACTGCAGGAGGTGCAAAGTCGCCAGCCATGGGGGGTCCGTTGGCTAAGGAGTACACCGGAGACGGTACTCCAGGGGTAGGTAAATTTATTGGCGAAGGTGAGAAATTCGCCGCAGGAGGTGAATTGTGCTGATTCGGGATGCCGACTGAAGGGGTTATCTGTGGTGATGCAGCAACTTCCGAAACTTGGGGTGCAAATACCTTGGGTCTCTCCCCCGTAGTGTCATATGTTGGCGCTGTCCTGGGAAGTCGCTGAACGATTCGGGTTAAAATTCCATATGCCTTGGCCGATTTTGCTACTGTTCTCATACTTTGCAACAAAGCATGTGCTTCGTCTATAGCTCTGTAAACATCGTCGCGCCGAGGTAACGTGTGCTGCTCATCATGAAGAATTGCTGAACACAGCACGGTTGAGATATCGAAGATGCAGAACAGAACAAAATGGTATTTGGCATCCCTTGGGTATACGTGATCGAAGAATCCACGCAAAGATACCATAAGCTCCAGACAGTAGTTTATACCATCGCTGCGTATCTGCAGCTCAGCTTCCAGAGATCGGATAGCAAATGGCCTTGTCAGGAAGCCTCGAATAGGTTGGACAAGCATTGTGAATGCAACAGTACGAATCCTATGCCTGTGCAAAGTGATCCACGGGCATGATGCATCTAACGATCTATCTGGGTCATAAACACTCAGAGGGGGAGGGAAGGTGTTGATCCAAGCTTCGACGATCCTTTGGTATTCCAGAACATCTGCATGGGTCACAACGTTCTTAGTATGCCCAAATCTTCCAGAAATCTGTTGAATCAAGCTGGACTGCATCTTCATATGTGTCAAGGGTGGGTGTTGATAGCCCTCCAAGCTGAGGCTTGGGGGACTAACGTCGCAGTCGTTTCGGTCAATTATTAAGGGTCTGCCCAAGAGTGTAGTTATTTGCCTTCGCATCGGGAAGTTAGTATTTTTGGTGAGAAAAGACAATATGAATCACTACTCACCAGTCCCAAGTGTCAAGGATGCACCATATTCTTCGTCGAATTTCGAGATCCAGTTCAGATAGAGTACCAGCCTTTGCTTCCTTGTGGATAGCTATTAGAGTGTCAGCAAGTGGTTGGTTAGCAGTATGTGACAGCGTAAACGTACAAAGTTCTTGGGCTTCTCGAATAGCAGCATTCAGCACATGCCAGCACTCAACAAAACGTGCTTCAGACTTGAACCAGTAACAAGAATGCAGTAATTGTTGGATATTGATGAGATGGCTGTGACCCAGTGGGATAGCGCTTGCCAGCTCTCGAGCAGCTCTCTGATATTGTTCGGCAATTTGCTGGATCGGATGGCCAAGGTCGCCTTCGAGTTTTGCCTGCAGTTCAACATCGGTATACTGCGATGCACATGCACAAACTGTGAGAAGAAGGCAAGTCCATTGAACGCTCAGTGGTCGATTCTCGGCTCGCAAAGTCCACCATTGCTGATATTGCTCTAGAAACAATGGCGGATAGACAATATAGTAGTGGTAATTGACATTGTTGAGAAAGTTCTGGATAAGTATGTCTGGGGTCATAGTCAGCTAGAGTCGGAAATCGTTTATAGTGCTGCATACCGGTGTACGGCTTCGAAGGGATAGCTTGCAGAGCCCGTTCTAGCTGCGCAAAGCCAGTGGGGTCTTTCACAAACTCCTGTGATGTTGATTTCATAGTCTTTTAATAAAACTTGTTAATTAGATGCTGGCAAATAGTCTGGGTGCACAAACCTCGTGTCTTGATGCAAGATTAAAAAGAAGATGGGAAGGCGTGTAGCCCAAGGCATGAATCCTGTCACTAGTTGTATCCTCAACCTCGGAATCGAGAGATTCGGGGCTACTTTTGATGGTGACTCGATTCTTTCGCTGCCTTTCCACAGCAGCTTTCTCAGTCACAGGCTGGTTGGTGTCTTTGAAGCGGCATTTATCTGCCACTTTACGTTTCTGACATCCGTTACAAGGCCACTCACGGTTGCACTACACAATAGTTAGTATACATTGTTATTCGAAAGACCAAATACCGCAAATGTTCGCGTAGCAGCTATAGATGACTTGGCAGGGCTTGATTACTTTTTGCTTGCGACGAGCACATTCGGTGCACGCGGATCGATAGCTTGCTTCCTTTCGTTGAGCCCCTTCTCCCATGACGCCAGGTGATAGAGCCGACCAACTAGAACTAGGTGGTATACATTAGTTGTATTTGCCAATTGGGGCCAGATCCGATTCATGAAAGCAAGGACAGAGGCCCTAGCGGTTTTTAAAACAAATGCAGAAGTACTTGCTTCGCAAAGGAACTGAGACGAGTGGACTGATCATTTAGTTACCACAACAAGCAGCAAAACAGCTGGAACTTGCCAAATACTGGTAATAAAAGACTGGACAATCATGTCCTTGGACAAGTGGGGAAAGTCCTAGTCAACCGTTGTTGCTAAGATGCATTTGCCCGCCTGCAGATCCATTGGGTGGTGGGTGGCACACGGAAGGAAGAGAAGGAGAGGCATCGCTTGGGGGTTCCATTGGTAATTTCCTGCCGAGGAGTCGCTGGCGGTTAATGGGTCCGGAAAGAGACCAGCGGAGATAAGCGAGACGATCAAGTGAGACTACCGTGAAAGATGTTCTTGGCCCATTCCAATAGCTGTGGACAGTTTGAAAAAAGCCGAGTACCTGCCGGTGATGATAAATTCGGCTCCGTCCTTTCCAATGTCGAGATCACCAGTCATGTTGTCGTCCTCTCGCCGGTATGAGAGGATCTGGCGTCAAGTAGTCATCGATGGCTCTTGCTTCATCCCCACCAAACTATTGCGTTCCCATTGATTTCTTGGTATCGTTTGTTGCACAGATCCACCATTGTCTCTCATGCCGACTTCATCGATCCCCGTACCCGGCCCCTCTCTTAGCTCTGTTAACGTTGTCCCCGCCACACAACCCGGCGCCGGCCGGCCAGGGCATTCCAGCCGCCAACCACAGCGCCTGATTTTCTTTTAAGCCGCTCCGGCCATGACAAACTGACTGTCGTTACAGGGTCTGAATGTTCTGGATCCTTGCTCATTTGGGCATTTGGGCCCCAAGATCATCTGTTTTGACGTTGTTGCCCGTGCATTGTGCGTGCGTATGTGTCGTTGTAGCTTTGAACAGGCAAGGAGTCCTACCATCTCTAGACGCCAATTCCTCGCAAGCCAAACAGAGAGAGGCTCGTTCGAGGACGCGTAAGAGTAGGCTTGAGAAAGTTCGTATCAACCCGTACATACATCGGAAGCCTTACAAGGCTTGCGCCAAGAAAGTCTTGGTAGAGAAACCATCACTGTCCAAAGATCCATTCATCCTCTCAATATGAGCATCAGTCAGCATCCTATTTTGGTCTCAGGAATGGTTCCAACGGTCTTCTCCACTATCAGGCCCATATTGTTCGTTTTGCATGTTTGATTCTCGATGTTTGAACGTCATGGCTTTGAAAAGTCTATGCAACAGGGGTATCGCTCAAAGTTCGCGCTAATGTCAAGCAACGACGCGCCGTTGCAAGCGAGCTGATCTAGAGTCGCACTATCGCACGTGGCGCATGAGAGGATGCCAGGCGGTGAGGTGATTATACACTTTCTCAACCTCTAAAATCGACTGACAAAGCCTTTGCCACAAGCTTCTCTGCTTCGTCTGAACCCTCTGGACGGTTCAACTTGCATCAGAGACAGCCGCCGCTGTGCCCCTAGCTTGCATGGCATGTCGCAAAATCGAACGACATATGTAAAGCGAGGTCATGGCACACGAGGCGGATCCGCAAGCGGATTGTCGTAGGTACCCGGCGACTCCAACCGCTGCCCCGTTGATCCAAGATTGTGCGTCAGAGGTCAAACCCTACTGTAGGGACGGGGATTGGGGCCCGGACTCATAACCCAGGTGTAGTTCGCTGGGCTGCTGCAGCCCTAGTAAGCGCTATTGTCTCGAGAGGTCGTACCTGTATCCAGTGAAAGATTGAGGGCGTTCTGCATCGTTGTGCAAGCCTAGATGCTTCCTGCCAAGGCCAAAGCAAGGGCCTACAGAGATGCCCATTGGATTTGGCAATTTCCTGAGACGCATGCAGAAGGCCGTTTTCACAAACCGGTAAGCAGCTCGGAATCTGGAGGCGCTGTGGTGGAGACTTCCATCGCTCTTCGTATATTTGTTGGGCTTTTGTGTGAATGAGCAAGGCGATGGCAATGGGTCAAATGCGAGGTGTAGAATGGTTGAGAGACAAGTCGAGGCCTCTCAGTCTTGCTCTAGTAGCATTCATTTCGTGGCAGGTACAACTGGGGGACCCAAAAGGCAGGTGCATGCCTAAGTTGATGATCAGGTCGCTCTTTCCCTCAAATAGGATCAAACAGTTCAGAAGAATTGGAAAGTAAGAGCGAGCATTCAAAGTTTAATACTTTTATTAAATCCACTATATTCTCATATATCGCACCCTCGATCTCTTTACAATCCCTCAATTCCCAGATCATTCGTTCGAAAGACATCACGATTTCCGATATTTATCGGGTCAGGTCATAAGCGGGGGTATAATGGTGAAGCTATGCAAGCTGATGCATGTCCAATCCTTCATGGCATGCTGGAATACGTCTAATTATTCCTACCAACGTGCCATTTAGCGGCTACGAACCTGGTTGAGTGAGTACAAACATAACCACAATGGTAAAGACGATGTCGGCAGTGGTAGGCGAAGTTGTTCAGCTGGTGCGAGCCAGATAATAATTGGTCTTGTCCCGAATAGCATCAATATCAGCGTCTATATAGACAGACTACGCACTTGGTCTAGAATTTATTATGGCCTGATTTTGGTCATGGCCCGCATCCGCTGTGTAACCGTTTTACGCCAGATGCATCAGCCACATTCCTCTATTCTCTCTACCACGATCAACACCACATGGGTTTGGACCAAGCTGCTGGGTGACAGCAAGAAAAGATGACAGGTCAAATTTTATGATCTCAAACCGAGCTAAAATTCCCTCGAGGTTACATCAGCTCAACAACTGGGGCCAAGAATTAACGTTTCAGTTCTTATGGCAGTCACACTTATTACGAGGTTGGACGTATTGACATGACAGTCTTGCCATCAACTTGCACTTCTTTTTCTTACCGACCTTTGCTTCACTTTTAACATGTCATAACACTGACAATCCAATGTTTCCCGAGAGCCAATGGCAATCTTCATGTTCCCCAACTTTGCTATATGGAGTTTCAGATCAGCCAAGTCGTCATTGTTCCTCCAATGCCGAGGAAGCCACATGGTCATTATATCAAATGCCGGGCCGTGTCTCCACTCCACCTCTTTTCCATCTGTCAAACGGCCGCTAACTAGTGGAAACATTTCGGTGGCATCCCATCGACGATCTATGCACAGCACTAGTCTCCCGTGTTGCTACGCCCTAGGTCTCTTCGGACCCGCCAAACTCGTGAACCAACGGGCCGTCTTTGACTTCCGTTCAAGACCTCAACCCAAGGGACTTGGGTTAGGTCACTGACTCCATCGGCCCCCTCTGGCTCAGCTTCTGACTGATCATCATCCGTGTCTTCATCGGTAACTTCAAGCATCATGTCGTTTCCCTCGTCAATCCCTGCTTTCTCATACAGCTCCTCCGTGTAAGCCCAATTCGGAGTATCAAACTTTCCGTGAAGAAGCACGACACTCCTTCCTTGCGACTTGATACTCCTGAATTCTTCAAGTGGGATTGGGGTGACAAGCTGGAGTGTCTCTGATTTCGTGTCGATGCCGCGCAAAAGCACCATCCCAATAGTCCGGGAATAGCGGGGACCCAAGGCTGCATCATCGTAGTTAGGAATGAATGGGACGTTTTCTGGACTCCTTGATACTGCTGGCGGCGATACTCCCTCGTGTGGAAAATTGGAGAATGCTTTTGGGTCCTCTATCTCGACTGCAGCCAGTACCTGCCCATTCACTGTATCAGCCAGTAATTCTGGAGAGCACTGGTAGTCATAGGACAAGAGTCCCAATATGCCTCGTTTCGACGAAGAATATTGCACAAGTAAGGGCGGTCTCAAGGAGAGCGGCGAGGCGTTCCACTTCAACCTCGGTGGTATATCGGGCAATTTTAGAGTCTTTGGCGCAGCATTTTGCGAGTGAAAGTAAGACATGATCTGCATCGCTCTGAGATGAGCTGCAGTTCTTGGTGTAAACTCAGATGACTGAGATGGAAGTTCTGTAAACTCGAGTTTTGTTGCTGTACGCAAAGCATCGACTGTCTCGGACGGGCCTACTTCTGACATATACACAACCTCCTGGGGCTTGATTTTCTCTATCAAACTAGAGAGTAGACCCAATCCAGTTCCTTGAATCCATCCGGGGGTGTTGACAATAAGAGGGACTCCAGCGTAGTGCTTCGAGTAGGTATCAAACAGATCTGTCGCACAAGCCAGATAGAGGTCGGGGTTTGGAGCTGGGGTGACCGAGGCCATTGAGTGACTGCGGACAACCGTAAAAGCAGAGTTTTCGAGACTAGGATGTGTGAATGGTGTGCCGAGGTTGGGTTTTGTTACACAAACGAGTGATAAAGTCCCCGGTGGTGCGTATTCTGGTTGACCTGGATCGAGGTCGAGTACCACAACACTACGAGCGCCCTGCTTCTGGGATCGATCTGTCAAAAGGCCATTCATGAACAGCCGTGAGAAAGTAGACTTCCCAGCCGATTTAGGCCCACATATCAGTGTTGACAGTGAAGTTTTCTTTCGGCTCGTCACTACAAGTGAAGATAATTTTTTGTTCCACGCAGCTGGTGAGGCCAATTCCTGAATGATGCATTTCTTAGGGGCATCTTTAGGGGTATAAATCTAGGCAAGTATAAGCACGTCATCCCACTCAAGACATAAAAACTTACAATCTCAAAGGTAGAGTCTTTTGTTGCCTTGGAAGAATTTGTCTCGGGTGGCTCATTCCATATTTTTCTGAATAGGGGTGACAGCCGACCCAACTGGCGTATGCCACGAGCATTACTATCAGGGTGAAGTTCCAATTTTGTCTTTTCCGTAGTCCGTATCACAGGAACTGCATGGCAGTGGGGAGCATGAACCCATTCAATCGTTTCCGAGGGGTAGAGAGTAGCACCAGCCAACCTCACTTCACCTTGGATGACCCTAATCCCAAAACTCCCAAGAACCAGTAACCGCTAAGCAAGTTAGCCATGATGATTATAAAATCGAGTCGTAACAAATCTTACCGCACTGTTTGATAGTTTTAATTCCATGACACCTCCTGTCTTAATTCGATGGTTTTGCTCTGAGAGGCGGAATGATGTGTACTCTCGAACCAGTGTCTGAGAAGCTCCGGCCAACTCAGGATTGGGAGTGTCTGTACTCCCACTAGAACACTGGTGAGCAATGCCCGGTTCCAAATATGACATGCACATACCTTGCTATTGCAACGCCTCTTGAACGACTGGCTGGTGATTCTGCCCCGCGTTGTAGATATTGATTTACCGCACTCTTCTTAGGAGATTTTGGAGTAGTATTTTGACTACTGTTCTTCCGAAGGGCGTCAAAGCGGTTGACACTAGTGGTCGCTGACTTTTCATCGGACTCTGAACCAGTTTCCATCGTTGATGCGGGAGATACTGCACCTTCTCTTAGTCGAGCCTGAAGAGCACTGAGAGCGCTCATTGCAGCTTTGTGATATTAGCCCTAAGTCACATCAAGCTTTTGTAATTGCAGAAGAAGAGTCATCGCCGGAACTCAAAACTTACGCTTTTCATCAATTCTTCGTTTCTTGTTAGACGACATGTCCAATATATTCGCCGGCACCAGTCTTGATCACAACTAGCAATAAAGAAGATGCAAATGTTTGAGGAATCAGATAAACACCGAGTTCAATCAGTGAACTGATACTGCATTGTTTGTCACCTCCAAACTTCGTATATAAGTAGATAGAACCATGAGATGATTATCGCGGGTAGGTGAGAGTGAATGGATACATTTTCTTATCGATAAGGAAACATTTTGACAGGTACCCAGGCTACATGGTTAGTGACTTTTGAGATGACTATAACGGCTGTTGAATAAGATAAAATCACAAATTCTAAACTCAAATAAGTTCTTTGGTGCCTTTCCTTAATTTGAAAAATATCCAACCAAAATAATCTCTTGCCTTTGTTCGTCCTACATCATTCGCGCACTCTATACCTGCCACCAGATTTTTACACGAAGCGGGCGCGTTGCTGTAGATATCTGCCCCACTAGCGCAGCGGCGCCTCCAAAATTTCATTTTCTAGCAACCTGAACTTTACTCTGAACAACTTCCTCGCCAATTGCACCCTCACCACCAAGAATCCTTATCAAAAAATCTGCCCGAGATGGCGCCCAAGGAACCTTTCAAGGTGCACTCCCTCAGCAAGCACATTGAGAACACAAAGAAGGGTTTATCAGCCGATTCGCAGACCAACCGCCGCCTTGCTGGCCGCTCTACAGTTGTCAAGAAAGAGTCGAGCGATCCAAACAAGATTTTTGCCAACAATGACGACGACGAAGGCTCGGGAAGCGATAGCGATAGCGATAGCAGCAGCGATGAGGCTCCTGGTAGCTTCCTGGAGAGGCTTACCGCTGGTACAAAGTCTGCACCTGCGAAGCCTACTCCTGTAAAGTCCACTCCCCAATCTGCCCGCCGTCGCAGCAAGGATGAGGAAATCGCCGATAGCGACGACGAGCGCAAAGCTTTCAACAACAAGGCTTCTTCCAAGAAGTCTGCTCCAAAACCTGAATCGTCCAGTGATTCAAGCAGCGAATCCGATTCTGACGACGAAAAGGCCAACACGAAGGCCAACGGTACCATTCCTGCCAAGGATGCCGACAGTAGCTCGAGCTCTTCCGAGTCGGATAGCGACAGCGAAAGCGACGAGGAAGACAAGGAGAAGGCACCAGCTGCCAAGATTTCCGCCGAAAAGAAGGACGATTCCGAGTCATCTTCTAGCGAGAGCGAGAGTGAGGACGAAGCTGAATCCAAGTCCAAGCCTGCCGTAAATGGCACTGCTGCTACCGCTACATCTGACAGCGAAAGCGAAAGCAGTGACAGCGAAAGCGAAAGTGAAAAAGAGCAACCTGCCAAGCCTACCACTAAGGCTGTCTCGAAGCCTGCTGCGAAGCCTGCTGCGAAATCCACAGCCACGGTATCCGACAGCTCTTCCAGCGAGGAGGATTCCGACGACGAGATGGTTGACGAATCGATGCACATCGAGGATCGCGAAGGACAGGTCGCAATCCCCAACTTCATTGCTCCCGACTTTGTCCTCCGCAAGGGCGACGATGGCACAAGCGGCAAGGATGTTGCTGAGGTCTGCAACAAGGCCAACCTCGAGGGCAAGCAGTTCTGGTACTTCACAGTTCCTTCTGATGTCCCCATTTCTGTTATCCAAAACCTCGAAATCCCCATGAACCAGTCAAGTGCCGGCAACAAGCTGTTCTCGCATGGTGGTGATGATTACGGTTTCTCTTTTGAGTGTATTGCTCCCAAGAGTAACATCCAGATCATGATCCCTTCTTCTGATGCTTCTCAGTATCAATCTGGTAAGTGTACCGAGTTGTCGCAGATATGCAAATTTTAACGTGCAATAGCCCCTAAGCAGATCGATCAAATGATGCAGATCAAGAAGATTACACCACTTGGCGCCAACAGATCTGTCGGTCCTACCCCTAAGCCAGCCCCTCGTGCTCAGCCTGCCGGATTGAAGGCCCGCTACCAGCCTATCGGTGTCAACGAGCCCATGGGTACCATTAGTGATGGAGAGGATGTAGAGATGGCAGAGGCTCCCGCTTCATCAACCAAAGCGGAGAAGAAGGAGAAGAAGCGCAAGTCCAAGGAGACGTCTGAGAAGAAGCAAAAGAAGATGACTCTTCCTGAACGACCTAGCGCCCAGAGCGTAGAGGAGCCAACCCCGGATACCCGCAAGAACAAGCGAAAGCTCGCAGCTTCTGAGGACGACGCTGCCGCCGCCACTGAGCAACTCCAGGCGGAGGCCAGATCGGCAGCCAAGAAGTCCAAGAAGCAGAAAACAGACCGAGTCGGCAGCCCTGACTTGGGCTCCGAGCCCGCTTCCGTAGCCAAGAAGCAGACTCCTGTTCTGCCTCCCACATTCCCTACCGCAGGAACCCCAACTTCTAAACAAAAGAAGGTTAAGGAGAGCGCTGTTCCCATTCCTTCTATTCCTCACTCGTCACCTCCCAGATCCTCTCCTGCGCCTGCCCCTGCATCGCGGGCCCCAAGTTCACCTATCCGGGCCAAGGAGAAGCGATCCAAAAAGTCAAAGGATAGTAAGAAGGCCGCATCAAGCAAGAGGGAAACCCCTGTCCCACCCCCCGTGCCTGGTTCTTCCTCGGAATAGCGTTCCCAGATGAAAACTCCTCGAAAGGAAAGGCGCAGGCCTAAGAACAAGGGCAAGGGTACTCTCAAGATGTGAATCGCTTGATCGAACGATGTGTCGCAATGACGGATGGCGTATAGCATTGTTAGCCATACATCGGGACGTACGCTGCTTGCACATGGCTATATATAAGATATCATCGTTCGTTCTGGCAGTCATCTCATGCGGTTTGGTTGAACAAGCAATCGGCAATATCTTTTTTTCTTCTAACATAGCTTTTCGATACCGCGATGAGGCAGCACAGTCTCTGTAATTTAGCGGCATGGCGTTGGTGGTGCATTTCGGTTGCAAAGGGATAAGAGGAAAAAAGGGGTGTAGTTGAGGAGGTTACAGGAAGAAATATGGGATAGGAATTTTGGTGGATAATCTCCTTGAGGTTGATTCCAACGATCTGAGCTTACCAGGGCTTCAGGATGGAAACCCCAAAGTAGATATCATCCAGATATAGGCAATGTGAGAGTACAAAACAATTAAAGCGTCCATCACGCAACTTGTGACATTGGAATCCGTGGTATGATGCACCCACCACTAGGCGCTGTATTCCACAGATAGTGAATGATATGGCACTATGGATTAAATGGATATATATCTCTAGTTACCAGACGATATCTATCTATTCTAATGCGTTGATCAAGATCAAGAAAAAAACCGCCTTCCAAGTTGCTTACCCTGTAGCACATACTCATCCATGAAGCTATCACCACTTTGGCTTTGGCTACACAACACCACATATCACATGTTGTAATCATTTTTGCACGACTTTGCCATCTTTTCCAAAATGCTAATTGTATTTCCATAGTTCCTGATCGACCGATCTACTAAGCCAACCTACATTCCCATTCCACCTCGTGGCTTCAAAACACCAACTCCCCCGCGAAAGCCCCAACGCCATCAAATTCCTCTCCCACGTCTCCAAAAAACTCAATCGCTCGGGAAAAAAAGAGAGCTCCAACGAACAAGCTCTACAGCTACGTCTAGCTAGTCAGGTATGTAGGGTTCATTAGCTTCATCCAACCTTTTTGGAGAAACACGCCCCCTGGTCCCAGTCTCGCAAGGCGGTATCCGTATAGCACGATGACGTCTGCGATTCTATAATTCGACTCGGGTACCATCTAAAGATAGACTTAAATTAAGAACTGTTGTTATCCGTAGTAAGGATGAAATCTGTAACAGTGCATTTGTTTCGAAAAACCCCCTTGAGATACAGAAATAGATCCCACGTTGAAACATGGCCCTTGAGAGCATTGTTTTGAACAATATCTACAAAACACAACGCTTGGAAAGTGTTTACTCATGCGTCTAAGTCGTAGCGACAGATCTGCACCATCACTCACGTCAACAAGTATGTAGTTAGTAGCTTGGGTTAGGTTAGCTTCTCACCGCCAGCCTCACATGAGCATGAAGCTACCAAGGTAGGGGTCTATGCTGAGCTCAGTTTATGCGGTAAAGATGGAAAAAAAAAAAAAGTTGATCATAACCGAATATGGCGTTTTACTGTTGCTGGGAGCGGTGGAGCTAGCAAGTCAACGAGGTCATTTGGATAGAGTACTTGGAGATATTGGTCCAACGTCTAAGACATCTCGAGTTACTCTGAGATAACGTACTTCTGAAAAGAGCTGGTTCTAAGCTGAGAACGATCGACTTGTGACCACAAACGTAGACGTTTCACTTTCTGATCTGCCTACACGAAACCCCTATTGTTACGTTCCTGTCTTGTAGCAGTCGTGCAAAACGTCGTCCATGATACGATTCTAACTGCTGATAATGACGGCGACGGAAGCAAGTCAAATGTCCCGCAGCAGATACCCCCACGTGTTCGGCACGAGGCGAACAAACGAGATCCTTAAAAAAAAAAAGTTAAAGGAGAAAGCATGTGGTTTAGGTTAAAGTTGAACCAAAGCCGAGCTTCAAATGAACCGCACACGGGAAACTGGGAATATCCGGACAACGGGGATTTGACTGCAACTAACACGCGACCAGCGATACAGACTTTCATTGCATCGTCCCATGCGGTGTTCTGATAGATTCCGAATCGCAGCACCGGCCGAAAACAGCCGACAGTGGATCTGCGGCCGACATGAACCCTGTGGAATTTTTTAATGTTCCTCTTCAATAGGCCGAGGCCCGAACATTCAAATCTTTGAAACCGAATGAGTGATTAAATTTAATTTTTTTTTTTTTTTTTTTTTTTTTTTTTTAAAAAAAAACTTCAAAGAAAAAATCGGCCGAGTTAAAAAAAAAAACCGAAAGAAGAATAGTAAAGTCCGATGGTCCTGAGCTAAGAGGGACCGTTGCGGGTTCTGTAAAGATTGTAGCACCCGATGTGGGAATTCGTTGACCGACGAGATCGACGCTGAAGCTCCAAGACCGAAATTTTCGTTTAATGTTCCTTTGTCTTGTCCATGGGACAGATAATCGACCGTCATGCTCTATACAGCGCTGTGAACAAGGCTGCCGGCATCCTTGAGGCCAAGAGTGTTAGTCAGTATTATGGCGGCTCGCTCGGATGCCGTAGCATTGACCGCCTCTGCGTTGGCTACCAAAACCAGGCTTTTATTGGTATCATGATACCTGATCCATGATGTGCCTTGGAGTCGTAGCTCACGAGGGCATGAATCTGAAGCTAAGAGAGCAGTCATCAACGCTCATCCAGTAAGATTGAGCCTGAAGGTATCTGTCATTGGGCATTAGCCTCTTGTAAGCGTGTGCTTGCATACCATGTTGGACTCTTGCATGTAGGTAGGGTGATAGGCATGTAACGGCAATTGCAGTTAATCATACAATAGGTTCAGGTCTGGACCCATTCTCCAACAAGTGCAGCGCGTCTGATGAGAGCTGATCAATATCGACAAGCATCAGGTTTGTTATATGGCGTGATGTTAAACTCAAGACAAGAGCTAAGTGCAGTGCAGCATGTGCTTATTGTGACATGCCACACACCACCTGAAATATGTCGAGAATGCCAGGTAAGAGAAATGAGTAGTGCGATTTCAACAGGCATCAAGAGCCGGCCTGTTCCTGAATGTTTCTGGTCCATAATCAACGCCGAACGCATTGATGAATCGGGATAGTCCTGATCAGAATAGCTGATAGGTGTCCTTCGTTTGCATTGAAACTGTCGTCCAATTCTCTGGGCGACTGGAACTAGACAAACTAGCGCATCGTAAATTATTATGGATGTCTCGTACTCAGGTAGGGGACCCTTGACGATCTCCTAAAGTTGGGCCAGCCCGATTCGACCTTGGCTCTTCCGTACCGGTAAGGGGGATCATTTAGATGAAGCCGTGCACAGGCGGCTCGCTCTTGGAAAACCTGTTAAAGGAGATTGCAAGGAAAGTTTCACTGTATCGATCGGTTTGTTTGCAAAGTTAACAAGGCTGATTCGTTGCGCATACGACAAAATAGCAGAGCTCTCCAAAGGACTGGATGAGTTTCGTACCCCTGCTACGGGAGACCCTCCCTAATCTCTTCAGACCCTGAAGGTCCTCCACCAAGCTGACTATGTATGCTGATGTTCTCTCAAGTCTCGGGTGCTAGCACGAGGTTCCACGTTCAATTTCGTTGCATTACGGATTCGCGCCTCGCTTCACACCGGAGCGAACGCCTCGCATTGACAAATATGACCCGAGCGGCCGTTTATAACTTCCGCCATGTTGGAAAACTCCGCAGACACCGACCGGCATCCGGAGCGGGCAAGCTTCCGACTTTAAAAGTGGACTGAACTTAGTTAACCTCTGGTAAAGTAACGTCACCATCCCATGACGATGAGGCTTGTCGCAGATAAAGGACATTATTGGTTGGCGGGTTTTCAAAGTCAGAGAGGCTTCAACGGTTTGATGTGTAGACCAACAGTAGAACCAACCTTCCGCTGCATCCGAATAAATGTGAATTGAAAGCAAGCGGGATTTCTCATGGGGGACAATTCGCGGGGTTGCGATCCTTGTCTTGTGCATATATTCTGAGACCTGGGCGGCAGGAAGGGTTGCGCGCGCCTATGTCTGGTGGTGAAAAGGGTCTATTTGAAGCGAACCCTTGGTTTGATTGTCTGGAGGACGAAGCCTCAAACCGTTACGCGGATTGCCATGGGCTTTCTTGCCAAGGCAGGGCTGAGTCGAAGACCGAAGGTAACAGAGCTTTATTAGCTAGCAGGCCATGAACACATGGCTATTCCATGCTGGCAAGACATCGCGCCGCTTGAACCGAGTAGTGGTGATATCAATTTGACTTCTTGAGATTCGGCAACAATTGATCTTGTGCTGGCAGTCAGAGAAGCTGTTGTGTATGGCCTGGCGCTAACATGAGATTAACTACGCCGCTGCCGTGGCTCGACAGCTAGGAGCCAGACGTGCAGTGATGATCATGAAACGTCGATGTATTTCTCACGGTGATCTTGGCTCAAGGGGTACTTTACTTGAAGCTGTTGAGCAACAGTGGTTGTTGGAGATCAAGATTGTGGTGTGAGAAAAGCAGCTAGGGATTCATCCCACTCACACCTTCCGCGGGCTTTAGCAGCATCGGAATTGGAGAATTCTAGGGGCGGGAGAGAAGGTACATATGTCGCAAGTACTCGACGGACAACGGCAGCTGTGAATTTTTGCTCTGTTCTTCTTTCTCTGCTTCCTTTTTCGCTTCTCTTCCTTGCGACCCGACCAAGAAAGAGGCAGTGGCCCCAGCTCCTTTAGCGTCAAATAAAAAAGATCCTTGTTTTTTCTATTGATCTAAATGGTTCATTGTTCATCATCCATCTCGGTTTGCGGCCTGTGAAACTTTGCAGGTGGAGAGTCTTTTGTGCTATCTTCTGAAAGAGGATCATTCCTCGATGATTTGACTGATTGATTGCTGACATTGCAAACAATCTCTGCGTTATTAAGCACTGCCGGTATAGCCGGCTGTTTAACAGTAAGACTATCAAAAGTAGCGTTGCAGGAGTTATGGAGGCAACAGGATACTGACTTCAACGG